CCTTGATACAGCAAGAGGGGCATGAGCAGCGTACATCACCCTCAGTGCACTACCACATATCAAAATATGCCAAGTGCTCATATGATATATTTGCATGGCTTGGCAAGCTTGACAATGATGTGGCAATTGACATGAGTATTTCACCTATCACACCCTTACTTTGTATCCATTGATGTGATGTCACAGAACTTCATTCCACGCCTTAAAGATCACTTGCTGGCACGGCTCCACAGCTTGGATTACTCTGGTGATGAGCACAGTTTCTCTGATGATGACAGGAATCAGGTCACCTTCACCAATAACCAACTCCACAAGCACAGCATACTACATGTCAACTACACAACATATGATTTGTGAAGAGAACAGGACTCAATCAACTGTCATATACCTGATCTGATTGCTCCAATATTGATATCCGCTCTGCTTTCTGACCCCTCCGCCCCATTCATCCTCTGCTCCGTCCTATCACAAGTCCGCATTCCGCCCTACGCTTCCGCTCAACCACTCAACCGGTCCCCTTCCATAACCTCTCCATTCAACTGGGGCTCTTTCCCCTTTTAGATATATGCCTTCCCTATTGGAACATAGACCCTTACTTCCAGATGACTGGTAATTCATATTACCGCTTGATCGCTGATCCGACACGTACATATTGATATCTACCCCGACTTATGTCTTCGCCTATGTAAAATACTTACAAACTATATCCTTGGTACATAGCCTTACTGCATAGTGATTCTGATCACTGCCTCATACATATTAGTATATAACATATCATGTACTTAGATATTTTTCCTCAGTCTTAATATTACTTGTCTTCTCACAGTTATACAGTGGCTCAAAAAAGTGTCTGAATGTTTATGCATTTTCAAGTAATTGAACAATAGCAAGGCAGAACCAAACAATGACCAATGGGTATAGGGACATGTCTGGAAGCCCTATATCATGGCTCAAATCTGGGATATATAGCGTGGGAACTCGACCATATATGGGCAAGCTATGGTAATTCTAAATACATGACTCATTTGGACACTTTTTTGACTTTTTATTGAAATCACAAAATCAGACCATTCATACATTACACTCTTAATTAAAGCGGTGTCATAATGATAATATGGTCTGATTGCAATATTATTTGAATATATAAACCCACATAAGATCATGAAATTCAACATAATCATCATGAAGCCCATCTCCTCTGCTCACAAGGATAATATCCTTGTTCTCTGTACCTCTGGTTTATCTACTAGGCAAATTGCCTCAAAAACTGGTCTCAGCAAGTCTACTATTACTACAGTCATAAAGCAGCACATGCCAGAGAAGGAAAATCATCAAATGGGATGTCCTCCCAAGCTTACTCCACAGAACAAAAGAGCTATTGTTCACCAAATTCTATCTGGCAAGGCTTCAAATGCTACCCAAGCTACCAAGTTCATCAATTCCATCATCTCCACTCCTGTCTCCACCCAAACTGTTAGAAACACCCTCAAGGCAGCCAATCTTAAGGCTGTAAAAAAGAAGAAAAGACCTCTTCTCTCTGTAGCTCATAGGAAGAGAAGACTGGCCTTTGCTTTAAAGCACCAACATTGGACTGTGGAAGACTGGAAGAAGGTTATTTGGTCAGATGAAATAAAAATCAATAGAATGGGGTCATATGGCCAGGAATATGTGTGGAAAAAGGCAGGAGAACCATTAGGAGAAAGAGAAGTCAAGGGTACACTGAAGTTTGGAGGAGGAAGTATGATGGTATGGGGTTGTATGGCATGGAGATTCTTTGTGAGGTGGAAGGATGGATGAATGCAGATCAGTACATCTTTATTCTAGAGGAGTGTCTACTCAAAAGCATGCAGAAGTCAGGAATTGATGAAGAAGACATTATCTTTCAACAAGATAATGACCCCAAGTACACCTCAAAACTGGCTACAACATGGTTTGAAGATCATGATATCAATGTTCTATCATGGCCAGAACAGTCTCCAGACCTCAATCTCATTGAACATCTCTGTGGATTACTCAAAAGACTACTTGCTGCCTATCAAGATCCTCCACAGGGGCTATTTGAACTATGGGAGAGAGTTGCAGCAGAGTGGAAAAAGATTGCTGAAGAGAAGTATCAAAAATTGATAGAAAGTATGCCTAGGAGAATTGCAGCAGTTATTAAAGCCAAGGGGGGTAGCACCAAGTACTAAAATCATAGAATAGTCTTGGTTAAATACAAAGTCAAAAAGTGTCCGAATGAGTCATGTATTTAGAATTACCATAGCTTGCCCATATATGGTCGGGTTCCCACGCTATATATCTCAGATTTGAGCCATGATATAGGGCTTTCAGACATGTCCCTATACCCTTTGGTTATTGTTTGGTTCTGCCTTGCTATTGTTCAATTACTTGAAAATGCATAAACATTCGGACACTTTTTTGAGCCACTGTATCCTGTGAGAATTCTCAGTAGAACCTTACCTCCTCTAGACACAAGTCTCAACTTGTTGTCACCTCCGACCCTCCGCTCCGACTTAGAGCCATGCTCTAAGTCTTCCCCTTATTACTCTGCCCCTATCAAATATCCTCCTTCGCTCCTCTGCATTATCCTCCGCCTTTCCCGCCCCTACCAACATTCCCCTACTCCTATCCCCTCTCCGCATCACTCCCCGCCTTCTCCACTCTGCTCCTAGTTGGCCCACCGCTAGTAGCTCTTACTCCCCAACCCTCAGAGCAGACCAAAGTGGTCCAATCGTCCTACTGTCGGACAACGTCGGACCCACTCCAAATTCGGGGCATGTACTCGGCTAAGGGCGCAGCGCAAGAGCTGAAGCCAAGCCCCGACCCTTCTGCTTCCTGAGTCGGCACAGGTATCTAACATCAACCCTCAAACACATGCTGACATCATGATGCTGTCACACGAGGACAATGACGGTCGACATCCTTACTGGTATGCCCATGTAATCAAGATTTTCCACCTTGATGTTTGGTATGATGGCCAGGGTGCTATGCAGGCACCAACCCGTATGCATGTGCTTTTTGTACGCTGGTTCGGATGCAACATTGATTTCAAAGCTGGGTGGTCAGCAAAGTGACTCCACTGCATTGGTTTTTTCAAGCAGGATGACCCCAGTGAAGGTTTTGGTTTCATAGATCCTGACCATGTCATTCGTGGTGTACATTTAATTCCTGGATATCAACATGGACACACTGACACTCGACTTGGGCCTTCATTTGTGTGTCCTGCAGAAGATGACAATAAAGATTTCTCATGTTTTTATGTGAATCAGTATGTGTTTACTATCTATTAGGTATTGCTATTCTAATCTATCTATGTACTAGTTTTGTAGATTGTGATATGTTCATGCACTTTCGAGGTGGTGGTGTTGGCCACAAAGTAACACAGGAGTGGGATGAATTTTTGAGGAATGACAGCACTGCAGCATCACAGGATGAAGAAGTCATTGAGCTCAGAGAGGTTGTGGATGAAGTTGTGGATGACAATGACAACAAGGGGAGTGCTTCTGAAGATCTGGGTGATGAGGGGAATCCTGTTCAAGTTGGGGCTGATGGGGAGGACAATGAATTTCTTGCACAAGAGGGGTACGGTGCCTTATAATTGAGTGATGGTTGTCTATACTTTTGTTTTCTCATTGTAGATGTACTATCCTTGACACAAACTACCCAGCAGACCTATCCAACAGTGGAGTTCAGGCCCAGGAACTTGAAGCAGGGGAGGAGAGTAGTGAGAAAAGTTCATTGGTTTTCCAGAATCAAAAAACAATGTACTGCACCATTGTACTATATGTAATACAAATCAACTATCATTCAGTACATGCAATCATGAATCATGAATCATTCTGCAAACTCGAGAAAATGAAACCAAAAAAACATATTGCTATCACATGAAGTGCATCTTTTTGGCCAGGTTCCCATGCTTATCCTTGAAATTCTTCAACTCCATCAGGTCAAGGTCAAAAGTGTCATCATTGCTGGAGATACTAGTGGCAGCGTCAAAACCCATGGCAGGATTGAAGTGGAACACGCCACACACACAGACAAGCTAGTAGTAGTTAAAATTGCATGTGTGTGTAGTAGAAGATGGAATGAACTCACGTAAACCAATGAGCACAACTTGTCGATTTTTTCTTGACATGGGTGCTGGACCGACATCATCGCCTCATACCATGCAGCATACCGATCAAACAAATAGATGAGAGAAGCCACAGAGGGCTGGTTGACCATGATGCGCAATGAGTCCACCCTCCAGCACTCCCCCAAGTGCCAAATACCACCACTTCTCTAACACTGGAAGGAAGTGGGCACAGGGCTCCTCAGATCAGAGTGATTTTGGAGGGTCTCACTAGTATGACAGTCTACTACTATTGCTGGCACTGAGTCACTGCTGAATCAGTGCTGAGCTTACACTAGCTAGCTCATGGTACTGTATCAGGTACTGGCCCCACTGCCAGTGGGGTATCATAGAATATCATTTGAATGTTGCTATTACCACTGAATGTCAGCCTGATCACTCCAGCTATTGCATGATTCAGCCTCATCATAAATATGAACATCATTTTTGATGAACTACGCTTGTCATCTAAGAGCTACAAAATCACATAACCAGAATCCTAATCAGGCAGTGTCAGGTTTTTGGACTTTTGGTGATGTCAAACATCACAAAATTTGCAGAAGTGAGATATTACCTGATTTAGACTGTTGTGTGCCACAACAATTGACACATCACTGTCAGACCATCTCGGCAACAGCCAGGACGTGATAGAAAACATCTCGCAATGACATTGAACCTATCTGCATGCTATCAAGATGGGGTTACTATGTAGTACATTGTATCTACATGACATATACAATGTATTGCCCACATTAACTGGCAAAATTAAGTGAGTGCAAACAAAATGTTAAGCTAAAGTGCGCCATAGCCCTCCTCTGCAAGCAGGTCACGTCATATTCAGCAGCCTGACAGAACATTGCGATTGGTTTCAATAACGAGTGGCACAAAGTCAATGCACTATAGTTTCACAGATGTAACTGATAGCCTGCAGGGTGGTGATCTTCAAATTGGTGTCATCAAACATGTTGATAAAACCAAGGAGAATTTCAATGAGATCCAGCCATTGGCTGATGGGCAATTCTACTGCTGTGATCGCAGAAACAACTATTAATATATGATGTACAAGCATATATGTAACACGCCAATTGGTGAAACTCACCTTCCTGTGTCAAAATCATGGAAGATCTGATGGCCTGCAATATTCCATGTGCAACAGCCAGCTGATTGGCATTCTTGAGCTCCTTGGCCCGCACCTTGACACAGTATTTACAGTGTGCATGCCAGTGCACCTTATCGACCTTTGCAGTCCCCTGATGAAAATGTCCCCATAGCCAGGACTTCCCCCTAGCCATCAGAGCAGCAAAGGAAGGCAATACAATCCCAGAAGAATTAAACAGAGGATCAATGATTGCAATTAAAAATTGGCCAACCCCCAATTAACTCAAATAACTCCTGGTACATTAACCCTACTAACCCTACCTAAAAAACAGATCCATTTAACAAACCTCTTAATGGGGATGGGCAACACTCATAAACAAAGTGTGACATTATGTAAGCACAATGCTAAAGAACATGAGGGCAAATATCAATAGTGTATCAAGAGTATGACTAGTGCATGCCAATTACAACTACACATGTGAAGAAATTATACTATGAGCTGTGTAAGTTAACATCAAAAATTTTGAGCAAGACTGCACCTCAGCTGCCTGAGCTCTTGCTGCAATCTCTGAGCTTGAAGCTTGCAGAGAGTGCAGCTGTTCCTGAAGACATACAGCAGCATTGTCCTTTCATGAGGCCCACTTGCACTCACTGCAGTAGTGCCTCTCGTATGTCTTGGTCTTCTGATGTTGTGTGTCAAGCTCAATTTGCAGGTGTGCCACGATCGCAGGACTTGGACTGCTGTCCCTTGCACTACAGGTCTTGGCAGGAGGACCATTTTCCTTTTTGACACTTCTAGAGTTTAAGTGTGCAAGATGAGCCTTTTGTGTTAGATAACACCTTTTTACTGGGTTGTAGTGGTCCCTTTTGATGTATCGGGGCTGCATTGGACAGTTAATCCTTTTCTTGATGTGTCAATTTGCGCTGAGTCAGCACACTCATCACTGGCCTCAAAGATCGACTGGTTGCCAGCAACACGACCCCTCGTGTCACTTGAAAATTGGGTGAAATGTATTCTTTTTACTCCATCATTGTATTCTATGAAAAAAAAAATCACAAAAAACGGTGCATTTCATGCCATTGTAGTGAGTGATTTTCCCAAGGACAGCACCATTTGCACTTTTTCCCCATAGAATACTCAAGTTTCATTAATCCATGCATGTTTCTCCACACAAACTTTTTGTCAGATTGTTGTGGTAATGTAGTGTCAGTCGATCTTTTCATTGGACACTTGTTTCGACTCCATGCACTACAAAGCAAATCACGGGCGGAGTTTCAAATTGACTGAGCGCTGCCCATCCCCACTCTTAACCGGTTATGACTGGGTCAAGTTATAACCCTTTTAATGGGTTAGTAACAACACTGCCACTGACGGTGCTGTGCTTCCGCAATTCTATATCCACCTTTCTGATACAGCAAAACAGTATCGGCCTTCCATCATGGGTCGATGTTCGATCAACGGATGTCCAGAATAACGTTGTCTGCTGAGGACACGATTCAAGGCACCACGTACCACATCTGACGAAGAGCGTCAGCATCCTTGGTCTCAGCGGTTGCTTGACCACGCAAATACTATGCAGCATGTTCCCTACTTGCTCGTGTGTGTAACATGCTATCAGTATCATCCGTTCGTCTGTAAGTACTTCAACCAGTTCATTTCAAGCACATGCGGTCGAGTGACGTTTGCACTGTACCAAAGCTGCCCGACTTTGAACAGCGGCGATCTCTCGTAGATGTCAGATGTACCTACGTTCTCTTCCTAGCAAGAGTAAGATACGATATTGAGGTGACGTTTCAACCATGTCGCACGATGCGAATATCGAGGAAGTTGGCGGGTCGGTTGACCAGGCGACAGCGTCTTAACGAATCATATTACATCTCGATACTATTTTGCAAAGTTCTTACTCGTCTGAAGTAAGCGATTTGGGATCTCTTTGCACTGAGACGTCAGCGTCTCAACTGATGCTATTTGCAGCTAACCAAGTTGAACCGCAGGGACCATTTGCAACGCTACTCCATCGTGCAAACAACGGCATCGGGGGGACGTCATGCAGTATTGCAGGTCAGTTATGTTTGTTACCGTATCAGTTTCTTGCGCAGATTTATTGTGGTTTGCGGCTAGCAAAACATTCGACATCGTAAGTTGGACCAAGTATGTCATTGATTATTGTATTGTTAGGTTCCATTTCTCTTCACTAAACAGAGCCGAACGTTGTGAGCATAGGCTGCCTAATCGGACCCGACCAGTCACGGAGCCGATGAAGAATAACTATTATGCCATTCATGGTTCATTCCCAGCATGTTTTCAGAACATAAAAAGCCAGCCGTCAGACTGCCGTCTTCCCTACCACGCACTACCTCAGAGTTAATCGAGAACCTGTCTGACAGATCCCACATCTCCTCGTACATCTAATGCGTTTCTCCTTTCTCGCCATCGTGACTGCTTTGACAGCATCTATGTCTGTCAGTGCGACACCAGCTGTTTTCAGCAGGGATTCGCAATGCGCTGAGGTTGGCGGCATTTGCGGCTTCGGTTTGCCAGGCTGCTGCTCTGGATATCTGTGTGCCGTGAGTATGAGTAGTTTGCTTTGCATCCCCTTCTGACCCTTGCGCCTTGTGATAGATTGACAGTGATGGTGATACGTCTTGCGTTGCCTCTTCCTTCTCCAATGCAGAAGGACCCTCAAGATAGCAGGGAGCTCGCATGTCACAAGGGTGAGTCGATGTCCTGCCTTCGCATCGGTGGGCATTCATGGAGCAACCTTTACATAGTTGATTCCTGGGTTGTTGCACTTGGTCAAATTTCCCTGCCACTGGAGTAATGGGGCCCCTGCATCTCGAAGACTCAGATATGATATTGATTTGAAAATATGACAGTACTGCAGCCCCAGTGGTCCGAGTCGTAAGCTTGAAAATCAAAAGCCTCGTAAGTTGGACATATTGCCGGTGTGTCGGCTGCAAAAATCAGTAAGGAGTACCGGTTCACAACACTTGCGATAACATGTATGGGTCGCAATTTCCGTCGAGTACAGCAACATGGACGGAGACGGTATGTCTAATAACCAACAGTGGGATGCCATGTATTATTGGAATGCTAGCAGGAGGGAGACGGAGCGAGGTTATCCTACAAACAGCACGGATTACAGCGTGTAGCATGCGCATTGTCTATCTCGACCTGGATCAACACATTTATCACCAATATTTACTGACGAGGACACTACCTTCCTTAAGCAATGCCCACGTATCGATACACAGATAACAAGTACAAATCCTAACTTCGCGAAAAGACGACACTCCACAAAGGAGTTCAGCAAGGAAAAAATTCAAGAGAACCAGTCCGAGAGTAGTCTGAATCGAGTTTCACGATCCACGAAGGATACGCGAGCCACGAAGCGAGCTCAAGGGCAAACCAGTCCCATCGCATAATGATGCAACCAACCGCGCCTCATACGCAGAGGTAGTTAGCCTCTCGCCCCTTACGCAAGGAGATATTGGCCTCCGAGCCATAGCGGCAGTTCATGATTACTGACCGTGAACAGAGCATATGCTCGCCACAACTTGTCAGTGCCCGCCACTGAGTCAGACTACTAACAGCAGCAACATAAGTAGTGCTCGCCAGATTGTTACCCGCAGTGGCAGGATATCAACACTGACAACCACATTGCTCGCCATATTTTTAGTGGCCCGCATTCAGTCAAGCTACTGACTCAATAGCGAACTTGATCATGCCTCGCCACGTATCGTGTAATCATCTTGAGCGCCTTCACAGGCGCACGCGCGATAGCGATGACTGGCTGCTAAACAACAGATACAAGTTCGCCCGATCCCCGCGACGTTTTCAAAGCCTTCATTCTCGCCCTCCTCTGCCATAAGCAGAATCTTCGGGATAGGAGAAACGAAGCTGTTTTGCTGGAACGTCGTGCAGCTGATTACAGCTGGGCTTTGTTAGAGCCTATCGAGGGGGATTGGAATACTCAGACCTTAACCCGCTCAGAAATTTGGGTGCATGTAGCAACCCTGTGCGTGACGAGCATTCGTGGCTTTCGAGCTGGTTGATGAGAGAAATAGTTTGGAAGTCCGCTTGATGCTTTATTTTATGCTGAAGTAAGCTCCGAGTAGATACAACCATAATAGGACGCTTCACGCCGCCCGAGGGTCGAGGGGCGCATATTGACCGCGTGCTCAACCAATGCAAGAATTCATGGATGTTGTTCGCTCATGGTCAGTCGGTTCTATGTGTACCACTAGGCGTCTTCATCTGATCACCTTCGAAAATTTCCATAAATCATGCAACTCGGAAGGACAACTTCCTTTCCCAGGTGAAGTTATAAGGGACATATCATTTATCTGTGGCGTCCTATAATACGCTCGAGGTTCAATACGTCCGACAAATTTTACCCTCTGGAATCTGGCAGGTTCGTCTCAAAGATCAAGGTGCATAGCTGCACTACCATGATGGCCACGGTTATACCGCGGTTCCATGTTCACCTTCAGGTATAGACCTCCCGTGTTCCTCTGTGCTTGCTTCTCGTGCACCCGGGGAGCTCTTTGGCTGGGGGGAACCCACCCTCGATGGATATGCTGATGCAATTGAAGGCGTTTTGGCTGACCTTGTCTGGCCTTTCCTCGGTTTGGATGCGCCAATGCGGAAGGTACAAGGGTATCAAAAATGTCTGGTTAGTTGCATAGCACGCTATGTTTTATTGTGTTTGACCTGTCTTGATGACGTGCGTGTCTACCAGCTTCCTCGCCCCCTATTCGAAAAAGTTAGTATGACTCGACCAGGCGGCCCTGTCTGGTCTTCATATTGCATTCCAGGATATCAAATGCAAGAAGTTTCGAGTGTCCAGGTGGTAGAATCAGGGATCGTGGTAGATCGGTTGTTACCATCTGAGTGCTGTCTGTGAAGCAGGAAGTGAACGCAAAGGGAAAGATTTGCTGTTGTAAAGATGAATACCACTGGTGAGTTCTATAACCTCACGATATTACGAGTCTGAGGAAATACTATGTAGCACCTGTAACGGTGACCGGCAGAACAACTGGGTCCGACCTCGGCATGACTAACCATTTCTGGCATAGGTCAGGTAATCTTACAATAGGCATCAAGCTAGCGTGAATATTACACCCCTACCAGGAAACGACCATGCGTGTCGCATCGTGTCCTAGGTGAGTACCCCATGTACTTCCTGGTTTTATTTTAGTGCCAAGCGCTGCTATAACTTCATTTCTTCGCGTGCTTGGCCTCTGAAAGGGGATAATGGTCCTTGCGGCCTTGCCCCACGAGTCAAGCTATCCACCTTGACGGCACGATGTTGATGCAGCGTTGTCACTTATCAGTTCCTCACCCCGAAGTCTTGGGTTACATACTTTGCTGATCATGTCGTCTCCCTGTGGCACAACGATACATAGAGAGGGAGGGAATACATGATGTCAGAATTCTAACGATTCCATATATTCTATCATTCATGGTGGTAATTATTAGGAGGCGCTGGAGCGAGGTCATGAGTGTATGTGAGAGGCAGTAGAAAGGGTTGTGCAGCGAATGTTCGTGGTTAGTTCTTTTGCCGATGAGCGCTGAGAAGTCAATGTACTTATGATCAGGGTGATGGTCACTGGATACAGGTTCTTTCGAGGGATCTTGAATATACATCGATTGACTCACCTTCGCTGTGAAAGACATGACTCCATGTTGGCCTCACTTTGAATGGGTGATCCGATTATGTTAAATCATAATATTTAATTTCATGCGAGGCTATATGAGCGAGCCTCGAGGACCACTACGTGCAGGGATTCTCCGCACCTGATTTCATGGCATACGCAGCAGTGCTCAGCGCTCAGCGCTTCAGCAGACCAGTGCTCGAGGGTGTATAAACCGGCAACTATCCTCAAGACCTTTGATGATTTCATTTCAAATGATCAAGTTTCAGTGTTCACTAGCACAACTTAATAATTGATCTTCTCTAGCGGCGTGCACTGCAGAATGTCATGCGAATAATACTCATTTCGGGTATAAAGCGCTGCATGGTGTGGTATATCTAGCACGAACGCTATCGATTTGTCACATGCCCACTAAGTTCACCACTCCCTCACGTAACATACTCTGACACCATGACACTAATCTCAAATGATCCCAGTTGGTGGCCGCTCATCAATTTGACTCGGATCAGCAGCTATTTTGTAGGTTCGTGGAGAGCCAGTTGGATGATGACAGTAATGTCTCGATCTAATCTTGGCTGCGGTTTCACAGTTGCTTCCTCTGCTGGGGTGATGTACGATTGGGGTAAGCAAAATAGTATTCAAGAACCACTGGTAATATCCTTATCATTTTTCAGCACTGTCATTCGGACAAGAGGTATGTTGATGCTGTTACTGGAACAGCCATCTCGCTAAGAAAGGTTTCGAGGTCGAACTGGTCTGGGTGAGCTGAGTTCCACATCAGAAGAACAACGTGAAATATAATTATTTTGCGGCAGAGGCAACGCTGGTCCCTCATGACTGTTCTGTATCTGAGTGTATGTCGTCTGCGTTATAGGTGTGGTTGGCAAATTACACTGACTTGAAAACTTTATCCTAGGTGCGCTATGTTGGAATAATATATATAGTGTATGTTTGGAACTTGGCTAAGCGATTGGCGCTGCGCTAATCGTCTCTCACAATCAGTATCAGCATAATGTGTATGTCTGCTCACATACACCATGTTTTTTTCTTCTGACTGGCATACAGTAAATGTCCCGACAATCCCGGTGACACCCGTAGTGAGTATTCTGCACCGACACCTGCTATTGCTGTCCAACTAATTGCACTCCCACGTAGGGGTGAGTGAGATTCTTGACCCAGCTTCAAGTTGTTGATTCAATATAATGATTACCACAGCTGTGAGTTTGTTTCGAGAGTGTGATCCTTCAAGGCTGGTCACTAACCGGATTTGTCAGGCTACATTATGTATGTCACACGAAATTGGACGAATGTCGCAGTATTCGTGATCCTGGGTGGTGAGCTGCATAGTTGCAATACCTCAGTATTTTGACTTGACTGAAACATCATGCAAGTTATTATGATCACTCGGTTACATGCCATGTATCAGGGATCCAGAATGATGCTGATATTTCTCGTTGTTGTCTTCTTGGCTGTCAAGATTGCCACCGTAGTGATCACCGCAATATCAATGAGTCATATTTCAGAGGGTAAGCTCTCATAAATAATTGAGTGCATCAGGCTCATTGATGCATACTAGACGTGTTAATTCTCTCCGGCACCTATCAGTGCACTGTGGACTTTCAGGGATCAAATGATTCACTTCTGGTGATCATCACTTCAACACTCACTACTGCATGGGAGGTCCTCGTACTGTGTCTCGCAGTTTGGATTGCTGTAAAACACTTTCGTGAACTGCAACGGTCGTCGACAGGATGGATTATTGAGGACTATTTCATGGTGTTGATGAAAACTCACGTGATTTACTTTGCAAGGTGAGCTTATAATGTGAATATGGTTCTCTTTTTCTTCTGAATTTTCGCACATGCTAGCTTCGTCGTTGTTTCTTGCCTTCACCTCATTTATTTGTCTCCGATGCTCTCAGCGGTATGCCAATCTGTCACCGACCTCTGCATGTGATCACGGTTCATCATTTCTACAGAACTTAGATTCCCTGGAAAATCATATCTCTGTTGGTGTTCTTCAAATTTTTCTGTTTGTCCAGATGTTCGTGCTGGGACCACGCCTGATCCTTGGCGTTCGACATTATCACGCTGAACTCCTAGCCGGCTCGGATGCGGGAACTGCCATGACTTCAATATTTTTCCAGGAGCGTGTGCATGTGTCGACTTGCAGTAGTGTGTAGCACGCGAAATGTTCATTCTCGCAACCATCCCTTGGTGATCGAACTGAGTATCGGAAGTTTACAGGTAAGTGTTGGTCATGTCTCTGCCTTCCAGCTTCATCTGAAAGATCGAGGTGCGTCTCGCGGGCAAGCATTGTACAGTGCTTCCAGAATCCATGTTTTCTTTCTGCATTACTATAGATTTGTCTTATATTGGTTCGCCTCGCCGGCCCAGTACATGTTCAGTCTCTGACCTTCCTTGAACAACGCCCATCGCAAACCCATGATAAACGTGGATCAGCAGCTGATTTGATCTACGGTAGCGTGGTGGCACATGTCTAAGTCGTACTTATTCAAATGTTGGAAGGTCAAGAGGGAACGGCGTCATCCTAGTAGCCGTCCACCGCCTTCCTTCATGATCAGTGATCGAGGCGCGTCCCAGATAGTCCCATAGCGTTGTACCGCAATCCATATCCACCTTCAAGTAGAAACCCTCCGCGTTCACTCGTACTGCGAGTTGACATTGTTGGCTGGGGAGAACTCACCCCCGAAGGACACACTGAGGCGACTGAGAACACTTGACGATTTTGCATGCCGTTTCCTTCATCAGAGTGGAGACTGGATGGAATCGAGGTTTACCTGGCAGACTGCATAGCACGCTATATTCTATCGTGGTGGCCCTCTCTACTCGCGACGCGAAACTTCGAAGGATATGTACTAGATGTCGCGCAATCGAACATGAGTACTCACCTCTCAGCCGACCTGCATGATCCATTCTGGTGTCTTTTTTAGCCTCTCTCCTTATCTTTTAATAGACCGACTAGACTGAATAAGTAAGGTCTCCGATTGCGGTGGAATACCGGAGTTGGTACGCATCGCCTCTCTGGCGGAAACATCACGATGTTGCACTTGACTTGCCTCGCACTGTCCATTATGACCGATTGCCTTGGCAGCGTGCATCGCCGTTCATCTTACTAGCAGGCGCTAATCATTAGTTTCAGGTATTTAGCCTTCATTCAGGAAATGAGATGGCATATGGGGTTTTCACTCTAGTGCACCCCTACTACCAGACAGGCTACATGTATATCTATTATAAGAACAGACCTCTTCATGTATCTCGCAGTTTTGCTGCGAAGGATGGTCACAGAGTGAGTCTCGTCCTCAATGGTCCACTCCATTATTATGGACAGATCTACATGATCCCGCGCAATTCACACTTTGCTGCCTCCCAACCATCAGAGATGAGCATGCTGACTGTCTTCTTTCCAACCCGCGGAGACGGCTTTCGAACTAATGGATACTGCATTTTGGCTCACCTAATCTTGTTGCTCTCCGCTCAACGCCCAACAGATTTGATAAGCCATAGGTCCTCCCAGTGGATGAGTGTGCTAAGGAACATAGTAGAGCCGGCACTGACCGGCGTTGGCCGAACTAACATGGGGGGAGGACGGAAGCATCCGTGGTAAAATTTTCTCTGCCACAAAACGCTTGGCTGCAACCAAACTGCTAGCAGGCGCTAAGCGTGTAATGACTATCGGAGCGCAACGAACCACATGCTGACGATATCGATATGGCAAAGTTCAAGGAATTTTTTTTGCTGTGCCTTCCCGAGTGTCTGACAACGTTATAAACATGCCCCTTGTTCATGTTTTTCTTATCGCGCCTCGTGTCTTCCCTCTGAGAAGCTTCTCACCAAGGTTGGGTTGCTTGGCTGGTCCACAGCAGTGCGCACAAATACCCTCTTAGATCTAATCAGCCAGTCATTAGACATATACTCATCAACAAACCTACTGACTAATTCGATCCTGCGACTATGGCCATTACACTGATCACTACAGTCCCTGGATTGCACCTGCAGTCCCCCTCGTTGTCGAAAATCACTTCCCCGACCACGCTGGTGCATTCTTGGAAGTCCCCACAATCACCTGCATTTTCAGATCCCTCTCCCATACTCCCCATCCCTCTCCAGATATCATCCACCTTCCAGCATCACGTCTCCACCAAGAGTACATCTCCTGCGACTCCTTCTCCGCGCCTCCCACCAGAGCTTTTCCTCGACATCATCTCATTCTTTGCCGTCCCAGACACACCCACCATGATGGACATCTACGACCAGTCAAATCTCGCAGAATTCTGCAATTGTTCCCTTGTGAGCAAATTTTGGCTACATGCAGCCCGAGCGCATCTATGGAGACACGTGCGACTCGGAGGTGGACGAAGGGGGAATAGATTCGTCGATTTATTGCAACGTTACACCTTAGGGCGTGGGTCCACACTACCAAGTTTTGCCCCGTACGTCAAAGACCTCTTCATTCGCGAATCGCGAGGAGGTTTGTCATGGGACCCGAAATGGCTTAACGCAGCCTTGCCTACCCTAGCCGGGTCGCTCCTCAATATCCACTCTCTCGAAGCTGAGCGCATCACCTGGGAGTACCTGTCGTCCAAGTCTCGAGACGCGTTCATCAAGGGATTCAAGGGTGTACGGAAGCTTGCACTGCGGGTGTGCGATTTCAGGACGACGCTGGATATGATCAGATTTATTGGAGAATTTGAAGATGTAGAAGCGCTCGCGCTGGACGGGGTGCGCTGCGAGTGGGACAATATACCTGCGGAGTTGCTTGGATCTAGAGCAGGTGATAGAGGTGTTCCTAAGCCACCAAGAAGACTAAGGGAGCTCGCGATGCGGGGAGCACGTACCCGGCAGGTATTGGAGTGGATACGGGCGGTGATGAAGCACGTTGGAGGGCCTGTAACAGTGGAAGTGTTGAGGCTCGGCGCGTTGGGTGTCAAGAGTGCCCCGGCCGCAGGGAAATTCTTGAAGGCGCTGGGCACAAGTTTGAAAGAGCTTCATCTCGGGTTTGATGCTGCATTCATAGACGAAGGAGGTAAGAACTTGCTTTGAACAACGAAAGATAAGGACTCACGCAACGCAGACGAGATTGTATCCCACATCGACCTCAGCCACAACATCGGTTTGAGAGAGATGCATGTGTATGGACTCGTTATTCCTTCCTTGCCACCTCCAGATCCATCGGACCTCGATCCTCCCCCTCCACCGCCGCAGTTGATGCCGCTCACTGCCCTCCTCGATCGTGTGCGCGCACCATTGCGAGCTCTCTCGCTCGCATTGCACCCTGCTGATCTGTACGCACTTTCATCGATGGACTTTGCAGGGCTGGCTCACGTATTCGACGGCGACTCGTGGACAAGTCTCGAGGATATACAAGTCGTGGTAGCGAATGAAGACGATGGAATGATGGGCGGGATTGTCAATCAGAGACTGGAAGGACTATTCGAGAGGGGCGTGCTAAGGGTTAATGTAGGTTTTGATGACAGGGAAGTCGTATTGATTTGAAGATCTAGACATATATATAGCTTCGTAATGCGATATAATATTATTTCATCGTGCAATTGGTGTTCAACGTGCAGAGTCTGGCTGATACTTGGAAGCGGACTGTGTTTTAACAAAATCTATTCCGCTTCAAGTACTAGTCAGACTGCAGAAAAGCCGAAGTGCTCCTTTGGAATGGATGGTGACGCGCGATGGTATGAAGAAGTCGAGCAAGGTTGCGAGCGCACTGGAACCGATGCCTCCCGGATCTTCCGCCATGGATGATGCCTATGTGCCTGAACATGGACGGCAATGAATTGGCAGAACCCGGTTCTTGTGAACTGCGCAGAGAAGGCGGTAAGGCAGGCCTATTGGGTCTGATCCTTTGGCAGAAATCTCTTCAATACCATTGCAACTAAAGGGGTAACAAATGGCCCAGATCAGCAGCGCATCGTAGTAGCGTTAATGAGGGTGCTTAATCTTACCAAATAATGTTGCGAGTAGATACCGACGATAAGAGGGATCTGAGAGGTTGTGAGGTCTGTCCGGCTCTCGACATACAATATCAGATCCTGGTCCATGAAGCGGAAGACTCCAGGACAATTGCAGTGCAAGTAGGAAGATATTGTGACATTCTTACACCTGAAGCCGGGGATTTGGATTAACTTTTGGATCAAACCTAGAAGACAGGTGCACACTGCTTTCAGATAGTGCCAATGAATTAGATAAGGACCGCCTGGAGCTAGATGAACTCTATCTGATTTCATGACAATGATTGTCTATGATTGCGCAGCAAAATTGTGATCGAAACGGTATGGCGTAGATGATCATGAGGATTTCAATGCAGAGGCCCTGTCGATTAGTTTCTTGATGTTGAAAGGAAAATTGCAAGAGGCCTGATCAGCGAAACCATCATGCCTGTTGAGTGCTTGCGTTTAGGGCAGGTCCCGTCCATCGGAAAGATTGATGTCCGACGTCTCCCCGAAGTATCCCGAATGGTAGTCCGTGGACCGTGGTAGTACTAGAGCGACAGATCTACTCAGTCGCATGACCGAGTGGGAACTCTGAATTAGGGTGCAAAGCAAACGACAAACTCGAGAGCCTGGAGCTAAAAGCGGGCTGCTCGACAACTTTTTAACTGTTCCAGACGGTACCTTGGCGCGTAGTAGTAGGCCTCGACGTTATCTGGGGACATGGCAGCTACTTAATGGATGGCCAGATATAGCATGCATACCTCAGGCTCTCTCCATCGCCATCATGTCCACTACAAATTGGGGAGACACGAGGGAAGTAACCGCCCCCGCTGATTTTCATGTTCACCTCCGGGATGGCGCATTATCGAGGCTCGTTACCCCCCATGTCCACAAGGGCGGTTTCTATCTCGCATATGTCATGGTACGTGCTAATTTCTCAGCACATATAACAACGATCGATTGACGATCACAGCCAAATCTTGTACCCCCGATTACCACTACAAGGATGGCAATGGAATACCAGAAAAAGTTGAGGGAGAACTCAGGATCAACCAAAGTGGAGTTCCTAATGACTCTCTATCTTTCCGACGATCTCTATCCCAGCGATGTCAAAAACTGGAAGGCTGCTGGTATCATAGGCGTCAAATCATATCCCCGTGGCGTGACCACCAACTCGGACCAGGGGATCGAGAGTTATGACAAATACGACGAGCTATTCAAAGAGATGGAGGCGCATAGCATCGTGCTTAATCTTCACGGAGAAATCCCATCGGATCACTCCAAAAACACCTGCGTCCTCAATGCCGAGGAACGTTTCCTCCCCGTTCTCGCAGATCTAGCCGAGAAATATCCTAAACTACGTATCGTCCTTGAGCACGCGACAACCGAAGCTGCCGTCAAGGCTGTCATGGCTTGCGGTGACAATGTGGCATGCACAATCACAGCACACCACCTCACACTCACAGTCGATGACTGGGCAGGCCAATCTTTCCACTTCTGCAAACCTGTTGCCAAGTTTCCAAGTGACCGTCTCGCTCTCCAAGAAGCCATCAAATCCGGCAATAAGAAATTCTTCCTCGGCTCTGACTCTGCCCCGCACCCCAGCCTTTCAAAATCGACGGCAACGCCGACAAGCGGGTGCGCAGCAGGAGTGTATACGTCCCCTATCCTTCTCCCCCTCGTCGCGCACCTCCTCGATTCGTTCGGAGCGATCGATAGGTTGGCGGATTTTACCAGTAATTTTGGGCGTGCGTTTTATCAGATCCCGCTGGCATCACACGCCCCGAAGGTTGTGGTACAGAAGGTGCAAGGGGTGACCGTCCAGGCTGAATATAGTAGCGAGGAGAAGGCGGTCGTACCTTTCTGGGCGAGCAGATCGATCGATTGGCAGATTGTAAATGTCGAGGAATGATCGATTCGGACGAGCAGGAAAATTTTGGAAGACGAGTTTAATCGTTAGAAGAACCCATCGACTTCAAATCAATCCATCCAACCTTTTGCTTTACATTGACGGTTTGAACTTCGAAGTTCTAAAGAGGACCGTGACAGTGCTGGAGGGCCTCCGGATCGCAATGCCGGCCTCCCACATCTGCGAGCCCTGCTAGGAATGATCAGAACGTATGTATATATGATTCAGGAAAGGCAATTGACGACACGCTCGAGCCTATCGCAACCTATCGCAACTCGGATTGGGAACTATCATCACTAGGACGTACGAGCGCTCGATGTGAAGGTGACCCTACCGAAACTTTGAAAGGACCCGGGACGACTCGGAATTCTTAGCCAGTAGCTGTGAACCGGGAACTTAGCCACAGCTTCAGTAGTCAGCCATCTCCGAGGATATGGCCCTATATATTGGGAATACCGCTACCGGCCCGGGTAGTCATGCATGCAGCAAGGCGAGCTTGGAACGGTTTGACCGACGGCCACTGGCCAGCAAGTAACTCCCTTCTTGAGCCTGTAGGGTGGGCTTACAGAACTTCTGTACAAGCCTAAGGGCCACGCCACCAGAGATCGTGGATACGACGATCTACGGAAAATGTATTTGCAGCCACCTTGCCACATCATGATGACATCCACTTTCGCCCGGTTGAAGGATGGCACTATCTAAAGTAGATTAAGCTCTAAGATACAGGTATAATTTTACAATTGCAACTCCTCTCTCTCCCAGCTAGCCGCCATTCATCTGGCCCAGAGCTGTCCCCACCTCTGTGCGTATGACCTTCCAACACTCGGAAAAATCTGCACAAGTCCCAGTCAAACGAGAGTTCAAGCAGGCTAAAGCAGCCTATCTTCACCAACCTCTACATCTCCAGCTCAATACTGGTGACGAGTATACCAACTTTCGTCAAAAATGGTGGCAGTGGTGGTAAGTGAAGCTGCTTTTGGAAGCAATGTATGCCTTCATGGAGCCACGGACAGGTTACCCAAGGACCCACCGCCTCCAGCTCCCCCATCTCTGGAGGATGCAGTGGTGAGCGAACCTCCTTTTCTAATTTGCTAAAGGATCCCCTAATGACTTCGTGTTCTGCAGCTGACGCCTTTGGCCGATGCTTCCATTTTCTCTCAGCTCACTTTCACCTGGATAACCGGTATAATGGTCGGTCATTGAACCTCGATCGCTATGCATACTGTTCTGACGCATATATTCAGGTCCTTGGATATCAACGCACGCTGCAAGCGTCTGATCTATACAAAATGGACACACCTCGACAGTCAGCGGTACTTGCCGCCAAACTTGAAGCTGCATGGCAGCGGCGTGTTAAGGCAGCAGCCGACTGGAATGCACGGCTTGAGAATGGAGAGCTCAGGCCATCTCTCTTCAAACGTACAGGCTGGGCCTTACGTGCAATTTGCTGTAAAGGACAGATGCAAGGCACGACTTGGTCTGAGCGACGTGCAGCGTTTCGAAAACATTGGCGAGAATCCGAAGGACGGAAAGAGGCCAGCCTTACCTGGGCTTTGAATGATGTCTTTCGCAGTATGTTCTGGATTGGAGGTGTATTCAAGGCATGGGTCTTCTTCATCAATTGTCACTGTCATGATGCATTTAACACCTCGCTCAGGTCTTTAGTGATACAGCACAAGTCATGAGCCCTATCGTCCTTCGGGTAAATAGCAAGCCGTCTTTCGTTGTGGTAACTTATGATATCTTCTACCTTCCCTCCAGCAAATCATCGTCTTTGCGCAGGAGCGTTCCGCCGCAATCATTGCTGGAGAGTCTGTCCCCAATGTCGGTCGCGGTATCGCTATGGCTCTTGGGCTCTTCGTGCTTACGGTGACAGCCGGCGTCTGCTCCCAGCAGGTTTGTAAAACTTTGTGAGTTGAAGATGAACCCGACTAAGTTGACACATTTCAAGTACTTTTGGCGTTCAATGGCAACAGGCGTACTGGTTAGAGCCGCGCTGATCACATGTGTTTACGAGCGTGGAGTGAACCTGACAGGCAAAGCGCGTGTCAAACTCAATAACGCCGCACTGATTAACCATATCTCTACGGATGTGAGCAGGATTGACGTTTGCACTCAGGGGTTTGTGAGTCGCAAACTTAAGTATACGCTTATGCCGTCGACTGACCGCAGCTTGGCGCTCTCGCTACTAGCATGCAGGTGAGTATATATCTTTTTTTAACTTTAAGATGGCTCACTATCTTCAAGCCTGGGCTGGGCCTATCCAGGTCATACTTTGTCTAATCATTCTTCTAGCCGAGGTTTGCTGCACGCCACGAAGAATTCATTTCGTTCTAACGATACTTGAAAATTAGCTCGGTCCGTCTGCGCTCACTGGTTTTTCGCTATTCGTCCTCGTCATCCCCTTTCAAATGCGACTAATGACACTGCAGCACCGTATTCGCTTGGGGTCAATGAAATGGACTGATCAACGAGCCAAAGTCCTGCTAGAGGTCCTCGGTACGTAACCATGGAGCGACTAGGATGAACAGAAATGCTGAAGGCGCGCACAGGCACAATGCGAGTGATCAAGTACTTTTCATACGAGGTTCCCTTCTTTCAAAGTAAGCACTGATGTCAATGACCATTACATAACACCACGTCCACGAACGCCGCGTAGGGATCTTGGAACTTCGCAAAAAGGAATTGCATGGTATCCGACGGATTCTTCACTCAAGTTCGGCGAGGTAAGTTTTGATGTGTATGGCGTGGCGAGTCGCGACGTGTTATTGATTCGATCCACCCCAGCCTGGCGCTCGCTCTTTCGCTCCCAGTTCTCGCTGCTACAGTAGCCTTCGTCACATACTCCCTCACAGCGCACAACTTCAACGTTGCCGCCATATTTTCCTCGCTGAGTCTGTTCCAGGTGAGATTCTTTCCAGTGGCGTTCATAAATACGCAGCTAAGCGGTAAACAGATTCTCCGGGAACCAATGTTGTACATGCCCCGCGCTCTATCGGCAATCTCTGACGCATCCAGCGCGATCCAGCGACTTACGCACATATTCCATGCAGAACTTATTCCCGAAGATGCGCTCGTAATAAACGAGGACCAACAACCCGCGCTTCTGGTGAAGGACGCAACATTTGAGTGGGAGTCCTTCGAGAAAGACTTTGGTGAAGCTCTCAGCTCGAAGAAGGGCGCACACGGCGACAAGAGCGCGAAAGAGGGCAAGGCGAAAGACCAACTCGCACCTGAAAAGGATGTACTACGCTTTAGGGTCAAGAACGTGAACATGACCATCCCACGAGGTCAGCTGGTCGCCGTGGTCGGGCCTGTCGGAAGCGGCAAGGTAATTTCGCTGAACGAATCCTTGAAGCTACTACTGACCTATTAACAGTCCAGTTTGTTGCAAGGATTGATTGGGGAGATGAGGAAGGTCTCCGGGCATGTCTCGTTCGGCGGTCGCCTTGGTTATTGCCCGCAGACTGCATGGATCCAAAATGCAACCTTGGTAAGCATGGCATGGCTCTCAAAGAGTGAATGCAGCTCATGCCCCACTCCAGCGTGATAATATCACTTTCGGCCGACCATTCGAGGAAGATAGATATTGGCGCGTTCTTGAGACCACTTGTCTACTTCCAGATCTGCAACTGCTCCCTGATGGGGACTTGACTGAGGTAATGTGGATGAACGCAACTTGATCACACGGTTCATGCTCTCTTTTAGATTGGAGAAAAGGGCATCAATCTCAGCGGGGGTCAAAAGCAGAGAGTGAGCGTGTAGCGTGTTTCCTCCAAAGACTCGATGTGTTTATCATCGACCTAGGTTAACATCGCTCGTGCTCTGTACTTTGACCCTGAAATTGTCATATTTGATGACCCGCTCTCAGCAGGTGAGTTATATAGTTTACCTTATAGTTTTCATGCTGACAAATGCCTTCAGTGGACGCCCACGTCGGAAAGTCGTTATTCCAAGATGCCATCGTTGGTGCTCTCCGCAATCGCGGCGTTACCGTGATTCTGGTCACGCATGCGATCCACTTCCTCTCTCAAGTAGATTACATCTATACCCTGAACAATGGTGTTATCACAGATAGCGGGACCTACGATGAACTGATCTCCCGCGGTGGGGACTTTGCGCGTTTGGACCTGGAGTTCGGTGGTCATGCGTCTGAGTGGGACAATAATGACCAGGCAGAGGAAGTCAAGACTCTGCAGGCTCACGTCACCATCGATGATGTGAAGTTGAAGTCAGAAAGAGCTAGAGAAAGGGCTACTGGCAGTGGTAAAGTCGAAGGTCACTTGATCGTCAAAGAGAAGCGGACGACGGGCTCTGTGTCCTGGAAAGGTGCGTTCAAGTTCATCTGCAAAGGTTCCCTGGATTAAAACAGTTCCAGTGTACTGGACCTACTTGGTTGCGGGACGCAGTTCGATAACCGGACCTCTAGTTCTTTTCTCTATGCTTGCGATGCAGGGAAGCCAGATCTTGAACTCGTATACGTTAGTTTGGTGGGAGAGCAAGTCAGTTTCGTTTTATAAACTTCTTGGTTCCTTTTCTGAGCTCGTGGTGCAGCAAATTTGAACGACCAAACTCGTTCTATCAGACGCTGTATGGTTGCCTCGGGGTTGCTCAAGCCATCTTTACATTCTTTCTGTAAGTAGTTTCCTATCGCAGATGGCGGCATACTCACTTGACGCAACTTGCTGTAGTGGCGTTGGAATGGATTTGATTGCCTTTTACGTGTCTCAAAACCTGCACCACAAGTCCTTACACAACGTCTTTTATGCATCCATGTCCTTTTTTGACACCACAGTGAGTGGTTATGAAAGTATAACAACGGATATTGAATATGATACTATAGCCCATGGGCCGAATCCTGAGTGTTTTTGGCAAAGATATCGACAGTCAGCATCTTGCCAATTTGTGCTATGATATGCTTTGCTGACACCATTCGCTCAGGTATTGATAATCAATTAGCAAGTGAGTCGTCTATCACCATATAGTGAGGTGTTACTTAGGCATGGTCCAGACACGATGAGAGCAGGTACGTTATCTGAATGCTTCGCTGACGAAGACTAACTATGGAGATCCAGTGGTCATGTTGCTGTCCGCCGTTATGAGCGCTATCATCATTGTTGCATTCCTTGAACCATACTTTGGTCAGTACAATCGATATAATTTGTGAGGACATAGCTTACGCTAGTCTAGTTATTGCTGTTTTCTTCATCTTGATCGGTTACAGCTACTACGCTGCCTTCTATCGAGCTAGTGCCCGCGAGGTCAAGCGCCTGGGTTCGTCGTTGTATTTCTGACCTTGAAAGCCTCTCATACCGACCATCAGACTCCATGCTTCGCTCTCTTCTGTATGCCCACTTTTCCGAGACCTTGACAGGACTTCCCACCATCCGAAGCTACGGAGAAATGAAGCGCTTCATTGCTGCTAATAGATACTACGTCGATCTGGAGAATAGAGCTCTATACATCGTGGTTACAAACCAGAGGTAAGTAGTCTGATACATATATTGTGGCGGTTGTTGGCTCATAACTTACCCTTAGATGGCTTGCGATAAGGTTGGACCTCACAGGAAGCGTGCTAGTCTTCTTTGTAAGTGTCTATTTAATGGCAAAAACCTCAGGCTCACCCGGTGCTGCGATTTGGATAGGTTGCTCTTCTCGCAGTGACCGACGTCTCAGGGGTTAATGCTGCCCAGATAGGGTTGGTATTGACGTATACCAGTGGGTGTCCCAATGTCGCCGTCGCAATCTATCATGTTAACCTTTTCGTATCAAAGTCTTTCTGACACAAACGTGTACTCTCGTGATCAGACAGACGGCAGACGTCGAGGTAGGGCGTTCCTTACCTTGCATCACTAGCTATTTAATGGTCGTTTGCCTTAGAATAACATGAACGCAGTGGAACGACGTGAGCCGCGAGTTTTACGATACTTCCACTCGCGTTTACTCTTCACAGTGGTACAGTACGTCGATGAGGACACGATCCCTCAAGAGGCACCACATGAGATCGAAGAACGCAAGCCCCCGACGCGATGGCCCGAACATGGCGCTGTCGAATTTAACGATATTAAGATGTCATATAGGCCAGGCCTCTCGAATGTTTTGAGGGGTATCTCGATCAAAGGTCAAGGGAGGTGAAAAGATAGGTGTTGTTGGAAGGTCGGTTAATCTATTGGATCCACATACGTGTGCTGATGCGGTGCCGCCTCAGGACTGGTGCTGGTAAATCTTCGTTGATGCTCGCAGCTGTTCCGAATTGTCGAGTTGTCTGGTGGTTCGATCATTATCGATGGGTACGTTGGTCATTGCTCGTGACAAATATTGTGGTTTTAACCCTGTCCAGAGTCGATATATCTACGATTGGTCTTAAGGACCTCCGCTCCAAGATTTCTATCATCCCACAAGATGTTTGTGGAAGGTTTCTTGTACAAGCTGATACAAGACTGACGTACGAACTTCGTTAGCCTCTTCTTTTTAGTGGTGAGGATCTACATTATTTTGTTTGAAGCGCTAAAAGATCACTAGGGACCATACGATCCAACCTGGATCCATTCGCCCAACACGATGACGCGGAGCTCTGGGATGCGCTACATAGATCTTGTCTTATTAATTCTAGCACCACCTCGAAACATTCATCTTCCAGCGATGGCATCAGGAACGAGCAAACTTCCACGGGCCGCTACGACCTTGACAACACCATTGAGAGCGAAGGAGCAAACCTCAGTGTTGGAGAGAGATCTCTACTCAGTCTAGCTCGTGCACTGGTGAAAGACTGCAAAGTCGTTGTGCTTGACGAGGCCACGTTAGTCATGTGTTCTTCTCCTATATGCTTGATGTTGAATTCTTTTCAGAGCCTCTGTTGATCTCGAGACTGATAGCAAGATCCAGCACACTATCCAGACAGAATTTAAGGACCATACGCTACTTTGCATTGCCCGTGCGTTTTATCCTTTGTGTTCTCGGTGCTAATTTGATGATACTTCAGATCGACTACGAACTATCATTTCCTATGACCGTATTCTGGTCCTCGACGCTGGCCTTGTTGCAGTAGGTTGGTTCGAACCTCTTTCGGTAGTTAATCCTCACACACACAGGAATTCGACACTCCATCTAATCTTTTCAAAGTGGAGGGTGGAATTTTCCGCGGAATGTGCGAGAAGAGTAACATCTCCTTGAAAGATATAGAGGCGAGTATGCAGGTTTAAGTGGTAGATTTTGAGGTGAATCAGGATTGATTCCTTTTACTTAATTTGGTTGTGCGTGGCTGTGTTGACTGCTTTAACTGTCTCCCGCCGGGTGCTCCATGATCCTTCGAGATTGCCTCAAGACTTCTTTTCTTGTCGAGAACTTGAAGAAGCGTTCAATGACGTTTTCGCATGTTCAGTCAGCTTGTCTCCCATCAGATCTCAATGGTCCCATGTCGCTTTAAATTATCACGCGTCGCGCTTGATAACAGCGCGAGCTCTAGTATTACCATACTCAATGGTGCTTCCGTCATCCGGACTTCCGCTCTGTATGAGTGTGGGCTCTTCGGTGGTGACCAACGCCATGACTCTGTCACAAATACCAATATTATGGTCTTTTTCGAACATGTGAGTGTATATATAGCAGCGGTACAGTCTTACAGAATACTGGTACATTCCCTCTGATGCGTTAGACATGACCTCTCTCGCTGAAACAAGTGACATTTCAGGAGTCACTCAGCATATCCCGTCATCGCTTGTCCTAGCGCAGACGGATTTGACATTCTCAACTGTACTTCTTTTGGTGTTTCAAGCAGTACAAACTGGGGCAGGAGGCATAAATGTTGCCGCGGTCATCATCTCTTGCTTCGGATTAGACGTGTTCCACCAAACACAATCTGTATCACTGTCTACGCTGATGTTCAGGTAAAAATTTATGCGGTTTGCGGTTCTGTGATACTGATCAAAACAAACCAGCATTTCCGATACTGCACGCTCGCGTTTAAACTCGCTGTTGATCATATCAGTGCGTCAATCCACACCTATTATGGAATGGCCTAATGAGACAACAAACTCTCGCAGGTTTTTCTCGCCCAGATTACAGGGACATCCGTGGGTACTGACGTTTTCGTCGGATATGGCTGGCGTGCAAATGCTGCGCTATTTATGGCCATGTATGCCTTGCAGCTCGCGGTGCTTATCCTTAGAGGTCCTCATTGTCCCAGGAATCGGTGGTTTGGTTATGAAGGTGGACTGTGATTCTGGCAGAAGCTGCCGTCCAAGCAGTCCAAATCAAATGTGAGCGACGACCTCAAGAACGCAGGAGGCGGCGACCTGGCTGTGTTGTACAGTGAAAAGACTTGAGGGATGCCGAAGGAAAAGAAGCACCGCTAGTCCGAAAATGGCTCGAGCCTAAATTGATACGCACTCATATAGAACAAACGCTGATTAGCTGCTTGCTTAGGGGCTGCATCACTTGATCATGCTTATCACTAGTTGACCAACTGCATACAGATAATGCAATCGATTACATCCCTTACATGGAAAACTACCCATTATTCGCTACTATCACTATTCGATATAGCCCTCACGGGCACCCCTGGACCCGGCCAGTGACTCACTTAATAAAAAGCGGAAGGCCCTCGATGTCACGGTATAAAATAACTCATCCTAACTCACTGTCCGTTTTTTCCATATGCGCTTGACAGGATCTTCGTGATACCGAGGGAGGTTGCTGGGCGTAGAGACACGGAACAACTGCCGCATGATGGGCTATGATGGGCGTTGCACAAATGTCAGCGGGTTGGTTAGAGTTGGGTTAGAGCAGGAAGTAGGCGTGGTGTGGCGTGGGAAAACGAGTAGGCGGGCCGTCATGATCGAGCGTTTCGGAGAAACTTTTCCTTAAACCTGTTCCCTTGTTACTTGTTAACGTTTGGGTCCAAGAAAACCTCTTTTCTGCTTCGTATAGCTCCTCTAAGGCAACAGGTTTTGTGCTATTTTCGGAAGATTCCTTGGCAAAAGCTGCTTTTGCAATGGTTATGCATTCGAAATCGATCACGGGCCGTCACGGTCGGGCCATAATGCATGATGCATGATGCATGATGCCTGGACCTTAGCTAACTGTTGACTGGTAGACCATTGCCTTCGGCGAATCGACAAATACAAATTCGAACTGGCGGAGTTTCGCAAAATACTACACCTGCGCACTTCACGGTCGTAGTTACGGCTGGAGCGTACAACTTGAAGGAGTAACAGGTCATAAGTATTACTTACTTGCAGCTTCGACGAAAATACGTGGCCGCTGTATAATCTGCAGCGAGAAGAGTTCAATCTCAATGCTGTTCCTCTCGTGCTGTCGACACAGATATGAGATTCATTCACAGATCTCCCTCAGCCATCCACACATTAATATCGTGAAGGTAAATATAATCCATGAGAATAAATGCGCGCTGGTGGGCATTATGACTGCGGCCTTCCGTCTCAGTAAGTTGCTGACTCGGAATTCGAACATCGCGGCCGGTGAATAAAGGACGTCCATGATGAAAGGACGTGTTTTCCCTCATCGATTGCCCGATCGTTCGAGATTTGTGCTCAAATGTCTCCCTCCAGCACTGAGAAGCTAGGGACGCCCGAGTCTCCTGAAGCGACTATTGAGAAGGCTGCAGCGTCCGCAGAAGAGATTTGGCCCACAAAAGACTTTGGTCTCGTACCGATCCCGAAGAGACTCCAATACAATCCCACCAAGCCTTTTCACTTTGGCATCTTGCTTAACGCCTCCTTCGGGTTTGCTAGCACATTCAGTACGGATTTCTCGGTAGACGGTGAATGGATGCTAACGGCAAGACAGTCGTCGGTAACTTGTACTATTGTCAACCGCTGTTGAGTATGTGGCTGCTGAGAGCAGTTGGCCGCGCGTGTTTCTGATCATGAACTGATAATTGTGCATAGTCGAGTTTTCTGAATCATTCAATGTAACATACGACGAGGTTTCACGGTGTGTCATTTCTTCCATTTCGTCCAATCTGGCTAAGTGTGATTGTGATATTAGTATCCCTACCCTCACTCAAGCAGGGTAAATAAACTTATCGGTTTCTGATGGGACATTCACGACTTATTACCATTCGTGGCTCAGGTATTTGGTGGGATTACTTCTCATATCACCCCTCGGCGACCTTGTTCGACGCAGACAACTTGTGTTACTGCTGGTTGCGTCATCTACTACTCTCACAATAGGATTAGCCGTCACCAAGAATCTCCGCGTCTTCGAGATCTTGTCTTTCTTGGTCGGCGTTGCAACTGTCACTCCCCAGATCTTGATGCCTCTAGCTGCAGATTTGGCTGCACCTGATCGCAGAGCGTCAGCATTGTCTGTGGTGCTCTCAGGTCTCATGCTAGGCATCCTGATCGCTCGTGTCTTGGCTGGCGTCATAGGCAATTTTACAACCTGGCGTGTAGTCTACTATATGTCAATTGGTGTTCAATCACTCGTTCTCATTGGCGCCTACCTCGTTCTTCCCGACTATCCTGCCAAAAACCGCGACTTGACATACTTCAAAATCCTTTTTTCGATGGCCAAGTATGCGGTAACGGAGCCACTTGTCATACAGGTGGCCATTATAAATGTTGCATCCAGCGCATGCTTCGCGAGTTTCTGGGTCACTCTCACCTTCCTTCTCGGGGGTCCGCCCTACTACTACTCCACGTACGCACGTATCCTCTGACTTTTGGCCGCCTGAACTGAAGCCAATCTTCAGTCTCGTAATTGGTCTCTTTGGTCTCATTGGCATGCTAGGCGTGCTCGTCGGACCTTTCGCAGGACGTCTTATTGATAGGCTGGTCCCTTGGTATGCGACTTTGGTAGCCACTAGTTTGCTTCTAGTTTTCCAAGCTGTGCAGACTGCAGCAGGTGGGATCAACGTTGCAGCTGTCATCATCGCATGCTTCGGGCTTGACGTTGCGCGTCAGTCTCAGGAAGTCTCCCTGTCGGCTCGGGTCCTGAGGTCAACATCCTTGTCCTCCATAAAGAAAATCACTGCTGACTCACAGATATAATATCACAGCATATCTTCCGCAGCTCGTGCACGCTTGAACGCCATCATCCTTATATCAGTGAGTTCCGTTGTAAGCTATCAATTGCAGTGTTGTTAAGCCAGACATCCCAGCTGTTAATCGGACAGGTGATGGGCACGTCTGTTGGCACCCAAGTTTTCGTACAACACGGATGGAGAGCATGTTCACTGCTTATGCTGGCGCTACAGGGCTTCCAAATTATAATTTTATTGCTCCGCGGTCCACATTGTCCTCGAAAGCGTTGGTTTGGTTACGAAGGGGGCCTGGAGGCGCGCAAACACGTTGTCTCGGAGAGGGAGAAAGCACAGTGTAGCGGAGAGTGGAAAGTAAAACACGATACAGAGGCACAGAAGGAGGCACCGACGCAAGGTGGTGAAGTCATACGGTCCGACACAACATAGATACCACAGTAGAGCATGGAACATATGCGGAAGACATCATCACTGAAAATTGTTCAGCATAGATATTTGGATTGGTGTCTTTGGCAACTCGCCCATAGTTGCAAATGCATCGAAAGCTGAAGGGTAGGATGTCGAAATGTCCATGGATGTTTCAGGCGTAAGACACCGAGTTAGCTTATGCCGCCAGGAAAGTGCAGCGATGCTCGAAAATGAATACAATGGCAGCTGGAGAGATCTAGGGAATTTGTTGAAGGATGAGGATGCGAGGGGACACCCCTCAGGCAAAGTGAATCAAGCCAAAGAAAATCCCAGTCCATCTGACAGTTGGAGCCGAGTTGGTGGAGTCTAACTAGTAACAGCATTTGAAGTAAGACTTAGTTATAACGGACACAAGCTGCGCCATGCCTGAGGCAATTCAACTAACAAACATTTATGATTCTTTCATGCAACTTGGTGAGAGAGTTCACGTCACACTGAGAACACAGCTTGGTAATATCGGTCGCTTGAACGCTCAAAAGGCAGTCTGCCTTCAATTCCTCGAGGCTGTTGAACAGGTGTAGTTGCTCGTGGTATTGTGAGGATGTATCTGATGGTTATCTCAGCATTTGAACATAATCCCACCTGCAGAGAGGCAGGTAATTGAAGCCAGTGTGGATCGCATGATCTAGACACTACAACAACAACATCGTCTGATCCACCAGATGCCAGCCCTATCAACCTAGGACGTCATACCCATACAGGCACAGTCGGAAGACCCAGCATCCACATTCTTCCGTCTGATCTTGCCGTCCTCTCGTCGGGATGAGTGTCAAGGAGGCGCCTGGCTGAACTATATCACTGTCATCCCCGCACCATACGCCATCGACTGCTTGAATTCAACCTTTCACCTCCTGGACCTCCTGTATACGTGGATGAGCAGCAGCCTGATGGCAGTGTCAACCGAACTTACCACCGAGGGTCTTCAAGTGATCTCTCTACGACTTCATGTGCTAGTGGGGTCCTTATGAGCAGAATTGATGTACTATAACTAATAGAAGTTTTATGCTCTACATACTATATTGCACGTCACCCTTGCCCAATATCCAAACTGTGAGCTTACACCAAGTACCAGATCAAGTGCATCGACTTCCACGTCTTCTCCCGCATCTTTTGCTAACCAACGACTTTGGATGCAGCGAGAGTGGTGCGCTGATACTTGAAGGTGAACAAGAAGGTGCATGCAGGTTGACATATGAAAATCACAAGTGAAAGTGAAATTGAGGTCAAAAGGGAAGTCAGAACCGAGCGTGAAATCGAAACCGTCCATGCGAAATCGAAACTGTCCACACGAAATCGAAACTGCTCATGCGAGATCAAAACCGTTCATGTGAGATCGAATTACTTGCATTTGAAAGCGGAAATCATTTTGAAACCCTTACTTCAATCACTGGGAATTTTGTCTGCTGGCGCCCTTCATACTTAGTACAGTAATGCCCACATACGAATTTGCATAGATGATACCAGTAGAGTGGACCCTTCTAAGTAGCCTATAGATGTGCCGTTTAAGCTGATAGTCATGTCAAATTCCAAAATCAAACACGTCGGTCACGTGCCAGACGCGTTACCACCAATTCTCATCTTTGTTGTACTCCATTTAACATTACGCGCTGTGGCTCGTCGGTGCTCATCATCATGCCTCCAGTAACTTCCTCTCGCAAAGTAACGGTAAATTCAAGAAGCTCGAAGCCGAAGACTGCTGTTCCATCTTATGAACTGGACGGGCGAACAACCTCCAAAGCGAAGGGGAAACAGATGACGAGAGACGAGTCTCCGGAAGAACGAAAAAATTCGGCAATGCTTGATGTAAATACATCTCTACAGACCCTATCATCAGTCGCAAAATCCGGCTGGAAGGCAAATTCGGAGGAGGGGAGAATGAAGTCGACCCCGCTCAGCAAGGTCTTAGCTGCTGTCTCTCGCGCAGATGAAGCTTTGTCATGCCTTCGTGTTCTATGTCCGGATGACCTTGACGTAGAGCGCGCTGCGTCAAGCATGATGAGCAAGCTGTTTGTGTTGGAGATGGTACGTGGCAAATAGGTTCTCCTTCGAGTTCAGCTCAACTGTGAAGTAGCATGATACAGCCCTTCCCTTTCTAAGCAATATGCACGCTCGTCTGCTCGCTTTTCTCGGGGCACCTGATCGAAAAGCAACAGTACACTCCTCATCTGCCCCAAAGTTGCCAGTCCACCTACTTTCCCTCCCGCTGCCCACGATATCGCCACCAGCAGACACCGTGCTCCTCACGCTTATATCAACCTATCTAATCCACGCAATAATTTCCCTCACGCATATCGCGGTATCCTCGCCGTCGTCGACTAACCCAGACTCGTTCTCTACTGCTCTCCTTGAATCCAGCACGCTCTTGGCATGGGTACCTTATTGTGTATCCTTGCCTAGCAAGCACGTAGACACTATGCTTACACGGGCATACACAATCCTGACGAAATCATGCTCCGCGTTTTCTGCGAGCTCGCGCTCGACCTTCCTCATTCGCATGTACGCGCTCAAGTGCCTTCTCTGCACGAGTGCCGGAACTGTTCAGCCAAGCACCTTCTGGGATCAAATTCAGAAATCGTGCACTATGTACGTTAAAACCTCTTCTCCCATGTCAGAGGCGGAGGAACTCTCCGTCGCAAAGTTCGTGTCAGAGCGCCTTGGCGAGGTCGTACAGATTGCACAGTCCAAACCATCATTCGTGGAGGGGAAGTCATTTGTTCTGCTCTGTGAGACGTGGACAAGTTTCGCGAAGCGTGTGCGTCATTATCATCAACAGATGATATTCGATAGTCCTGACCTGTTGAACAGAGCAACGATCTACGCACCCTTGACCGCATAACAGACCTAATGGGTCCGGTATCGCCGTCATCTTGCTCATCGACCTCGGTCGATGACCTAGCCAACAATATCAGTAAACTCAATATCTCCGTTCCTTCGCCGAGAGATAAAGACACCGCTGTTCTTGAATGTGCAAGAGCCTGTGCGGTATTAACCAAAGTCACGGCATGCTTGGACGCAAACTCCGGTCAGTATTTATTCTGGTACATCTACAATATCTCACAACTCCATTTGCAGCCGAAACGGATGACCTCTCCAAACGAGTTGACGATGCAGCGAAGATTCTCCCCGGATTTGGGGGCCTTTTATCCCTTATGACTGAACCGAATGATGAGCTGCACCGTGCGCAGGGAAAGTTCCAACGGACTCTAGAGAGATTGAGACGAATTTGCATCAAGGTCCTGGACGGAGAGGCAAAAGACCAACACCATGCAATAATATCGCTACTAATGGTGATCTCAACAGCTCTGGAAGGCGCGTTCAAGCAGGTAGGCTTCAACTCAACTCCTACGCAGAGGAATTGACAGATTTCCCTGTCCCAGAACCCAAATAAGGACGTCTTGACCGCATCCCTCGATTCACTGTTTGTCCTCGCACGCATGCGGCTTAAATGCAACGACCCGGACACTTACACGCCCACTCTCGACCTCCTCAACCATGCCATCGTCCTTCTGGACTCTACCCCCGACCATATGAACGCCATCCCGATTTCTACACGTGCCAACTACATCCGATGCATCTCTGGGGCGTATCATAACCTGGCTGGCTCGCTGTATCAAAGCTCCAAGTACGGGGGTGCAGTACGTTTTCTGAAAGAAGGATGTTCACTCGGTGCACGTGCACTCCACGTACGAGCGGGTGCGATGGAGGACAGCGGAGAGGATGACGAACGGGAAGAAGGGTGGAAACAACTCGAGGAACAGTTATTTAGGAGGTGGGAGCTACTTGCGGTGTGCTATTCGAAGATGGGAGATCGGAAGGTAACTATTTGCATCACTTATATGCCCCGTGTAGAACGCTCATGTTTCTGCGTGCTGTTAGCTCGCATGTGATGCGTTTGTAGAGAGTGTAAAGGCCTTTCCATATGGCTCATCCGGCCTAGAGGTGGCTAGGTCGACAACACCGACTAGCGCTTTCAACGCGAATCCAAGCACGAGGCAGCTAGGTGCAATAATTGACAGGTTCACCTACGCAGCAACATGCGAACTTTTTCTCCCTCCGAGCGAAGTTAGCCTCCTTACCTCACTGAAGCCGGGTGCTCTTAGGGGTGAAGTCCTAGGTCTGCTGCTCGAGCGTCAAATCTCGACTCTCGAACCTTGCCTTCGGAAAGACGGTGTGCAGACTATTGTATGCGCGCTGTTGCAAGATGCTCTTGCAGCGTATCAGGCCACCGATCTTCCGTTGTGCAGGATTAGAGTCCTCCTGAAGTGCATGGAGTTCCTGTGGAAGAGGAACGCCAACGATGGGGAAAATCACTGGACCGCGGAACGCCTGGGCGAAGAAGGTCTACGCCTGCTCACTGTTGAGGTAATTCTCTGCCATTTTTCTGCTTGTGGGTGTTATAATTTCTCCATTACAGAACCTTGGGCACGACACCGCGTTTGCCTCATTGCGTGTACAATACACTGTGGCAATTCATCTTTGGCTCAGCCTCTTCGCATATCGCAGCGCAGAGTCATCGATGATTTCGACCGTGTCATATCATGTAGAGGAGGCATGTAGCGTCCTGCGCGGGCTCATTCCCAACTCTCCCAGTGAAACAAATCCCAAGACGAAGCGATCACCCGTGCAGGCGAAGAAGTTACCTAAGGCAGTTGCGCCTGCGAAGAAGTCGACGAGAGCTGCAAGTGTGCGTACGACGAACAAGGCCAGAACTCAGAATCCTGTTACACCCCGTCCACGTAAAGGTCTGTTTTTCGGAAAGGCTTGCTGACTGTAGTGGTTGACAAGGATTCACGAGCAGCTCTCGAGAACGTGTCTAATGTCATTCAAAGTACACCGCCGAAGGAGGCTGCCGCACTTGGTGTTCAGAAAGCGGCGATCGTTTTTGACCTCGAGTCAGTTATCAGTCAACTTCGTAAGCATTGTTGTGTCCTTTTCAGAGCGCTATTGATTGATCAATCAGAAATGAACATGCATTTGCTTGGACTTCTGGGTCTGGTCTTATTGAAGATCAAACTCCTGGATGCTCTGAAGCGCATCTGTGAGCGTCAACTCGTCATATCCGCTGACTGTCAGTGATTCTTGCTTTCTACAAGTTGCTATGCTCACCTTTCTAAGCAGTGTACATCACGATCTGCGTTGATCTCGCGTCAGAGTATGTCAAATTGGGCAAGACGAAGCGGGCCAATTCTATCTTTGCACGGAGTTCGGCGGCGCTGAAATTGAATGATGTTTCCGACGAGATACGTATCAGATATTTGTTAAGATATGCAGAAATTTTGGCCCTCGGAAATAATGTTCCTGGAAGGTGAGGCTACCTCACGCTAACAGGCTTCCATTGCATCTCATCATTTTTTTCCCCTTTAGTGCCTCTTCGTACTGTGAAGCCATGGGTTTGTCGGAATCTTTTCCCCCTGAAGACAAAGTTCTACCGACTGCTGAACGGATAAAGCTACGTGCCGGACGGCTCGAGCAGGCGGCGATGGCTTGCAGAGTCTCCGCTGCCATTCAGTATTCCAGGGTCTGTCGCAGTCGGATGGCACCACAAATTCGTATCTAATTTTCAACCCTCAGAACAACGTAGTTGGCGCTTTAGAATGCACGTTGCAGTCGTTGCGACTGTGGAATCGTGCGGTGGACACGCTATCTCGATTAAGCCAGCCTCCCGCCAAACCCACCAAGGCAACCGATGATACAAACCCATTTGAGGCTACCCCTACAGCATCCGCCAGCGATACTCCGTCCAATAATCACCCGAGATCATTAGGCCAGAAACGTTTAATGGACGGGATAGAGTGGCGAATGGTTGAAGGACTACTCTCAACGCTGTTGACGCTCTCTCATGCTTACTTTACTCGTGGCTCTTCCCGCGAAGCCGAGTACTTTGCTCAGCAAGCACAGGACCTCGCCGAGTCCGTTAACGCCCCGACTATGGCTGCTCGTGCGCTGATGCGTAAGAGTGAGATCCAATTATACCAGAGGCAGCTAGATGCAGGACGGAACAGCTTGGCCAAGGCTGCGGAGTTGCTGCAAGATCTGCCAGGTGTGGATGCGGCCGATATGAGGAGGCTGAATGGAGATTGGAATCGGCTGAATGCGCAAGCCGAGGACGCCAGAGACCTCTACGTGGAAGCATCTGCAATGCTTGGGGAACTAGAGGGGATGCTGGCGTCCTTTGATGGCAGGTGAGCGCCACGGTTAACGTTCAATGCGCTTCCTCTGAATTAAATTTCCTAGTCGCAGGAAATCCAGCGTGACGTTGTCGCCACAAGCTGCCTTAGCCACCACCGGACAGGGAGCAATAGTCTCTACTTTGCTGTCCGACATTCTCCGCCATCATAGTAAGGAGAATCGCTTCCAAATCCTGAACTTGCTAACTGATCAACTGCAGTCTGGTTATTACGCGATGACGGAGATGCTATACTCAAGGATCTGATAGAGCGACTCGTAGCTTTGCCCGCTTCCCAAGACACGAAAGTGAGCTTGGCTTATGAGTGTTGATTTATGGCTAATATTTCATAGGGAGAAGAGCATGCACTCATGGGGAAACTTACCCTGCATAGCGTCTACGAGCAATTCCGTTCAGATATGTTCCTGAGTTCCTTGGCTGAATCTAGTACGTACATTGTTCATGCCAACCCACAAGGACTCAACCTTTGTGTACAGCGATCGCCTTGCCGATGGGCATGACAAGCGACCGAGTCGTATCGCTCTCACCTTCAACCCAAGATATCTTGGGTGCTTTGGACAACGCAGAAAAACTCTTTTGGGCTGACCTCGCGCTGACCGCGGATCGGGGGAGCGTCCCCCACGTCCGCGAAACCACGGTAAACCTTGCGCTCGTCAAAGCACTTCAGACATCCCTTGGAAAGGGGGGAAAGGACGGACCTATTATAGCCGCTCGCCTTCTTGGTAAGATTATGCGTTACTCGACGAGGCCTGTTTTGAACTTCAGACTAGATGCGTCATCCGCAATTACTCTCCGCCGTGAAATGCTAGAGGCAATCCAGTATAAATTCCCCAGCATGCAGAATGACGATCTTGAATGGCCCTTAATGACGTCCAGCGGTTCCCCACTACCTCGGAAGAGACCATCTAACGTTCGACGGTTGGGGTCGTCCAGCTCTGAAGAAGTATCTGACAATGACGATGACCCGAATGCGACCATGAAGGCATACTGGGATTCTATCCGCAAGACATATGCAGAGCAGACTTCTGACGCTTCCTTGCTATCGACCACGACCATGTCAGAGTTTCCACCTCATTGGACCGTCGTGCATATCAGCCTCACGCCTGACAAGAGTACCCTCTTTATCTCTCGGGAGAACGTGTCTTCTGAGCCGTTGATGTTCTGTGTGCCTCTCAAAGGTCGACGCGAATCGGACGAAGACGAACACCTTACGTTTGACGATGCTGTGAAGGAGCTGGCTGAGATCATCCGCTTGAGCGACCAAGGAACACGTAACGCTGTCAACGTACGAAATGATGATCCACAGGCAAGGACTGCTTGGTGGGCGGAGCGTAATACCCTGGATAAAAGGATGAAGGAGCTGCTAGAGAACATAGAGTTTTGCTGGTTGGGCGCATTCAAGGTTTTTAATTTCTTTTTTGCTAATTATCCTTCGACTGAACAACATTCGTAGACCATCCTTAGTCCTGTATCACCTATTTCGGCCGTGCTCATCGCTGACCTCCGTACCCGTCTCGAGAAGGTGTTCAAGCGTATCCTTCCCCCCATAGACAAGAAGCAGAAGCAGATTCCTCGCTTATCTGATGTACTCCTCGACTGCTTCTCTTCCCTGAGTCCGAAGTGTCGTGATGAAGAGCTTGAAGACTTGCTCTTCTTCATCCTGGACCTGTACACATTTCATGGCATCCCTGTCGCTATCGCAGACATAGACGTAGATCAGGTCATGGTGGATCTTCGCTGTGCGCTGGAGGAGCATGCCACACTCAAGAACAAGGGAGGGAGGGATAGCTCAGCTCGTATAGACGACTCCCACATGTTCCTCGTCCTGGACCACAATGTACTGGGTATTCCTTGGGAGTCGATACCGGTCTTGAGGGGCCAGAGCGTGAGCCGTATCCCGAGCGTAGCGTTCTTGCTTGACCGCGTTCGGCTTGCGTCTGCAGAGAACCGATCCGGGGGTGTTGTAGATCGAATATCCGTGGATTCACGCAAGACATTCTTCGTGCTCAACCCCAGTGGGGACTTGAAAGGGACTGAGGGGCGATTCAAACCATGGCTCGAGCAGATGCGGAGTGTAGGCTGGGAGGGTGTCATTGGACGTCCACCAAGCGAACAGCAGTTCTTGGATGCCCTTGCGCGGAAAGATCTGGTAGTGTAAGTGACCTTATACTAATTGCTGAATCGAACCCTGATGACCTTCAGATATTTCGGGCATGGAGGAGGGGAACAATATGTACGATCGCACAAAATCCGGCACTTGCAGCGCTGCGCAGCAACGATGCTGTGGGGTTGCTCCAGCGGGTCACTGAAGGAGATGGGCGATTTCGACAGAGTTGGCACCCCGTTCAATTATATGCTTGCTGGATGGTACGTTACAAGTTTGTTTCGTCTACATACCCCGCTCAACCATTCATCGCGCACAGCCCTTTACTAGTGGCTAATCTCTGGGACGTAACAGACCGTGATATCGACAAGTTCTCACAAGCAGTTTTTGACTCGTTGAGATTGACACCGACTCGTGGGGAGGAGCAGGGTGTGTCGGTAGTTACGGCGATTGCACATGCCCGGGAAGCTTGCAAACTGAAGTATCTCACTGGCGCTGCACCAGTTGTATATGGGATTCCGTTCTACCTCTAACGTTGCCCGCCCTAATTTATGTGCCACTATTTGAATCTACAAATTGCATTGATTTTATGTCCTAAGAACTTCGATCTTTCTGTAAGGGGCACCCACATCAACCTCCGCGGTAAGTACGAACGAAAACGTCTGTCTGAGCGAGCATGCCCGTTGAACGACGTTCGAGTATTCTGTATTGCTTGATCTAAAATATATGCAGACACGAAAACGCCCACTACATCCTCTCCAGGGGCCTGATACTCAATAACCGCATCGCAGCACCCAATACATCCCTCGCGCAAAGATAGAGCCAAAGCCTCGCGCGCGCTTTCTCCGTGTCTTCCTCCCCTTTAACGATGAGCGTCTCCCAAGCGCTCGAAATCGCATGTGCGAGCCGGAAAGCGAACGTCACCACACCACTGGGCTCGTGCGTCTTCAGTGCAGTCTTCACGACGTCAGGGTAAGATCCTAGGAGGATAGCGATGTCGCGTGCATGTTGGGAGGAAGCGAGAGAGGAAGTATCGATCTGGGATGGAGGTGGTAGGGGAATGAGCTCTGGATTCTTGCGCTCCATGGAGGTGAGTCGAACGTGTGCGTATTGCAAGTACGGTCCGGTATCGCCCTCGAAGGAAAGCATTCGATCCCAGTTGAAAGTGTAGTTGTTTATTCTGGTGCTGGATGAGTTGCAGCATCAATGGATGAAACATTAATACTCACCGTTTGGCAGCCATGTCTTGGATTTTAATTCCCGTGATGCCCACTTCTCGAGCAACCATCTCAGGGTCCTCGATGTTGTTGTACTTCACCTCGTTCCGCTTCATCTGGTCGTGCATGACTGATGAGGCTTCGCGAATGATCTGGTCCAAGAAGACTGCGGTTCCCTTCCGGGTACTCATGCCGAGAACTAAGCCATAGTTGACGTGCTCAAGGCGGTCTGCCCATGGGAACTCCATCAACGACAGCATTTTGAAAAATTGCGACAGGTGTAGATCCTGCTGTGATGCGACGACATAGATCATCTTGTCAAAGTGGTATTTCTCCCATCGTTCTATCGCACCGCCAAGGTCACGAGTGAGGTATATCGAGGTGCCATCTACGCGGGGAAATCATAAATGCGGGTAATATAATTGATTTGTGGACATACCGGCTTTGCGCAGCACCGCCTTTCCGAGTTTCCACTTTTCGAGATCAACGAGTTTGGCACCGTTGGCATCGCTGATGAGACCCATCTCTTCGAGGCGCTCGAGAGCCCGATCTTGCCATTCCTTACCAACCTCGCTCTCACCCGTGTATACATCAAACGAGACGTTTAATCGCTCGTACTCCTCTATGTATTTTTTGACGCTCATCTCCCGCCACACTCGCCAGTTCGCAAGTGCCGATTCGTCACCGTCTTCCATGCGTTTAAACCATTTCGCAGCGTCTACTTTGACGTTGGGATCTGAGTCCGCGTCTTTAGACACTTTGACGTAGACGTTGTAGAGATGCTTGATCGCATCTTTCTCAAGCTCCTCTTTTGAACCGTACTTTTCGAATCCAGTGCTGATCATGCCGAACTAAGAAAATAAGATTATGACCCGGAAACAAGCCAATGCAAAGATGCGCTCACTTGGGTTCCCCAGTCGCCCAGGTAATTGAGAGAGACGACCTCCCATCCGCATGCTTTATACAAGTTATCTAAAAACGCGCCTATGATCGTACTTCGAAGGTGTCCAACGTGAAATGATTTGGCGATATTAGGTGACGAGTACTCGATGATGAGTTTTTTACCCGCGCCAGAGGTATTTGTGCCGTATGATTTCTTCCCCGTGGGGCTGTCGTAGGTGAGGGTATGTATTTGGTTAAGGACTTCGCGGATGAGGGAAGCTGTGTTGAGTTGGAAATGGAGGAATTGCTTGTCGTGGGTGATTGATGAGATGAAGTCGTCGGGTTGGAACTGGCAGGAGAGAATGTCAGAAACTGCTGTTGGGGAACTCGAGACACGCAATTATCATCTCAACAATAGTTAAAAAGCATGCCGACGCGGAGCAGTAAAAGAAATCGACGAACTCACATCCGTTAGAACTTTCTTCGCTAGTTCGTCAGGCTTGCCCGGCAACCTGAATCGCGGAAGAGCAACTGTAAAATCGACGCCCTTCTTCCCATAATCGACACCCGTATAAGCCTGTTCAAGCGTAAGCGGCGGCAGGGCATCCGATACACGTTTTGCAATGGCAGTCCGGTACGCATCTAGAATGCAAGACGAGGGGTCTGTACCGGGAACAGGTGGTAGAGATGGTAGTGACGAAACCATGGTTGCAATACGTCTCACGTAGGAGTACTTTACAGGGATCCTGCGGAGGATGGTGGTGGTACGCGTGAATCTGATTAGGAACGCCACGGCTTTTCGTGCTTAAAGTTTAAGGGATCGATTAGATGACTCGCGATCGACTCAAAAGAAATCAAGAAGTCACGTGATTTCGTCGCGTCTGACTCGCGACCCTAAAAGTTGGAACGTTCTGCCGGAGATTGATCAAGTGGTCATTACAGAAATGATCTTCTATCACAGACTTGCTAGCTTGTAGCTTCAAGTGCTAAACAATCTATGTTTCTGGGCTCGAGAAAAATTGGGACCTCCTCTATCACATATATATGATCCACTCCGCTAACATCCTGGCATTATGTCCGACTTGCGAGGCTTTCACGCTTATGGCTCGGACCACTGGGGCTGCAGTACTTCGGTCACTCGTATGTAATGTTTTTACATCGAGTCTTCGAGAGATGTTCTATTCAAGAATTCCCATTGTTCCAGCGGCAGTGACATTTCTCCAAGGACAACAACCTAGCAATCAACTATGTGAGAATTGCTCCATGAACGACACCACCAATACAAGGGCAGGTTCATGATTTACTCTCGTGACGTGCGAGTTCCTCTCATTCCAAGACTTACAAGGGATCAACTAGGAAAATCACTGTATGAAAATTAACCTCATACTATTTTAAGTCACAAAGGGTGAGTCAAGGGGATGCAAGGCAACAGCACTGCTGCAGGTTTTCGAATGCATTGCGGGTCCCTGCTAGGAACAGCTGGCGTTGCGCTAACAGAAATATGAGATACTATCAAAGCAGCCACGACGGCGAAGAAGAAACGAATTTGTTGAACTTGTATGAGGTGATATGGGATCTGTCAAGCAGGTTCTCGATTAACTCTGAGGCAGTGAATGGTAGGGAAGACAGCTGGCTGTTGTATTATAGTGGCTGCAAACCACAATAGATCTAAACATCCGGTAGCATTCTTTTGCCGATGCCGTTGTTTGGCATGATGAAGTAGCGTTACAAATTGTTACTTAGCCAGCTGCAAAACATAAGTTTGAGACGCTGACGTGTCAACGCGGAAAGATCCCTAAGAACTTTGCAAAGATAGTATCGAGATGCAAATACGATTCGTCACGATCTGGTGTTAACTGAAACGACGCACTAATGATATATGCAGTCCGGAGATGAACAATAGGGCGTGATAGTGATTGTTCGTCGACTCTGTACAGCCCGCGGGAGAGATCAGCAAATGGATGGGTATTACGAACCTGCAACCAGAGCACGAGCTCACCAACAGTGGCAATAGGACTGGATTGAATAGCATGACAAGATATAAAATACGGGGCCAGGTGAAAATGACGGCCGTGATGCGGCATATTGTTACTCGGCCAGGTGCAACTCGATCAGTAGAGACGCTGGCGTCCCAACGCAGAAAGATCCCGAGTTGCTCACCCCAGACGAGTAAGAAGTTTGCAAAGATATTATCGAGATGCAAATATGATTCGTCACGATCTGTTGTTAACCGGAATGACGCACTAATTATAATGTTGCACGAGGAAGAGGGGAGCGTGGTTTTTGCGACGCTCTGCAGTATGTAGTCCGGTGAAAGTAGGTTGCGCAGGTGCGAATTGCGATGCATTGTGCTAGAAATTGAACTGGTAGCGGACATGACCCTGTTCTAAGTCAAGTAGTTCTGATGCATTGAATCATTCGGAAGCCCTTGCTTCAAAGTAGATAAAATGTGCCCATAGTGACGTGTTGTTCACAAGTAGCACGAGCAAGTAGCGTGGTCGAGCGACCGAGACGCTGACGCTCTTCGACAGATATGGTAGGCAGTGGCTTGAGATCCCATTAAATCGTGTCCTGAATAGGTAGAGAACATTATTCTGGCCATCGGCCGTCGGAAAGGTGAATATGGGACTTCAGAAGGACTGTGCACGACGCCGGCGGGACGCACCTTGATCTCTGAGATGATGTAAGGTGACGGAAGCGCAGATGCTTAAGAGACAGCTTGTCTCCAGTTATAGAAGAGCTCGAATCTTCGATCTCAGGAGACAATATGTACCTTATAACTTCACCTGCATAGAAGAGAAGAAATAGTCCGTCAGCTGCTGAGTTCATGAAAGAGTTCGAATCTTGATTCTGTGGTCGAGCTGTACTCAGCTTACCTGAGCAGTGAGCATGGCAAAGTATAAAAAGCGGACTTTGAACACATTCTTCTTTCAACCAGCTCGAAAGCCACGAATGCTCATCACATACAGGACTGCTCCACGCATCCGAATTTCTGAGCGGGCTAAGGTCTGAGCATTCCAATCCCCCTCGATCGGCTCTAGCAGAGCCCAGCTTTAACGAGCTGCGCGACGTACCAGAAAAGCAGCCTCGTTTTTCATATCCCCAAGATTCTGTTACAGCAGAGGAGGGCGAGAATGAAAGCTTTGAAAGCGTCGCGGGGATTGGGCGAACTTTGTGTCTATTGTTTAACAGTCAGCTGTCGCTATCGCGCCTGCGCCCGCCAAGAAGGCTCTCACAGGGGGGGACTAGGTGGTCCATCGGTGGGTCGACTTGGGGCCACTTAGTCAGGCGAACGTCAACGTTTGTCACCTGCCCGAATAATCATGAAGTACCGGCAACTACGACTCGACCTTACGCGTATGAGGTGCAACTGATTGATATCATTATCCAATGGTACTGGTTCGTCCTTGAGTTCACTTCGTGGCTCGCGTATCCTTTGTGGATCGTGAAACTCGATTCAGACTACTCTCGGACTGGTTCTTGCAATTTTTTCCTTGTTGAACTCCTTTGTGGAGTGTTGTCTTTTCGTCAAGATCTGTGTTTGTTATCGGTTCAGCCTCGAACGTTGCTCGAGGCTTGTTGAACAGTAATACTCAACATTCCTCGAGCAACACCAGTATTAGAGATTCCTGGATTGCCCCAGGTCGAGATGACCATGTGCACTGCACGCTTAGCACGGGCCGTGGTCATGCATATGGAGATCTTCACGGCCGATTCTTTACAGAATATTCGACCATGATATTTGAACCATAGTTAAATGACGTTCACCATAACTTGTCCGAGACTGCTGTTACTTATTATGAGACGACAATATATTAGCTTCCAGCCACGCCCCAAGCCCAGACTCATCGTTGGGCAAAATTACAAGCTGGAACAGCGACAAGGAGAAACAGTGAAGGCAAGACAGCGCCATTTGTCAGTTGGATTGATGCGACGGTGATGGTTTTATGGTCCTGTCCTTGTTCTGAATCCTGGTCAGAAAGTCGTCCACGAGCATCCGCTTTCAGCCACTCATCAAGCGGTTCCCGTATGCACCTTGTTGGTGGTAGTAAAGTCGATGACAAGTCGAAGTCGTTGAGCACGTCAATGTATTGACCATCTGGGGTCTTGTATACGGTAAGATTGCCAAGGCTGACGTCGCGGTGACTACTTACCAGACGACAGTGCTAAACCTCCGGTGGTGAGCTCTCATTTGTACACGTTTCTGAGGTACATATTTGACAAACTAGTAAAGCGATCTCTGAAGGACGTATTCAAATAACCTTCTACAAGATTGCTGCTAATTATTACAAGCTGACTGTCGAAAGTGAACCGAAGCATTATGTGTGGAGCCACGACGGTACGTTCGCCTTGAGCAACGTCTGGAATGCAGAATTGTCGTCCAGCACAACTTTAACCTTCGCACGTTTCGAGAGCGTGCTGCGCATCGCGATGATAGAGTCTAGGCAAGATAACGCAACATCCCAGTTATCTTGATGCGACGACGTGGGTTGTATGAAGGGGTCGTCGGTCTGAATCCTCAACAGAAAGTCAGACTTTTTCTCCGCGCATCTTAAAGCATTCACTCTCAGCCAGTCATCGAGCGGTCTGCCCTCGCGCAGGAGTACCACTTTTTCATACCGCATACAGATCCAGGCCAAGACCCATACTAACGATTCAGCGTCGTGTCGGTAAAGGTGCTCGACCTGGCCTGCGATGGCTGCAGGTGAGAGAAGGTCAATCGCCATGAACGGCACTGTCCCTGTACGCTCGAAATTTCCGGTGGGAGTGCCTTGAGTCGATGATAAGTCGTAGTCGTTGAGCACGCCAATATATCGACCATCTGAGGTCTTGTATACCTTGAGATTGCTAGGACTGGCGTCGCGGTGACGGACGCCGTGCTGCCAAAGGACATAATGGCCTGAGGTCGCAGTAATTAATGGACAGTAAAGGGCACAAGAAGGAAGAACACTTACAAAGCACCACTTGCCACCATGCGGCGAGGAACTCGTCCCCGCTCAGCGTCGTGATCGGGAGAAGCTTCTTGGACACGATGATATACAAGGCGCGGCCACGCAGACCGAAGTGAGTCGTGCATTGACCGGGCATCAAATCAAACTTGAGGTCTACATCGCCGTCTGCATCGCGGACGCAAATCTCGCACGATTCACCAGGCACATGCTTGAATTCAGTGTTAAGACCCCAGTGCTCATCGTTGCGCGTATAATCGCGCAATCCGGACACTTTCAAGCTGCGCAGTTCGAGGAGTGCAGCGTTGGCAGCTTGGATAAAATGAGTGTAGGAACCGTTTTCTAAGGTGCAGTTGGCGCTGGACGATGGTGTCAGCATCTTTTCATGCTATTTGAACTCCTCACTTACAAATCCTCAACGTGGCCTTTGATCTTCTGGTCGTTACAGAGCTGCACGACGGCCTGGAGGGAATCTTCAAATAGTTTCGACTTCTCGATGGGAGGAACAAAGGTATATTTGCAGTCATCTAGGAGCTTCTGCAGAATTGTATCGGGATGGCATTCCCTGAAGTCCTCGACATCCCGAGTGATCCATGGGCGGACATCACCGACTCTGCATGCATTGTTCAAGGTCAATACTCGGGTGCGGTGGCCAGAGCAAAAGGGAACGTACTCAGTGCCAACAGCACTGATGCGTTCGCTGATAGTAGCAGAACCAACTGCATTTGGGGTGGACTTGAGCTGGGAAGCAGCGGTGACGCCGTGCGGGGGCGTCTTTGGCGCAGTGACGCCAGGAGTATTGACCATGAGGAGGAGGCTACTGTTAGGAAAGAAAAGTAAACTCGTTGAAGACAAGAAATTGAAGTTTGCTTTTAAGCCAGAACAACACTACTATTGTTCAGACATTTTAAGGGCACAATCGATTTCTGGAATTTCGAACGTTGATGCAGAATATTGCGGATAAGTTGTAAGAGCCACAGTTCGGAGTCAGTGACTTGACAGTTCAAGTTGAGGTTCACATCATGATCACTGCCACCACCATCAACTTTTTCGACGTCGCCCACAGTGATTACTGCTCCGACCAAATTGTTCTTCTTTTGTTACACGCGCCAAACTTGCTGTGAGTTGGACAAGAGAAGGAGAAGTCAAATTGGCATCACTACCATCATGCACCAACTCTTCTTCGCCTACCGTGATTTCTCCAACGAGCATACTTGCAACCTGTTCTTTTTGCTCAGCTTCCAATCCCATCTGTGAGCGCTGAAGAAAGAATCAGATCTGCAGATCATCTGATGATCACTGCAATGGTGGTCATGCATCAAGTTCCGATGCCGCCCACCATGATTTCTCCAACAAGCATAATTGCAACCTCTGAGTCAATTGCATTCGTATGATAAATTTTGCTTCTTCTCAGTATGACTCGGACTGGCCAGATATCACCGAAATTATCCCCAGGGTGGGCTGTTGTTTCTGCGACATGTATGATGTATCGCCCAATGAACATTCAGCAAAAACAAGGACTATTATTTTGGCGCTCCATAGCATCCACACAAGGGAAAAAACATCTTGCGGAAGAATGCCACCCCTGGGGTCGCGGGTGGAAGACAGCGAGTTGGGGACCCTCGCAAAGGAGTGGCGTGCCGCTTTGGAAATAACATGAAACAGCCTGTTTAGACTGGCCAGACCCGTGGTGTTGACGAATGCTCGCCTCATAGACACCAGTCTATTGTCGTCGTACTGCAATGAGTAACAGTATGTGTTCACCTTATGTACGTGCGCTGCGCTGGCTTGGACAGGTCATGGTGAGCGGTACGATTGGTCATTATTCGGTTACTGCGACGATTTGACGCTAGATCAACGTCAGGTAAGCTACCCCCCTCTCACTTATATCGATTCATACGATGACGATGTAGTGATGGACGGGTCCGGTTTGGTCCGGTTCTCTGGCAAATTCTGAGAACCGAGGACCGAACCATAGGTTCGGTTCTCCCCACAGACAGAACCGTGGACTGGACCGTCGGTTCGGTCCAACAATGGTCCAGTTCCGGTTCATCAAGGGTCCGAACCCTGAACCGGACCATCCAAATAGCACAAAAAAATTCATTCACAGAGACAAGTAGAAGATACTAGTTGTATGACAAAAGGAAAGAAATCTTGAACAGAAATAAAATATTTGATATGAATATGTCACAGTGCTGGCTAAAACACTAAGCTCGGGCAGTGCCGACGGGACTTGCAGGTGCATTGACTGCAAATCCGCACTGAAGTGGCAACCGCAAAAAGGGCAGACAAAGATTCAGACCAACAACTATCGGAATCAGAAACAGATGACACGGTAGCGCAGATTTCGTAGTACAGGCGTGTGACCTTGCGCTGCAAGGTATTAAAAGGGCTGGTCCTTGTACAGAGTGCATATGCTGCACATTTTTAATTTCGACATTCAAGTTGATCCCCTCCCTCCTCAGTTTAAGTCGTAGTATGGTGGCCGTATACCGGGGGGACCATATAAGACCATATACCTACTAATAAAATAAGTACTGCTATATACTTAGAAGCTTGACTTGGACGGTCCGACCGACCGACTATCTTCTATTTTTCAAGGTCTGGCTTGGGGAGACTAGTAGGTCCGACCCTTTGAGCTAAGTGCAGCACTTCAGAGTTTGTTGGAGAAGATACAGCATGGTAGGCAAACATCAAAGTATTAAATGGAGGAGGACTATGACTCGAGAGGCAGCATACTATATAGTTGGACCACGCAAGCCGAGGCATTGTGTTCTTTTAGTGTGAACTCGAACTCACGAGTACAACTATTAAAAATATTAAATCCCAACACACACGGGGATGTGCGTGCAGTAACATTGGACTTGCGGACTTGTGCTGAAGCTCCCCATACCCCAAGATGGATTTGAATCAACTCAGGCCGCTGACTCCCTTCGCACGTTTAAAGTATCAGGCTTCCGTTGCCCAGCCAATAAATCCACTCGCAATGAATGGAGCCAAGCTAAAATAAATGGTAAGGCTGAGGAGGAATCTGGAGGAATGTTTCCCTATGTTTCCAGCTGGAGAACAGAGTAGATCCAGATCATTTTGGACTTACATACTCTTCTCTGATGTGATGCTCTCAGGGGCAGTGGAAGTTCAAGCAGATTGATCAAAGCAGTCTCAATCTTCACCAAATATTTGTCTCCTGCCAGTCAACTGATGCCCATCACTGTATGACTGCACAAGAAACCAATAAGTATTGAATCTTGTTGGTGCGGATCACCTTTCCTGTTCCTTTTGAGATCTTCATATCTGTCTCTAGGGCTTTACCTGTCCAATGGATGAGCTTCCCCTTGAAATAGACCATAGCGAATGAAGTCAAGGGTGAACCTGTGACCATTGATAGCAAGCAGCAAAGACTTAACAATGAATTAGAGATGATACAACACAAGACGAAAGAATTCTCACAGTGCCACATGATGTTGTGTGTTGTCTGATGTATGTTCTAATGTTATGATTGATCAGTGCCGCTGTAGGGAGTATCCCTATGCTAGGCTCGTATCCACCACTTTTCTGATGCATCAGGCGTCCATCCAACGTCCATCTGACACCTATCCATTCCATCCGATACACATCCGCTGTAGGGAGTATCCCTATGCTAGGCTCGTATCCACCACTTTTCTGATGCATCAGGCATCCATCCAACGTCCATCCGACACCTATCCATTCCATCTGATACCCATCCGCTTTTCGGATGACATGCGGATACCTTCGGATCTCCCCCTATAGCTCGCGCATCCGCCGCATCCGTCCTGTCCACGTCCATTCTACCTCATTGGTACATACTCACACGCATTTTCTTGTTACTGACTGAACACAGACATATCCTCTCACACTCCAGTATTTTTCGGATAGCTTATGGCACGGTCTAGACTCGCTACCTATATATCTATGTTCCTTGAAAATACTGTACCCTATAAGCATGGAGGGTTTCGAAAAATACTTACTTCATGTAACTTCCTCCCACTTTTCCTGCACCTTACCAGAAGGTCGCTTTGACTTATACCCACTATCCATCCAACCTTTAATGAACTTCCTTTGACTTTGATTCACATCCTGTCTGATCCGCAAGTGCCATCCGCTCCATCTGACGAATCCATATGTTTTGCATCCTATCCATTTCATCTGCTTTTGCGGATCTTTCATCCTATAGGGTCGCTTTAGACAGAGACTAGTATTCCCCAGTAGCAATCCCCTGAAGGGTCGAACGCACTTGTTCCCAAGCGAGGCAGCAGGCAGCAAAGACCCAACTGTGTAGTAGATTGACTTCTCTCTGCTGCACTTGTTGTACCCACACCGCATCACAGGCATGTCATGAGCACAGCAGGACTGCATCAATTTCACCTGGCCCCACAGAATTCAGTTTTATGTAAGTCTGGTCAAGCTAGAGATCAAAAATTTCATACCACCCCTTATTGCTTGACAATTGGTTTGAACCAGGTTCGAGAATTCTGCAAGTCCTTGAACTGTGGACCAGACTGATGGTTTGGTTCCCCCTATTGCCCGAACTTTGAACTGGACTTCAGTCAGGTTTGAAATGGTTTGGGTTCGAACCATGGTTCAGGACCAGACCTGGCCATCACTATGATGATGGAGCTTAACTGGTGGAGATATCATCTCTGTTATCGACACTCTCCTAACCAAGTGCTTACAGGCAAACAAAAAATACCACCAGAGTCTTGGTCATTTTATAGTGTAGATCTTGTTATGGGGAATGCTCAGAATTGATTATCTTTCCGGCAGTAGAAAGAAATCATGTCTGGGGGTATCATGCACTTGTCCCACTCGTAGCATCTGCACAGTTTAGTTTACAAGTTTATTGACAATGATGCAATACTATCAAGCTATCTATGCTCACACAAGCTAAATAACCATGAGCACCAGAGTGACATAAGATCTGACCTTTATATAGCTTGGTGCCTAATTTGGTCTCCGAGGGTTATAACCCTTGAATCCATTACTCTGCTACACCAGCAATACCACCAGCGTTACCTTGGTACTTCAGTAGCTCATATACATAGCCTGGGGATTAAATAACAATAGATAACAATAGATAATCTCCCTGATAATGATTACTTAAATAATAGATCAGTCCCATGAGTCCCACAACTTATAGTTTGATCAACAACGCATCCCACAAGTCCTGTGACTTATGTTTTGACATACCACTTTCTGGTGATTTGTCAGCCATGCTGCTCATCGTCAGACACGATGATCTCCACTCTAACCTTTTCTGAATGATTGCCTCAAGGCATTGCACTGGCATGTATTATGTCACCACTGGAAGATATTGGCTACATGGCACTGCATGGATGCCTTGTGTCAACACTTCTTTGCTCCACTCCAGTGTAGTGATGTTCAAGGCCTGGCTTCAGGCCGTGAGCTGGGCCTAGCCGGGCTTTGTAGACGGCCTATGAAGGCTTAGGGCCTGGCTCAAGTTGTGTCCAGGCCAGAGCCGGGCTTTCAGGCCACGGCTTTCAGGTACATTTTCGTTCAGTCAGCAATGACCGTGAAACTGCAATAGTTTCAAAGCCTCAGCTGTCTAGGATAAACTAATTTGAGTTTTTGAATTTTCAACAGGTCATCCGCATATGGTGCTGCGCGTCTATTCTGACAGTGAGGAACCACCTACTAGTACGGCATGCCCTAAACGTGTCGCTGTGCCATCAGCGAAGGTAATTTGTGCGGATAATGCTGCTGATCAAGAATTAGTTTCACACAGGCGGGCTCACAATGATGCAAGTCGTGCTGCCAATGCTCCTTCTGCATCTCCTATGAGTTCTTGTAGCCACAAAGTCACCGTCGTTGAGGTTGACAATGATGACAATGATATCGAGCTGACGGGCAGCACACACAAAAAGTGACTGATGAAAGGTGTGTTTATACTATTTTGTTGGATAAGTACTGACTAATACCTACATCATTACAGGCAAAAAACGAGCTTATAGCCCTGATCCTCCCGAACACACAAACGAGACTGAACACGATGCAAGTCCATCAACTGGTGAGTTTTCCTATCGAATGAAACAAATACATAATACTGACATTTATTTGACATATGTAGTCAACGCACCGCATGCAACTAGTTCAGCAAACCACTCTGATGAAGTTGATGCTGACGGCTTCCTCAAGGATGTTCAAGTCATGAGCATTGACGAGGCCTCTGAAAACCCACATCAAGAGCAGCGAAGTCGTGACATCACCAAGTTTTTTTCCAAGCCTTACGCTGACAAAGGCAAGAAGCACTGGAATTGTCGACTGTGCAGGTAAATTTACATTTCTGTCTCACACACATTGTACTGACTATGCGATAGCAAGAAAATGAAAAAACCCATTGCTTTTGTCAATGAGGTGATGACTATGCGACGCCATATGGATGCTTTGCACAGGGTAAGTATTGCCAACCCGAGAAAACATGCTACTAACTGTTCATTCATAGAATGAATATCTTACATGGGCCGAAGCCGAGAAATTTGTCTCGATGTTACCCAAAGACACCAAGTGCCGCAAGCTAGATGCTGCTGCTGACTCTCAAGCACAACTCAACGCCCACCTCTGTGAGCCGCAACCAAAGGAACGGATCATCCCATACTCAGATGCAATCTTCCGCGAGGCTGCCATTGAATGGCTGATTGAACTGACCAGGTATGTTTTTTTTATTTAATTCTGGCAATTGGGCACTTATCAGTTCACAGCCTATTGACACACTCAACCACAAGTCCTTCAAATATATGATCGATGTAGCAGCACGAGCTACCAATGGTGTCAAGCTACCTAGTCGACCAAAGATGTGCCGAGCCATTATCAATCTCTTCAAGCGTAATCTCACCAACCTTCGCCAACGGTTACTTGTAAGTCTTGTTGATTTTTTTTGTTGTTATTTCTAATGCGAACCACAACAAGAGCGACGCTGTCAAAGGACGGATCAATCTGACATGTGACGCCTGGCAAGCGTCGAATGTCGATGGCTATTTTGCCCTCACTGGTCACTGGATCGAAGAAACAACAGTCGGTGTTTGGACAGTTCAAAGTGCCCATCTCGGCTTTACTCAACTGAACAATGCTCACAATGGCGTCTGTCTTGGTCAAGTGCTGTTCAAATTAGTTAAATGTGTTGGGATTGCACATAAAGTAAGTAAAATTCTAGCTTCATAACAGTGTGGCGCTAATGGAGTTTCAGATTGGCTATATTACATGTGACAACGCAGCCAACAATGATACCATGATGGAACATTTCGCAGTCCACATCGAGGCACACACCAAGAAGACATTCAATCATAAAAAACGGTGCCTTCGGTAAGATTTTCTTTGTCTTGTTTACTACTACCAATTCTCACTTATATATTCAGGTGCTTGGCCCACATTATCAACCTCGCAACTCAGGCGCTGTTGTCCACACACAGCAAGTCAAGATACTACGACGCCACCCAACCTAACGATAATTTGCTAGCCCCCGCAACTCACTCCGCACTTGAATGAGACGAGGTTGGATTAGTCCGATCAATCTGTGTCAAGGTTTGCCGTCCATCAAATGCACATATGTTGTGTTGACATCCTTCATTGTAGGAGCGCTCCTCAGCTCAACGAAAGGAGCTTTTTCAGAGTGTCCAGCATCGAGACGAAGATGGCCACACACCAATCAAACATCCATGACAATTGCTTCTCGACATGAAAGTAAGGTGGTCCTCAACATACACTATGCTTCAACGTGCATTCGAGCTGCGAGATGTAAGTTCAATTTAGGATGTCAATGTTGTGCCCACTGATGTTTATTAGGAAGTTGACTATTTTGTGGGCCTGCTCAGTTTGCAAGAGAAGGACTCAGCTAAATGGAAAAAGATTACGGACCTTGAGCTATCATCCGAAGAGTGGACCCGTGTTCAACATCTGCTCTCAATCCTCAGTGTACGTATTTTTATCTTACAACTTGAATTGTGGCTCACATCGAAACTACAGTATGCCAAGTTGTCACAGCAGTCCTTCTCGTCTGAACAAGGACCAATGCTTCACTTAGCATTGCCTGCATTAGAGTCGTTGCATAGCGCATGGTCGTCACATTCTGGACACATCAAGTATCTCGATTTTGCAGAGGGCCTCGATGCTAGTATTGAGAAGATTGCAAAGTATTACAAGAAGTCGAGTAGTTCTGACGCCCATATTATGGTGATGCGTGCATTATTCTTTCATGTACATATTACTCCCACTGACTTTCCAACGACAGTTCTCGATCTGTCACAAAAGGAGACCCATATTTGCAAGTATTGGGGTGAGGAATTGCTTGTCGAAGCATGCAGACATGCAGAGGAGATGGTAAGTACAATTCCAAAGCTGTCATCACAACACACTCACTAATGTTACATCTAGTACAAAGAACGGTATCTCAAAATGTACAGCAACAATCCTGACTCTAGGAATGGTGTTGAAGTCAAGGTCAGGAAGACAGGGAATCGCAAACTCGATGCTCTGCTGCAAGAGCTCTCTGACGGCAAGGATGACAGTGACTCAATGCTGCAGCCCACCCTAATCTCTCGCATGAGTTCCACAAGTTCTGTTACTCCCTCCGAAGCTGCGAATGAGCCATGGCGGCACAACTTTCACACTTACCTCAACTCCAAGGACCACCTTGGAGATATGACTATTGTGCAGTGGTGGGGCATCAATGCACCTCAATACCCAGTCTGGGCGTCACTTGCGCGCAACTTCCTTTCCATTATGGCCACATCTGTGTCCAGTGAATGTGCATTCTCATCTGCCGGTATTACTATCTCCAAGCGCCGAAATCGTCTCAAACACGACATCATCGAAGCACTGCAGTGCTTGAAATGCATGATCAAACACGATCTCCTGTTTCGCAAGGACCCATCTGTTGCAACCGAGTCCGTAGATGATGAATCGTCCGAAGATAAGACTCCTGCTGCTCTCAACGAAGATGATGGGTGGGATGATGTTGCTGAGGATTTAGGTGAGAATGAGGAGCTGTTAGAATCAGATGACGAAGATGTTTTTATTCAAATGTTAGATGAAATTTGATTTACTTGCTACATTTTTGTATCACAAGGCCCTAGGCCCAAGCTGAGCCGAGCCCCAGCCGAGCCTGAGCCCTACCATAGGGCCTGGCCTTGGTTTGAAGCAAGCCCCAGCCCTCCAAGGCCGAGCTGTGGCCCCGGCTTTTGAGCTGAGCCGGGCCTTGAACATCACTACTCCAGTGCTTTCTCCTTCTCTCCATCATGTCTTACCGGCATGGTAGGCACGTAGCAGCCTCAAAACTCAAGGTCCCCTCTTGGAATTTGGCATGCAACTTCACACACATATGGGAAGGGCTGATTCAAGTCTGGTGCTCGAGTTGCTAAGGAGGTGCAGGATGGCCTGAAACGGTGTCAAGACTACCTGATGTGTGCATAATCAAGTTCCTCCTGTTCTTTTATTTATTTTATTGATCTTTTTCAATAGCATTACCTATGGATGCATTTAGCAGCATCACTGCAAGTTCAGGTGCCCTGCCTGATGACAACATGGGTTTTCTGACTACTGAAGACCACTGACATGACAAATTTGATCATGAGATATCACATAAAGGAGGCAAATACAAGAATGTGGTTGGTTGTGCATTGCAATTTGCAGCCCCATCAAAGTAAGTTTGCCGATCATTTTGTTGGTTGATGAATCAATGAATCAATCTCAATTGTGTTCTAGATACACTAGTCACTCAGGCCCACAAGCACGATGCAAGCACCTCAGGATGATGTATGCTCATTGGGACTTGCAAATTCCACAGCTCACCTGCACCTATCTGCAATGGAAACATAGCAACAAACATGATGGCATGGAATCATCAATGGAGGATGGACATATATTTCATGTGACTGCAGTAGGAACATTCAGTATGTTACATAGCTATGTACCTATGACATACAATGAATCAAAATCCAAAGCATGAGGTTTGTGTTTCCATACACCAGCATCCTGAGGAGCCTGCCAATGTGGCACTTTTAAAATGCGGACTCCTGGGCTGCTCCCCGGTTGAACCATCTGTGGCTATTGAGGTCCACATGCTCAAGCTTTACCACAGGTTACGGCACTGTCATGCGCAGCTTAGTATACAAGCCTTTACACGAGCATTATGCAATATTCATAAAGTATGTAACCTCATTTCATCTTCATGTTGCTAATGCTTATATTTAGGTCAACTATTGCACATGTTTTCAAGAACAATTCTCAATAGCATTTGATGCATATCTCTCTATTCTCCAGCACATTCAATTGAAAGTTGATGATGCTCTTGGATGCAGTGATGTGGACTGGTGGTTGAAGCACATGTGTCCATGCTGCACCTACAAGGTAAGCCATCTTATATCACATACTATGATCATTGAATTGTGCTTTTAGGTCAATGGTGAAGAGATCCTCAAGCCAAAGATTCTGGTTGTTCATGATGGCAACAATTCCTGCAAGCGAATTGCTGCTGTGGCTCCATCAGATCACTGTAACTTCAACAGTTCATATTTCATTTCTCATCAAGAAGTTGACCGGTTCAAGGATCAAGTTCAACACTGTCAATGTGTCGACCATGACAAGGAGCCTGATGACAAGGTCTTTTTTGTCCACTCTGTTGTTGTGCTTATTGATTTCAGTTGAGACTCAGGACGAGGATGTTGATGAGACACTGGCATCCTGCCTAACATGGAAGAGTAGTGCTCCTGATCACAAGAAGACTGATATTTATGAAACAACTGGGATTTTTGCATCTGCTTGCCATTATGGTTTCATTATCAAAGTTTGTGAAATGGTCCAAAGTGGAGAGCTGTGAGTCACCCTTTGATGTCCAAATTTTAATTTAATTCATCTGATACTGACACTTGTAAATGTAATGCAAAATATCCACTTGCTATCATGAACGCTATGATTGATGCCTATGGCGAAGACATTGGCATGGGCTATAATGTAGGATGTACCTTTGGTGGAATTGTGCACAACAGCCCTCTCCTCAGCCAGAAAGCTGAAGAAGCTTGAATACAGTTCTGTGTCAATTCATTTCATGACTACACTCATAATCAATTATGTCAAGTACAGCATCATCCTCTTTATCTACCCAGTTTCAGCCTAGTGGATCTTGAAACCATGGAGCGCATGTTCTCATCAATGAATTCTGTCTCATATGTTATACACTATGCATCCAGGTACCACTGGGCACAATTCATCAATCGTCACTTTCAACAATGGGATGAAGACAAATACAGTGAACTCAGTGAGTGTTATCAAGGTTTCACATCAGATTCTTGTACTAATATTAACATCATCAGGCAAGTTTCTACTGAACAACTACAGACAAGCTATTGGCATTATCAAGAAATATGAGGACAAGGTTTCCAGGCTCATATCAAGCCTGAACATCTGTGAAGATGATTTTAAATGCTGGATTGAAGAAGAGAAGAATTTTCTGATGGACCTCAAAGATGAACCTGTAGAACATGTACTTGTGTGTTCATATGTTCAGGTGCTGATGGACCTCCAATCTGCTGAGTAAGTGATGTATCTATTTCCATAACATTGTTTTAGACTTTGTGCAGTCAAAAATGGCAAAAGATGTCAGATTCATTCAGGAATACATCACATGCACACACCATCAATTATGCAGAGGACATGCAGCAGACATCACAATTGGAAGCTCAATGCCAAGCAGCATTGGATGGTTTGATGATCTGTATTTGTGTAGTTGCAGATCTGGAAGAAAGGCTTGGCATCAAAGAGAGATGGACTCCCCAGCATCCTGAATATCTGTCAGTGCTTGAGTGGATTAGATCTCATAATTTCCAATGTGCACTCGACAAGTTGCAACAGCTTGTTGTACAGCGTCTACTTGAGCTTGCAAAAGCCAATTTATCAGGCACAGGTAAGCAGCAGGGTGATGAACCAACCTTTTTTGTTTGTTTACTGGTTTCTACATGTTATAAACTTTGTGTTCATATCAGAAAGGCCATCAAGGCATGAAGCAAGGCATCCACAATGTTCTCGATGAATACAATAAGCTAGCACCCTCCATGCTACCTCCTACACCACAACTCACCTGGAATGATATTGTGAACTATGGATTTCTGTCTGAGTTTGAGTTGCTCAAACACTTGCATTCTCAACAGGATGTCTTAACTAAGCCCTGGATGGTTCCAGGCAATCATGAGATTGCAATAATGTATTTCAAGATGAAGTGCTCATACAAGGAGTTGACCCATCTCAATGTAGAGATTTGTCAATTGCATATCTTTGTCCACGACAAAGGGATATTTCTTCAAGATTGACCCACATTATTTGTCTTGACACTATTGAAGCACTGCCTGAGTTTAGTGGAGTGTGTGGTACTGGTACCACGACATCTGATGCTGGGCTGGATGAGGATGATGGATCACCAGAAGACATAGTGGCCAATGATGCCTTTAATGATGATATGATTCAGCTGGCTGAGGTATTGTGATAGTCCAAATAAGCCTTGATGAGGTGTTCCATCTGAAGATTCCAATTGATGTTCTGGACATCGATACAGTCCTTGCATGTGTGAGGATCCACATAGCAGCTAGCATGTGTCAGCACATTTGTACTGGCAGGCATGAAAAAAACACTTACAAGCCAGAGAGGTCTGCCATTTGCTGAGCTAGTCCTTCAAAGGCTTCATACTCCCCACCTCCATGGCTAAGGTCTGCTCCATTCCCACCAGGAGGTGCAGTATATGGTATGTGTTCAATATCAACATCAAGATCAACTAGCATCACCTCAACAGCCTTGCAATCCTCAACTAACATCTCTGCAGAACTGAGAAGAACATCATGCAGGAAAATAGTTAACGTACCTTGTATGCACGATTGCCACTTTGAAATTGCATCTTCCCTTCATTGAGTTTGCTGCCCTGCCTATAGTACACAAATTGTCCAAGCCCAGCATCAAAAGCCATGTATGGCAGTGGACTTCAACAACCCTGTAATATGCTTTGCTGATGCCCATGACATAGATAGTAGGAAGTGTGATAGATGGAGTTGGTGGCATGGTGGCAGTGGGCATCCTTGAGAGATGAGGCTGGTGGTGACATCCTTGAGAGACAAGGATGGCATTCAGAACAGTAGTGTGTAGCTAAGTGGACGGTGCCATGTAGTAGTGGTGGCTAAAGAACCTATATAGAAGGCATCATCAACACCTACAGTGGGGGGTAGACAATGGTGGTGGTGGTGGTGGTGGTGGTGGTGGTGGAGAAGGGCAAGGGGTGTGGGAGTAGTGCCTTCTCCATTTCAGAAGGTTAGGCACATGGTGGGGGGTGCTTTGGGATGCCACATTTAGATAGTATAAGCAGCAGACAGTGCCAAGCTGCTTACCTGCACAGTGTACACCAAATAGCAGAAGTCCTGGAGTATTTGGGATGATATATAACACTGGTGTTGAGTATTAGTACAAGAATGCCTAATAATAGTAAGTACGGTGTATCATCTTGTGGATGATCCCACTGGAAAAATGGGACATTCTCACCCTGCTCTTGCCTGCTCACTCCCTGACTCATTCCCTGATCCACACATCATCAACTTGTATGCACAGCTTGCTGTCACTGCAATTTCTGAGCTGCCCTCAAAGAAGGTTGTCAGCACCTTTCACTGAACAATCTGGCCTGTTGTGGTCTTGCACAAAGTCCTCGAGGATCTCACTAATAATTCTCCTGCAAGTGATGAGGTTTGTTGCTGTTCTCCTTTGCACATGAATATTTTGATGGATGTCAGATACAGATTGCTCTTGCTCCAGCCTGCACTGAGGGCAGTGTTTCAGAGCCATGCTGTGCGCCCAAAGAAAGCCCTTGCAGGTGTTCCAGGGCACAATAATGATGTGCCCACTCATGATCTTGAGCAGTCCACACTTCAGTTGCTTGAGGATTCGCCTGGGTGCTCTCATTGTGAGGATCACACACCGAGATCTCACAGATTTGTTCAAGTTTGGCTTGCTGACAAAATTTATGATTTCTGGGTGCAGACAATGATCCTGCTGTCTCTGAATCATCCCAGCACCTCAAACACTACTCTCTTCTGCGACTATCATTGATCTCGTGCACGATGATGAGGCAGTGGCAGTCAGTGATGTCATGGACCTCACTCAAGATGGGGACGATGCAGTGCTCTGTAGCACCGGTGTTAGTTGTGACTTTATTGATCTTACTCTCTGATGCAGTCATGTCATTTTTTCAACCTACTGTACATATTCACTTTCATTGCCGACACTTACCAATGATTGTGGCATTGTTATTTACTTGTATTTCATCCTTCAAAGCTGTCTCATATGTTTCTCTCATTCTGATTTCACTTTCCCCTCAATTCTGACAGTTGAAACAAGAAGACGAGATATGTATTGCAAGTATTTATTTAACCACAATGACAAGTTCTTCCGCAGCTATAGCAAGGGTCACAGCCTGGTCTGTTTGGATTCATGTAGTGTTCATGAGCCTCTGCTGGATTGTCGTTCCAAGACAAGAGGTACTTGAATATGGTACCAGGGTTGTTGAAATTCTCAGCCCACCCACCCCAGTCACAGATCTTACGAAACAACCAGCCTTGCACTGTGTGTAGAAACTGACACCCGCCCTGATGAAACAAGTGGGTACCATATGGACGCAGATCAACACTAATGTCAAGGAGATTATTTCGGAAGCATTTGAGGAAGGAGTTTGAGGTCTGAGTATAGCATATCAACCTTATTCTCTTGATGTCTACAAACCTCGAGCTCACCATGCAATCTGTTGGGCTCAGACTGATGCTGTCTACACCAATCTTTTCCAAAAGATGAACCCATTGAGGTCTTCATGTCTCTCATGAGCTAACAGCCACCAGATAGCAAATGCTCACAGCAAGCACATCCATGGCTGGTCAGGATCAGCATATATGTAGAATGGGGCTATGCCTGTGGGTTTCGAGGTTAGCCATAAGGTGGGCAACAGCCCATAAAGTCACTGACCTCCATACTGATGCATCTTTCGAAAGGGTAATTCTAGCTTCACTCAGAACTGTGCAGGTTGGTACCTGACTTGTGACGTGAAAAGTTCAGGAGTTGCATCAAGCCAGTGGTTTTTTATCAGCAAGTCTTGAACCTGGAATGTGACATCAGCCCAGGTGATCCATAATGCTTCATCATAGTGGAGCAGGCAAAGCATGGACAGAAGGTAGAGTAAATAAAGCATCATGCAGAGCAAAAATCCAGCCCATTCAGATGGGTTTTCTGCCTTTCATTTGCGTGAAATTGGGCCGAATTCTTTTTGGTCTGTGGACCATGCAAATTCCCAGAGCCTCTTCATGGTAGGTTCATCCATGGCATGAGCACTCATTACTGCTTCAGCCTGCTTGGATCTACAGCGTGAAATCAGTGCCCATGCTGATTTTCACAACACTAAAGTCCAATACCTTTCACCTGACAGAGACTGACCATATACTGTGAAATGGTCACTGAAAGTGACAGGTTTCTGATGAATTTCCCTGGTATGGCTGGGTGCTCCAACCATGGCTGTGTTCCAAGCTGGTAGTCTCTGCCGAATTTGTGGCTGATGGCAGCACACATCTTCTGTGCTGTGCCATATGTCACACGTGGAACACTGGGATCCTTTGCTTTCCCAGTCCATATATCATTTTCATCGCATCTCAATTCTGTAGCTTAGCATGAAATAAACACAACATTTGATGTACTCACTTATCCATGATCCATAGTGCAATCCACATCGGAAATTCAGCCGGAAGGTTTGGAAAAAGCTCGTCAATCTTGCTTGCAACTTGTGCTTTGTCAATGGTGACACAAAACTCTTTAAACTGATTCCAGTATCTGGAGAGATCATGCACATGAGACAAAATGTTTTTGCTGATCCATGGCATACCTCTGGTAGTCAGAGAGTGTTGTACCAATAACTACTCCCTCTGATGCTGCTTGCAAACTAGATGCTAACTGGTTGTGATGTGCCATGCTGTTGTTAAGCTTCTTCTTTTTCGCATTGTCCTCACCAGTGTTTGTAGTACTGAACCAAAGGGTGCCAGCAGCTTCACAGTCATCAACATCAAAGCTGTTGAGGAGAGATTCCTCCTCCTCAGTCTGATCCTCTTCAGCAGCCTCAACACTGATGTGTTTTGACTCGGCGAAGTACAGATCAGCACCTTTGAAGGCATGTAGTAAGGACATGACAGAAAAATCTGAGTTCAGACCAGGTGATGGAGAATTGAAATGTGTCAGCACAGAAACAAACCAACTTGAACCCCCTGAATTTAAACATTGACACTCACACGTAAATACATTACAGTTCATGGTGTCGCCATGTCTCAACATCAGGACATTGACTTGGAAGAGCTCAAACTGCCTGTACTCAGTCACACCAGGACAAGCAGTGGAATCTTTCACTTGGACAGTGTATGTCACACATTTCTCTTCCTTTCAGCATGTTTGATTTAATTCATGAAAATGTAACAGAACAGTGAAGACAACAAAGGCTAACTTACATGAGAAGCTCAAGAGCTATGGCAGGCCAACCTGTGGCAATCACACAGGGATGTTGAACAGGCTTTGTCAGTTTTCCAATGACCAAGACAAGTGGCTGAGGTGTGTCACTGGCATGCACTCTGAATCAGTGCTTGTGTATCTAATTTCTCCTGCTTGGCAAAGCTTATTCAAGCCTAAGCTGAAACAAAAACAAGGGGAACATATCTCACGCCAATCCCTTTCAAAACGAAGGATTGAGGAGGCGTTCAGAATTGAAGAACAAACAATTACTTACAAAAGCAAGAAGAGTGCAAATCACACACAACAGGCACTCCAGGATGACGATTGAGCTGCAAATTCAGCATGGGTGAGTGGAAGTGATGCTATATCATGCTAAGCTCATAACAATATTGTTAAAAAGGCATGTGCGGTGCTGTCAGCATTTGATATGCCTCATGATTTGAGTGTACCGCCTCCAATAACACAGCGAAAACACTGCCACCAACAAGTTGCCTCCGCAAGTGAAGCTGAAGGACTCAGACATGATGGACATCAGGACACTTTCACCATTTGTATGTGGAAAGTAGATTCCAACATGTTGTCTGTGCGAGAAGATCTCAGTAATACTGAAAATCACATCAGTGTCCTCACATCGCACATTCTCGATATGCAAACAATGATGGAATCAAAAGATACATGCACTTTACACATGGAGAGCTCTGGGTGCCATAACACAATTGTCCAGTCCCATGCACAAGCACGCATTATCAGCAACAATGCACCATCCAAACCTTGCATGATCATGCAGACAACATCTGTGCCTCTGCATCCAGAGTCCAGAGATAACTCCCCCCAAAAACCTTGGAATCACACACCTTGGCCAAGAGCAGTCTTTATACAACAGGACAACAGTACCATCACCTCCTACAGTCCACCTCTCCAAAGATATCAACCGGCTGTGTGAAGAATGGGAGGAATCAAACTTACTTGTTGTCAATGGTCACGGAATCCCTATCAAGTATTGGGGAGAGTTCTACAAGAAAGGAAAGGGCGTTAAGACTGCAGCATGGGATGCACTTTGAGCAGAATGGGGAAATTGGAAGGTATGATTTATCTTCAGCAAGTCACACACTATCTGACCTCTTGTTTGTCTTCGAGTTCATTGCCGAAGAATGGCAGTGATACCCAGACAACACCTTGTTCTGGCGTGCATTCAGTGATGAGAACAGCAAGGTTTTTTCTTACCAACAGATCCTGAACTGTCTTGCAGAGCACTGGGTCTCTGCTGCTGCCCAAGATGCTAACAATGCATGCACCTTTTTTGGCAGTAATCTCAACCACCCACTAGCCTGTGGCACCTGTACATGCCAGGGTTATGCTTAACCATAGCTAGTAAGCAATGAGGAGGTTTTGCAAGTTTATTTGTAGTCTACAAATCCTACATAATTAAGCTTAATGGCTTCTGAGATTCTCCGGTGTCCCAAACCAGCACTAATGCCTGAAATATTACCAAATTTAGATATTCCAGTATCCTCACTATTCTCACATATCCCTGCCAGCTCTACCTGCTTCACCACAGCTTATCCCCATCACCACTCCTGTATATAAGTAGTAACTTGCATATATATACATAGAAAGACTCAATAGACCGCTTTCTGCATGATCTAGAAGCCTGCATAGCCTGCAGTGCTAATATGTGCACCCCAGGAGGCCAGGACTAAAACATATTTGATTTTTTGCCCCGTTAGCGGGGGAGCAATTCTGATGATATATAGCATGTATTAGAGTGTAAATTGACTTATTACACTGCTTGATTGCATCTCTGAAGTGTCCTACATTAGTAGATCAGCACAGTATCAGGATCTTTCTCAGCAATCCAAAGTCTCCTTCTGCCTATACTGTAACATATTTTCGCATATTTTCTATTTTTTACTACATTACCATTGCATAGACTATCTAGACTGTTTATATATTACCTGTGGTACATATTTGAAGCCATCTCATAGCCAGAATTGGGCAGAAATATGTCAGGGTATTGATGTCATGGATATATCTCCTATTCTCACTGATAAGAATTCTCAGACATAAATATACTGATATTTTATGATTGGACTATCACAGTGTACCCCATACATACCAATAAATTCACTCCTCGACTACCAGAAGGATCCATAAAGAATTGATAGCAGGGGAATCCAATAGATAACAGAAAGACTGTGAGAAAGTCAAAAAAGTCCAAACATCGAAAACAGCATGTACCAATACAGTCTACCCACATGTAGTCAGACCTTGACTCATGCATAATGCTGCAACATTTTGACAGCACAACACTTCCACATCACCTTCATGTTGGAGTCTGAATGATCTGAATGATTAGAGACGAAGAAGACCGACTGATCCGAGATGGTTGAGGGAGAGTGACAGGTGGTCCGAGCCCAAGCCAAAATGGACATTGTTGAGCGACACATTGATGTCGGCTTGTGTCCTGCAATATTTTACTTATTCATTTGATATATTTTTCGTTTCTATATAGCTTACTATAAGAACACCACTGGTAGCACTGAGCGCATCTCAGCCTTTTCCAAGAGACTGAGATGTGAGTACATAGTCTCTACGTATCAACTAGAACGCAGCTAACAAGTCATTAGTATACTTGTTCATTAGGTACTTAGCTCATTGCATGAGCCTTTTCCAAGAGACTGAGATTATACTTGTTCATTAGAACATCCCCGAAGGCCTGCAATATAATTACTCACCACAGGTTATGAGCCCTGTCTCGATCATGGATACATCGCTCCCCAGCTCCAACACCACCCTGCTTAACGTCCCGAAGCTTGCTGAAGATGGCTCGAACTGGATAACCTATAAGGAGCGGATGTTAACAGCCATTGGCGCTAGAGGTCTGATGCAGTATACTGACGGTCGAGCAAGTGAGCCGAAACCCTTCACGGTTGACCCAAAGACGAAGGTTATCATGAAGCCGGACGGGCCAACGCCTACACAGGCGGATTACGATGAACTTGATAAACGTACAGACGAGTACCACCAGAAAAACTCACTGGTGAAACAGCAGATATTCAGCACAATTACCGATCGGCTGTTACTGCGAGTCCAGAAGCTGAAGGACGTGTCAAAGATCTGGGAAGAGATATGTCAGATCCATGAAGGGAAGACAGAGCTCGTCCAGATAGACTTACGTCGTCAGATGCAAGAGACAAAGTGCGATGAGGCAGGAGACGTCAGATCTCACTTTGCAGAGCTCATGAGGCTCCGTGAATCGCTTGCAGGCATGGGCGTCGCGATCGCCAACCCAGATTTTCACGTGATCATCCTGGGTTCCCTCCCCGAGTCTTATAGACCACTCCTGTCGTCCATCACAGCAGCCTCGAAGATCACGAAAACTCCCGTCACACCCGACTGAGCTCGTCACCATCATAACTGAAGAGTACGAGCACAGACTGCTTACCGAAAAGATGCCCTGGCGAGAAGGGAGCTAGCACAGCTCTCACCACAAAGGAGGCAAAAGGCAAAGGGCGCGCTACACCATCCTCCACCAACAAGACCAACCCTGACGTTACCTGTTTCAACTGCAAACGAAAGGGCCATTACAAGACGGACTGTTGGAGACCTGGAGGGGGCAAGGAAGGGCAAGGCCCGAACCAGCAGAGGAAGAGAGGGGAAAAGCCTCAGAAGCAAGCAGGCAAACTCCGCAGCAGAAACCTGACTCCCAAGATCAGTACACTTTCGTCACGTCAGACTTAGCGAGTGTAGTGAGAGACCTGGGCCTACCCATTGAGAAGAGAGGCAGTGATTGTCGACTCGGGAGCAACGTCTCATTTTTGCCCCGATCAGCTTGAAGTTCAGCAACTTCGTTACCATTCCTCCCCAAGATGTTCATACTGTGGACGGTTCAACTCTCAGCGCGATCGGACGAGGAGATGTGCAGATCGACTTACCTCTCGGTGAGAAGTGCACAATGGTAACCCTGAAGAATGCACTATATGCCCCTACCATGGCCTTTACCCTCATTTCCACCAATCGAATCACAGCAGGAGGCCTAGCGGTCCTTTTTGAAGGCCGCATGTGCAAGATATTGTCAAAGGGGCCCCCGCGGCGCATCATCACGGAAATTCCTCAAGTGGAGGGTCTGTACAGTGTGGTAGTGAGTCGTCAGAGACACCACGCTAACGTAGCAACCACGAAGCTCACCGTTAACGAGGCGCATCACATCCTCGGACACGTGTCCCAAACTGCTGTCATAGACGCGGTGAAGAAGGGTTTGATAACGGGCGTCGATATTGACCCCACGTCGAAGCCGGAGTTCTGCGATGCCTGCATCAAGGTGAAGTCAGCTCGAAAGCCCTTCCCAGATGAAGCTATGACCCGTGCACTTACCTATGGAGAGTTAATGCATACGGACCTCTGGGGACCAGCGCAGACCGCGAGTCTAGGGGGATGCCTATACTATATCAGCTTTACTGACAACTATAGTCGCCAGACAAAACTTCAATTTTTGAAGCTCAAAAGCGAGGCACTCACCGCGTTCAAGGCCTATGAGGCCTGGCTAGCGCGTCAAACGCCTGGCGTTCGCTTAGCGAAGGTCCGTTCAGACCAAGGGGGAGAATATCTGAGCGCCGATTTCGATGACTACCTGCATCAGCAAGGTATCGAGCGTCAACTCATGGTACACGACTCACCCCAGCAGAACGGCGTGGCGGAGCGTCTTAATCGAACGTTAGTAGAGCACGCACGTGCAATGCTCATCGCGAAGGACTTACCAAAGTTCCTGTGGGCTGAAGCAGTGAGCTATGTGACCTGGTTGAAGAACAGATTTCCCTCCCGTGCGACCCCCGCCACTACGCCTCACGAACTCATTCATAATATCAAGCCAAGCCTGGCCCAAGCGCACAAATTCGGGACAAGGGTCTATGTCCATCTCCTGGAGGCGGGTAAGTTGGAGGCATGGGCGGAGGAAGCTCTCTTCATTGGAGTGGACGTAGAAAGCAAGGGGTATAGGGTTTACTGGCCGATAAAACATTGCATTTCCGTGGAGCGCAGCATCACTTTTGCGCCCACAGAGGTAATGGTACCTGAGGATGTCATGGACGAGGGGGAGCTAAGTGGTTCCGCTGCCGCGAACGACCCACCCAACAACCCCAGCAACGTGGGAGGCATCCAGACCATCCCTCAGGCACCCTCTACACCACCCAGACCAACCACCAAGCAAATCACCCCGCCAGCACCACGCATCACGCAAAACAGACCTCTTCCTGGGTACTATGCAAGACTGCAGGAAGGAGAGACGGCGTCAGTTGTGATCGAATCCTTACTAGAAGCGTCAGAGTTGGACTTACTGGATGAGGAGTCCCATATCCACCTTGCATTAGCAGCAGCCGAACCAGAACCAACCCTGCAGCAAGCCCTGAACAGCCCTGACGGAGTTGAGTGGCAGGAAGCTGTAGATTACGAAATCAGTCAGCTCGAGAAGCTAGGAACATGGGAGATAGTAGACGCACCTCGCGGTGCAAACCTGATACCCTGTCATTTCGTTCTGGCCACCAAATGCGGTCCTGATGGCGAAAAACTCAAACTCCAGGCCTGTCTCGTCACAAACGGTCAGAGGCAACAGTACGGAGTCGATTACTTCAACACATTCGCGCCCACTGCCAACATGAGCACCATTCGAACGGTTCTGATGATGGCCACGCAGAGAGACTGGGAGATACATCAAGTCGATATCAAAAGTGCGTACCTCTATGCCAGTATCCAGGAGGAGATATATATGAGGGTGCCGCCGGGTTATCTGAAGGATGGGCAGCAAGGAAAGGTGTCAAGGCTGCTGAGAAGCTTACCTGGGCTGAAGCAAGCGGGCTTCGAGTGGGCAGAGGAGTTAGCGGGCGTTTTCGCGAAGCTGGGCTTCACACGATCGAAGGTCAACCAGGCGGTCTACTTCAAACGCGGCAAGGCAGAACACATCATCATCACCGTATCAGTAGATGATATGGCCGTCACCGCCAACCATATCTCCCACATCAAGCACTTTAAAGTGCAGCTGCTCAAATTTTTCGAGATATCGGATCTAGGGGAGCTTAACTGGTTGTTAGGACTCAAGGTAACGAGAGACCGTGAAGCACGTACCTTGACTCTATCCCAGAGAGCCTACATTGACACGATAGTCGAGCGGTTTTACCTAGGGGATGCGAAGAACACGTTAACACCAATGGAGCCAGGTGCAATCCTATCTATTGATCAGTCGCCCGGTACAGCAGCGCAGCTAGATGCGATGCACGACGTACCGTATCAATGAGCAATCGGATCCCTCATGTACACGGCCACCAGCACGCGACCTAACATCGCATTCGCCATTGCTACCCTGTCGCAGTTTATGCGCAACCCTGGTAGGACCCACTGGGAAGCCACCAAGCGCGTGTTGCGTAACCTGAAGGGTACCGCAGATTTCAAACTTACCCTTGGATCAACAGATGGAGGTATCGAGGCGTTCGTCAATGCCAACTGGGCATCGCAACCCCACAGACACTCGATGTCTGGATATATCGTTATGTTAAACGGCAGCCCCATTGCTTGGAGCGTGCGGAAGCAGCCACTCATCGTGCTGTCTACTGCAGAGGCTGAGTACATCGCCCTGACTAGCGTTGCAAGAGAAGTACTTTACCTTCAGTACCTCATTGGAGAGCTTTATGAACCAACCCCACTCCCTACCCCCATCTTTTGTGACAATCAAGCAGCAATAGTGCTTGTGTCGAATGGGAAATTCCAATCCCGAACCAAGCACATCGACTTACAGTATCACTTCATCCGTTCCCACATTAAGAACGAGACCTTCCGACTGTTCTACTGCCCGACCGACCATAACGTCGCCGACACATTCACCAAGGCCCTGCCTCGCCCATGCCTGCAAAAGTTATGTGGACAAATGTCCCTGGCTTGCGCTCGAGGGGGAGTGTTGGAGTCCGAACGATCCGAACAATTAGAGACGAAGAAGACCAACCAATCCGAGATGGTTGAGGAGGGAGAGTGACAGGTGGTCCGAGCCCAAGCCAAAATGGACATTGTTGAGCGACACATTGATGTCGGCTTGTGTCCTGCAATATTTTACTTATTCATTTGATATATTTTTCGTTTCTATATAGCTTACTATAAGAACACCACTGGTAGCACGAGCGCATCTCAGCCTTTTCCAAGAGACTGAGATGTGAGTACATAGTCTCTACGTATCAACTAGAATGCAGCTAACGAGTCATTAGTATACTTGTTCATTAGGTACTTAGCTCATTGCATGAGCCTTTTCCAAGAGACTGAGGTTATACTTGTTCATTAGAACATCCCCGAAGGCCCACAATATAATTACTCACCACACTTCACCCTTACAACACATTGTTAGTATAGCTGTTCTACAATGTATTATATTATTTAGTCAAAATTTCGCCCTAGAAATAGTTAAATATGACATTTGTGTGATTTGTGTCTCTTGCCCCTATACCCCTGATCTCAGTAGTCTGACATATCTGTGCATGATAATGACCATGAGAAGGCTTAAAATATGTACCATAGGTAATACATAAACAGTCTAGATAGTCTATGCAATGGTAATGTAGTAAAAAATAGAAAATATGCAAAAATATGTTACAGTATAGGCAGAAGGAGACTTTGGATTGCTGAGAAAGATCCTGATACTGTGCTGATATATCTATATGATCAATATATTCTATATATACATAAGAATAGGTCACATATCATCCTGGAGGGCCGGAGCTGCATGAAAAAAATTCCCAGGGGGAAAACCACCAGGAGAAGGTACATACATAGCACCACATGGAAGCGTCCTCATGCCCTGAGCTTCTGGTATGTTATATATATACAAATGTAAGTTATAGGGAGAATATTTACAAGGCAATATGTCAAAACCCTGAAAAATCCGAATTAATTTATGTTTTGAGGGGTATGTGAGCTATCTACTAATGTAGGACGCTTCAGAGATGTAATCAAGCGGTGTAATAAGTCAATTTACACTCTAATACATGCTATATATCATCAGAATCGCTCCCCCGCTAACGGGGCAAAAAATCAAATATGTTTTAGTCCTGGCCTCCTGGGGTGCACATATTAGCACTGCAGGCTATGCAGGCTTCTAGATCATGCAGAAAGCGGTCTATTGAGTCTTTCTATGTATATATATGCAAGTTACTACTTATATACAGGAGTGGTGATGGGGATAAGCTGTGGTGAAGCAGGTAGAGCTGGCAGGGATATGTGAGAATAGTGAGGATACTGGAATATCTAAATTTGGTAATATTTCAGGCGTTAGTGCTGGTTTGGGACACCGGAGAATCTCAGAAGCCATTAAGCTTAATTATGTAGGGATCTGTAGACTACAAATAAACTTGCAAAACCTCCTCATTGCTTATCAGTGAGGATTATGCTTAATGTTAGCAGTATAGCCTGCCTGTGGTGCCTTTCGCTACACCAAAAGTGGCAAGACTTACTTGTCAAGCAAGGACGACGCTGTCGCAAAGAAGTGGCGCGAGCTTCTGACGACACGTCCTGACATTGTCGAACAATGGACACACCAAATTCTCGGTGATCACAACACTCAGGAGCGGGTTTCTTTATCATAAGTATTGACCTTCGCCACCCCCAACACTCAGGAGCGGGTTTCTTTATCACATTCCCCCGGACTCATCACTTACTACATATCCCATCCGCGCAGTGGCACGCCATCAAATTTGCACTGTCTACTACTGTATCCCTACCTAGCTGTTTCTACAGGCAACTTCAATCTCGCTTGGGCGTTTGTCCAATAGTTTATAAACCATACATTCTCTTCTAATCTACTACTGTACACACGAGTATGCACTACATAATCTCCACACCCGCGGCCCCAACTGCTGCCAACGACAATGCAACTTGACACGACGAAAAAAAAAGAAACAGTTCGGTTCGACTCGCGGATGACCAGGGTTGGGCCAGCACTGACTTGCTCCAAATTGGGATAGCAACCCCCGCCGCTGCCGCCGTTCGTCCGTTTTCAGGCTGTCGTAGCCCACCCACCATGTTGATCGTCGGTGGTCGAGGTCCAAGTGGAGCGCGATTGGAAAATGAGCCCAAGAAGGAACCCAGCGCTGTGGCTGAGTCGTCACGTGTTACGTTTGCAGTCTGAAGCTCGGACTGCAAACGCCACCCAAAGGACCGTCAATTGGACCGCAAACCAGACCGCAAATCTCCCACGACCGACGGTGAGTTTCTCGCAGGAAGAAAGTGCGATTCTTTACAGCTATGATATCCGAGCTATAGTTAAAGGACGTTCATTACAAGAGTGCTGCTACTTATTATGTGACGACGGTAGGTTAGCCTCTAGCCACGCCCTAAATACAGACTCATCGTTCGGCAAAATTACAAGCTGGAACAACGACAATGAGAAAGAGTGAAGGCAAGACAGCGCCATTTGCCAGTTGGATTGATGCGACAGGGAGGGTTTTATGGTCCTGTCCCTGTTCTGAATCCTCACCAGAAAGTCAGACTTTTTCTCCCTGCAGGCACGAGCATCCGCTTTCAGCCAATCGTCGAGGGGTCTGCCCTCGCTCAGGATCTCGCCTTCATCATACCGAAGACATACCCAGACGAGGACCCATATCAACGATTCAGCGTCGTGTCGGTAAAGGTGTTCGACATGGCCTTCGAAGGCTTCGGGCGTGAGAAGGTTAAGGGCCATGAATGGTACTGTCCCCGTACGCTCGTTGTTGGTGGAAGTAACTCGAGTCGATGACAAGTCGAAGTCGTTGAGGACGCCAATAAATCGACCATCCAAGGTCTTGTATACCATGAGATTGCTAGGGCTAACGTCGCGATGACGGACACCGTTCTGCCAGAGGACATAATGGCCTGGGGTCGCAGTTATTAATGGACAGTAAAGTGCGCAAGAAGAAAGAACACTTACAACGTACCACTTGCCACCATGCGGCGAGGAACTCGTCCCCGCTCAGCGTCGTGATCGGGAGAAGCTTCTTGAACACGATGATATACAAGGCGCGGCTGCCTCGTTTAGCGTCGTCCATTCCTAGCGCTGTCCTAATTTTCGCCGTGGATGTCCCTTCAAACTTGTGGAACCAGACCACCTCCGGGACGTGACCTTGCACATCTGGCTCGCTTTCCGCAATCTTCTGCACCTTCTTGAGAATTTCGGCTTCGCTCTCACGCGACTCTTCTGGCCAGTAGAGCTTGGCAACCAGTTCTTCGGTAGGGTTTTCACTACGATGTCCCTCCCGTTCCCGTTTCGCTAGTCGATCCGATAGCTCCTTGCTCTCCACGGGAAAAACAGTGGTTGCACGGCCACGCAGACCGTAGTGAGTTGTGCATTGACCGGGCGTCAAATCGAACTTGAGGTCTACATCGCCGTCTGCATCGCGGACGCGAATCTCGCACGATTCACCAGGCACATGCTTGAATTCAGTGTTAAGACCCCAGTGCTCAGGTGACATTCGCTGCATAGCAAGCAGCAAGACCAGAAAGCGGGGAAGGTCCTTAACGAAGTTGATGCCGGCGCATTGAATGGCGTCCTGCCGATCAAAATACCACATGTAGATGATGTCATCTGGCACGAGGAATCAATTGGACGAGAGGGCTGAAGTATTCCGTCGACTTACTGTTCACTACATAAGAGATGACGTGCCGCCTGGCGATATTGGCCGCAAACATCTCCGCGACATATAAACCATTCTGGACGTTAGGAGGAAGCCTTTTTGGCTCCTTGTCTTCGGTACGGTTCTGGTTGTTGCCCTTGGAGCGCTTGCTGGCGGGCTCGTTGGAGGGTAAATGTTCAGAAGTACGTTTTTTTGCTGCTTTGCCTTTGAGTTGCGTGGACCCACGAGTACGTTGTGCTGAATGGGGCAGGTGAGTAAGGAAGCAGCAGGTGGACGCTCTGGGTGGCTTACGTTCATTCGATGGCTTGTTCGAGCTTTGAGCAGAAGCAGCGGCAGGCGCCGAACTGGTAGGCCCAGCAGGCTTCTTCCCAATATACGGCGGCTTGGGGGGAGCGTACTCAGTCACCTCGTATGTCTCTGGTGGACCAGCCAGAGAACCCCGCTTGCGTTTGAACTCCACTGTCGATTGAACATCGATCCATTGGAAGTGGCTGCTGGGCTGCTCGCTGCGTCGATATAAATGTTGACCTTGTCTTCCTCATCTTTATCCTTCTTAACGTTCTCCTTCGTATCATCTGCCTCCTTATCGTCCTCCTCGGTATCGTTGCCCTTGGCTTTTCCACCCTTACCCTTTCTACCCTTGCCCTTTCCACCCTTGCCCTTTCCACTCTTGCCCTTAGCGGTTTTGTAAGAGACGACAACAATGTCGGGCTTCCGCAAGGACGTTGCGCCCTGGTGCGTTTGGAATATGGGGTAGTCGTTATGATGAAATATGATGTCGGTATCGTCGTTGCGCGTATAATCGCGCAATCCGGACACTTTCAAGCTGCGTAGTTCGAGGAGTGCAGCGTTGGCAGCTTGGATAAAATGAATATAGGAACCGTTTTCTAAGGTGCAGTTGGCGCTGGACGATGGCGTCAGTATCCTTTCATGCTATTTGAACTCCCCACTTACAAACCCTCAATGTGTCCTTTGATCTTCTGGTCGTTACAGAGCTGCACGACGGCCTGGAGGGAATCTTCAAATAGTTTCGACTTCTCAACGGGAGGAACAAAGGTATCTTTGCAGTCATCTAGCAGCTTCTGCAGAATTGTATCTGGATGGCATTCCCTGAAGTCCTCAACATCCCGAGTGATCCATGGACGGACATCACCGACTCTGCATGCATTGTTCAAGGTCAATACTCGGGTGCGGTGGCCAGAGCAAAAGGGAACGTACTCAGTGCCAACAGTACTGATGTGTTCGCTGATAGCAGCAGAACCAACTGCATTCGGGGTGGACTTGAGCTGGGAAGCAGCGGTGACGCCGTGCGGGGGCGTCTTTGGCGCAGTGACGCCAGGAGTATCGACCATGAGGAGGAGGCTACTGTTAGGAAAGAAAAAGTAAACTCGTTGAAGACAAGAAAACGTAGATTGAAGCTTGCTTTTAAGCCAGAACAACACTACTATTGTTCAGACATTTCAAGGCCACAATCGACTTCTGGAATTTCGAACGTTGATGCAAATATTGCGGATAAGTTGTAAGAGCCACAGTTCGGAGTCAGTGACTTGACAGTTCAAGTTGACACGGTTCACATCATGATCACTGCCACCACCATCAACTTTTTTCGACGTCGCCCACAGTGATTACTACTCCGACCAACTTGTTCTTCTTTTGTTACCCGCGCCAAACTTGCTGTGAGTTGGACAAGAGAAGGAGAAGTCAAATTGGCATCACTACCATCATGCACCAACTCTTCTTCGCCCACCGTGATTTCTCCAACGAGCATACTTGCAACCTGTTCTTTTTGCTCAGCTTCCAATCCCATCTGTGAGCGCTGAAGAAAGAACCAGATCTGCAGATCATCTGATGATCATGCATCAAGTTCTGATGCCGCCCACCATGATTTCTCCACTCCAACAAGCATAATTGCAACCTCTGAGTCAATTGCATTTGTATGATAATTTTTGCTTCTCCCCAGTATGACTCGGACTGGACATCACCGAAATTAACCCCCAGGTTGGGCTGTTGTTTCTGCGACAATATATCGCCCAATGAACATCCAGCCAAAACAAGGACTATTATTTTGGCGCTCCATAGCATCCACACAAGGGAAAAACATCTTGCGGAAGAATGCCACCCCTGGGGTCACGGGTGGAAGACAGCGGGTTGGGGACCCTCGCAAGGGAGTGGCGTGCCGCTTTGGAAACAATATGAAACAGCCTGTTTAGACTGACCAGACCCGTGGTGTTGACGAATGCTCGCCTCATCGACACCGGTCTATTGTCGTCGTACTGCAATAAGTAACAGTATGCGTTCACTTGGTGTTCACCTTATGTGCGTGCGCTGCGTTGGCTCGGACAGGTCATGGTCAGCGGTACGGTGGATCATTATTCGGTTATTGCGATTTGACGCTAGATCAACGTTAGGTAAGTTACCCCCCCCCTCACTTATATCGACTCATACGATGACGATGGAGCTCAGCTGGTAGAGATATTATCTCTGTCGTCGACACTCTCCTTACCAAGCGCTTACAGGCGAACAAAAAATACCACCAGAGTCTTGGTCATTTTGTGGCGTAGATCTCATTGTGGGGAACGCTCAGAATTGATTATCTTTCCAGCAGTAGAAAGGAAATTACGTCTGGGGGCATCGTGCACTTGCCCCACTCCTAGTATCTGCACAGTTTAGTCTACAAGGTTTATTGACAATGATGCAATACTATCAAGCTATCTATGCTCACACAAGCTAAACAACCATGAAGTCGTCCGTCCACCCGTGCAAACTCAAAGAAATATGACGCCCAGCTACAAAGATGCATGACCACGGGGCTCAAACGGAAGCAAGAGAGCAATAAAACCAGATACAATGAAGATAGCTCCTGAAATCCAGATTGGCGCGGACGTCGTGAGGTTTGCATACAGAGCGATGATCGGGGCCTGGGTGATTAATAGAAAGGCGCACACCAGTAACGGACGAATGGACTCACCATGACACCGAATATCCTGTTTGCAGTGGCTACGATCGCATTCCCAGTTCCACGATCTTTCGTAGGAAACAATTCCGGTGAAAGAGCATATAAGACGCCATACATAACGTTGCTCGTGTAGCTATAACCACAGTTCCAGGCGAGGAGCGCATTGGAAGTGCGCGCGGTCGTGGATGCCAGTATGAATACACCCGTCAACACTTGACGATAGATCGAATCAGTTGGGGCGCAACCTAGCCGACGGTCTTACCGGTGAATATTGCCAAGGTGCCTCGCCTACCGAGGTATGGAAGCTCGACAAAGTAACCTGCCATCAATGCTCCAGGAACACCTATCACACTCAGTATGACTTGCTAGGCAGGAAGTGAGTCCATTGAACGGGAGAAAGTAAATTGGCGTACGTTGCGATACGTGATATATGTGGAACCGTCGCCAAAATTTGCCCCTCGGGTGGCCAAGCTAGTATAAGGAATCGGTGGCAAGCTAGTCATATTTTATAGAACCACTCACAAGTACGTTACGAAGCTGTTGTACCTGAGCAAGTCTGAGTAAAGACGACCACGGAAACGAACAAACTTACAGCGGAAACGCGAGGCCAATAAAGGCTGAAAGAACATGAAGATATTAGTCGATCTAGCATTGGCCTCGTAATGTCGACTTACCCCAAAGAATGATTAAAATAGTAGTGGACCAAGCCATCTTCCGAGTAGCAAACAACGATTTAACATGACTACTGCTAAATATCCCCATCTGCCTCCGCACGGCAGCCAAAGCAGACGTGTCCATGAGTACATCATCATGAACGGCAGCGTCAGCCAATTTTCCGGCCCTCTGGAGGTCTTCGAGGGTGAGGTTGCTTGTTTTCCCATTGTAGGCTGCAACTTTGTGTACGACCTCGACAGCTTGTTCATCTCGACCTCGTGCCATGAGGTATTTTGGACTCTCGTACAGGTTGAAAACGAAAAAGCGGATTACCCAGAGAAGCATCATCAGCCCTCCCATAGTGAACAAGAAATATCGCCACCCTTCGTTTGAGGATCTTGGGCAGGGAGAGGGGGGGATAGTGGTTGGACAAGAGAAATCCGCGATAAGAGGCCATGCAACCTAAATTGAGTCAGCATGCACAATAAGCAGTGATCGGGTGAATATCCAACCAAACTACCCAACAGTTGACCAAAGGCCCACCAAATGGAGAGTACCGTCAACAGATATTGGTGAGAAGCAGGGATAAATTCTACATGACACATCAATATCCTCCAAACCGAGCGCAAGTCCTTTTATTTACCTAAGAAGACAGCAGAGTCGACGGGCAGATTGCCGCCCACACCCACGGACCACACGGCAGTCAGAGAACAGAGCGCAACATAGTTCATCGATCCCCCGGCCGCAATAGCAAAGAGGCCGGTCATGCCCAAAGTAATGTTGAAGGCCCACCTACACGCCGCCCGTCAAGACAGAACGAGAGATGGTGGTTCAGATGTAACATACCTCCGACCCCAAACGTCTGAAGAAACACCCCAAAATGCGGCTCCCACCAGCAAGCCGATGTCTTGAGCAAGTTTCAGCCATGGACCCAATACGTTAAACTCATTTACTACTGGTGTCAATATTAAGCCAGTAACAACCTGTGAGGATAGTATGACGATTGAGTACGCGAGATATCAAGAACACCATACCGGCCAAAGATTATCGCTGTACGAAGATGTTCAGCAGGTACATAGACAACGTCCAGCTCATCTAACTCACGATAGCCAGCCAAAACCAGCCACCAGGAACAAGTACCACTTCTCTCCTATTAAAAAACGAATGGATCGACGAAGAGTCACTCACTTGGTACTTTCCCATTCCAATTTCCTGCAATGCATCATTAATAATTCTGGCTTTGGCCTGGTATACAGGGTCCAACGAATCCCCAGTGAAGATATCCCGAGTCTCAGCCTGCATACCGAACTTCTCGCCTTCCTTTTTTCTGTGCAGCTCACCCTCAGAGGAATGCTTGACCGACATCGCGAGGGGGGAGTAAGAGGCAACCACGGGCGCCTCTGTCGACGCTACCTGCGAACACGGACAACATCTATCAGTTTATATATGGCATAAGATTCACCCCATCTACAAAACGCAATCAACCCATGAGAAATAGGTGTGCACTTCGCGTAAATCTCGCGCCAAAATACAAAAGTGAGTCGGACCCCGTTACGCCGTTTGCGACACGGATTACGGTGCATAAAGAGCCAGTGCAAAATAACACGTTTAAGAGAGCGTACGTGGCGAATCTCCCATGCCAAGAGGTGACAATTACAGCTTTTTGGCATGGTGCTTGCTGCAATGTGAGAGGGGATGTGAGCCCGATGCCATGGCGCGGCCACAAATATCACCTTGAACCTGATCATTGGCCATCAATGCATCAAGTCCGGGGCAAAATAGAGCAGCGATAAGCCCTCCCTTCATCGATATCTACGCATTGTCACCGTTGCTTACTTTGCCCCGCTCGATACCCAGTAAAGTAGCCCCCAATGTGCAACCACAGGACTTCACTGTGTATTGTGACAGGTACGCGCAATGAAATGCGAGCTTTTCAATGGTCCATCTCCATCTTGATTCTCCGTTGGTGTATATCTCCACTCTGCGAGGCGGACTGTGAAAAATGTAGCTTTGAAGTCCGACCTAAGTCCGAGCCTAGGCGGCAAGTGTATTTGAAGTGTATCTCCCAGACTCCCAGTAAGTACTGGCCCCCAGCTCGAATCCTGGAACTGAACGTCCACAACATATGATCATCATGAGATAAAACAATCCTTTTGCCATAATATTCAAGCCAACGATGCGTATCTTGGTGGGCAATGGGTGCCGCCCGCCAGAATCGCACTAGTCAAATCTGCGCACAACCAACGTACAACTCTTCATTTCATTTTCCGCTAGTAATTTCTCCCTGTGCGCAGCTGCCACATGCCGCTCTTGCCGCGAGTCAAACCCTGAAACATAACCTTTCCTCGCAAGAAATCAACCCTCTTCACTCCATCCATCCGTTCTTCCTCGGTACCACAACGCTCCTCCCAAGCCTGCTTAAGCTCCTCCCTATCGTCGCGATCCAGCTCATCATTGTAAAACTCCTCTCTGCGTATCCGTGTAGAGAGTGATTGGCATACAGCCATGAAAAAGTCTCCCAAGGTGACGTAGGAACCATTACCTGACGGTACGACATCGATGTACCACGGTAAGCGCCCGTGATAGAGACGCATAAACGTTGTCGGCGGGTTTGTGGTTGGTTGCATCAAGTCGTTTGCGAATACTGGGCGCTCTAGTGCTCGAATGATGAGGGTGTATTGGCTGCGACGAAGATCAAGAAGTGCAGGTGGTTTAACTTTGTCATTTCGCAGGATAGCGACAAGGTTGAGATGGGCGCTATCGGTGGATTCTGCTGCTGTATTAGCATCGTTCCTGAACCTATAAATTAGAAGATAACTTACCATCAGGTAGTCTTGATACAGACTTGCTTCGAAATAAGGACGAAAACCCCGACTTGAATTTGAAGTCCCGTCTCCAGCTTTTGGGAGGGTCTCCTGGCCAATCTGGAGGCACGTAGGATGCGGATAATGACCGTGACATCGAGACTGCGGATGCTGGCGTGTGTAAGCTTGCACTTGCAATTGGGTATGTCGCGAATGAATGGATGGGAGGTCTAGCGTGATTTTGGAAATGCGAGGGGTTCCATGCACCCCATGTTGAGGCTAGTTGCTGCGAGTTCGAAGGAAGAGCCGCAGAAGCGCTATTACTCCGCCCGCGAGGGGCATGTTGAGCTAATCTCCCCCGGACGGGCTCGTTAAGCGGCGGATGAGGTATATAAGGACTCGGCATAGATGGCGGTTGTGGGGCATGAGCTTGCCAGTACTGAGTCCACCTCGCCCATTGCTCTTGGGCTGCTGACTGGGTTGGGAATGGAGGATATGAGGGATATGGGTGAGGTATAGCAGCATTCCACCCAGCGTGAATGTTGTGCGGGCGCGGATAAGCCGCCATAAATGTCGCGCCTGGTGGAGGGGGTATACCTGGCTGCATATTAGCGTCTGCGTCAACTAGACCCGGCATGTCATCATATATGTTGTTCATGGTGGTCGCCGGTGTTCAGATCTTCAAATGGCGCAAGCACGGTGTAGCACAGGAGATGATTTATCGATAAGTTGCCTCCAGGTTTGATAAAAATATAGCAGTACTAGTGTGCAGTGCAATGATGAACGCACGTGAACGGAACAAGACTTCCTGTGTTACTGCAACCGTTGGCGATGTCACGACACTGCCAAACCAATGCAAAGTCAAATATTGAGGGATACGCAAGATTGGAAGGACGAGTGGTTCGAATATATATGCGGGGAGACGTCCAGACGCACCTCCCACAAAGTCAGCTAGCGTTGCTCTGATCGTGAGTCACGGAACCGTGGCATAGCACCTGCTTGGGCGCATCCCGTGACGCCCAGGCCCATCAACAGAATTTGTAACAGATCAGAGTCAGGGACAAGGACAAGGACCGAAATTTCGGCAATTCGCTGACCAATGGCAGAGCAACTGATACGATGCACGGACTTTCAAATTGTTCAGTACTTGGTAAAGATTATCATCAGACATATATCAAGGATTGTTTCAAACACCAGAGCGGTGAGCACTGATATACTTACGTAGGAACTTCCTGATCTTCAAAGCATCACTCACCGATTCAATGAGGCTCTGAAATTTTGAAATATGCTTTGCTATTGCCGATTTATTAGTACACCACGTGACCAGGATAGCGCCTAGTGCTGCATGTGCTTGAAGTAAGTACATAGTGGGCGTTATGTGACGCGAGAGGTAAGTATATACTAGTCGCCCCCCGAGGGGCTGAAACCATCATTTATCATGATCTTTCCCAAATTTGAACCTACTTTCGCGAGGGATTTCTTTTGCCTTTGACATCCTGGCGCTGACTATTTTTCCAGATATCAATGCATTTGTTTGACGAGGAATCAATATCCTCGGTCTCGAATTGACATGGAAGAGGGTACGAGTACTTCCTCTCCACAGGGCCTACGCAACTACTGACCATATTGACGAAATGCGCCGCAACGGTTGAGCACCGTTCTTCCACAGCAGTCATACCATCCGAGGGCTGATGCTGGCACTCCACGTCGCACAGTAATCCTTACGGTTTTCTCGGCGGTCAGCCCACACAGTCGATACATAAACAAATATAACCCTCTGTGTTCCCCGCATATGATCGCCCTCGATATTATTGGCCCACACTCCTAGCGCCCCGGCCCCATAGGGAATAAAGTGCACTCTTCTCTTCCCTCGTGGGGCACCTTGTGACCCCAGTTCATCTCGTTATCATACCCACGGCTCGATGCATAATTCTTTTTTCGTCTCCGTCTTGCAAGCGTTCTTCCGCAAACCAGCGGTCGTGCTTCGCGAGTCGGTCATATCACCCAAATTAGCAGCTCGATTCTTTTCTGTAGGTCCGCGAACAGGAGGCGATTGTTTTCTTTCTGTAGTAGGACCCACCACTCGCATAGCTGTCGAGAGGACAGCATCCGTGGACAAGCATGGCCACTGATATGTTTGCACATCTGAGGAACGCCAATTTCCTGGTTTGACGTGAGGTTTGCATCGCTTCCTAAGTGTCAATTTATCAGCCTCCAGTGTCTCTTCCTCTCGGAATTCTAATTCCATTGTGAACCAGCGTGAACCAACGTGAACCGCGGGGACTCCAGAAACTGGTCAGTCTGTCTAAAGGTCTGCACAGACTTGACGCCGACTTCCGCGTCCAGGTCTGTAGTTATTCGGGAGTTACCGGGAGAGAGTCTCTTAGCCGCCAAATGTCATGCCTGCCGTCTTACATCATCTGCTTATATCTAATCCTGCCGTCATTGCCTACCCACTTTAATTGTCCCTCACACAAAGCAGTGAGGGGGTACGGAGAGTGACACGTCAGACCATGTTAAGGTCTCTTCGTCAGAGGGTCGTATCGTTGGCGTTGTTGTATGCCGGAACCCGGGTGTACAGTCCGACCGACAGGTTATCCGTGCATGCGCGCCTGTAAGGGATCTGGAGGTGGGAGTGAGAGGGTGTGTGGAAGAAGAAACTCATTCGTTGACTTATCCAAACTTTCTGCATTTCCTCCTACAGAGTTTATCTGAGGTTTCGAATCCAGCTGATTCCCAACTGCCTTGCGTAACACCTTGTCACATAAAGATGACTGACAAGTAAGTACTGCTCTTCTCCATTGATCAGCAGTATTCACTCAGTCGTAGTTCGGGGAAATATCGATACCCTCGCTCCAGCTCTAAGGGTATATTGTATGATTCAAAGGACGATAGTGTTCTATGTGTAGGTCCGAGGGCAGATAGTACTGGCTCCTGGAGAGCCTCCGTTTTCCGACACTGCCAATTACCTCACTATCCGTCGCCAGGACCCCCCTCTCCCCAACCATATACCACGAAAGCGCCAGGTTGCATATTCCACCTTTGCCTTCTGCACACATGTACATTCAACCACGATTACATGTTCTGGATTGTTTATCCGCCGACCCTGTGGTTCTGCCTATACTCTCACCCTGAAGTCCGTTCAGGCGCAACGAATTTGATAGAACTGCGGATGCTTCCCAAATTTCTAAAACATAAAAGAAAGCTGTCTTCCTACTACCAGTATCAGAGCTACTATTCGAGATCCTTCTTGACGCATCCCATATTACCTGGCACAAGCCATGCGTTTCTCATCTATCCTCGCTGTTGTTGTTGCTTTGACAACATCAATGTCTGTCACTGCATGCCTTGTGGAATTTGATATTTGCGGCAATGACATCGACTCAAAATGCTGCAAAGGTTATACTTGTACGAAGGATGTGAGTAATAGTAGTTCGCTTTGCATCCAGGATTCAACCCCATGACTGACCCTTTGTGCCTTGTACCAATAGCCTCGTTACCGCCTCACGTACTGCTATTAATACTCTCCCGATGTGCTTGGCAGACTGGGCATGTCGCGACAGTGGGTTGTATTTCTGCCTTCGCGTTGGTACAGTGATTGATCACACGATACACAGTTCATTGCGGAGTTGGTCGATATGCTTACTTCTGTACAAATTTCCCTGCTGCCTCAACCAAACCTTTCAATAACATTAGAAAACCTCCCGCATGAACTCCGTGGCATCGATAAAAGATACTCCTGTTACTCGATTTGAGTACGTTTTTGCACGAATGCGCACAGACTTCCCTTGAAGTTGCAGTAACCTGCGAGGTGCGTGTGACAGTTCATCATTGCTCAAGCTTACAGCAGATTCCTGAGACGGCGACAAAGGACTGTAGATTGAGAGCTGATTGTGATGAGGGGTTTCAGGTTCAACAACTACAGCAACGGACTCTGCATCAGAGCAGCAATCGGTCTGCACCGACCTACTACAGACTAAGTGATGCCCTGTCATCAGAACACCACTAGTGTTTAAAATATTGGGAAAATAAATCAGTACTTTGTGCATGTTCAGACCTGCGTCTGAAGCGTTTTCGTGGGGGATGATCGATGGTATCGCTTTCGTCGCCGGAGCTCCCGTTGCATCTTCGGCGATTATTCGAGGGGAGTCATCTTGGGTTTTCTCTTCAAGTTGTTGGACGTGTGATTCTCCCTGGTCTTGTTATCATAGACGTGGCCGCGAAGGATGAGCACCGTTCGTCCACAGCAGTCATATCATCCAAATCATTATTATAATATTATGTATATGGGCGAATGCTAGTATCCACAGGCTGGTTATCACTGCCTCACTGCATCTGAGCGCTAGCGCTGAGGCTCGCACGACGCACGACGCAATTTTCTCAGTCGGTCGATATAGTACACATAAACATAACTCACTGTGTTCCCCGCATATGACCGCCCTCGGTATCATTAGCTCACCTAGTACCCCAGCCCCATAGTAGGGGGAGGGTCCTGGAGGGAATAAAGCGGCACCGCATTAATATTCTTTTCTTCCCTCGTCGGGCACCTCGTGACCTCCTCATACTTAGTATTACATACCCACGGCTTGATTTTTTCTCCATTGATCAACAGTATCCACTCAGTCGTAGTTCGGGCAAATAACGATACCCTCGCTCCAGCTCTAAGGGTATATCGTATGATTCAAAGGACGATAGTGTTCTATGTGTAGGTTCGAGGGGAGATAGTACTAGCCCCTGGAGAACCTCCGTTTTCCGACACTTCCAATTACCTCACTATTGTAAGGATTACCAAACGTTTATCGCCGGAACATGCCGATACTCCTCTCACCGCAACCACCACGTCAACGCCTGGACCGTTTGTCAAGCACGATACCCGACCCCTTTTATTAGTACCTATCCTTTCAATTCCTATCGCTCGCTAAACTCTTCCTTTCGTTACTGTTCCTCCATTCGTAACACCGCCGTCTTCACCTTGTCAACAACTCTTATAGGCCTGGTCAATTCTAAAATGTCGTTGTCAATGTCGACTTGACCTCTCGTAAATTACTTACGCGGACCCTAAACCTAACCTGATTTGGCCACCACCGCACCGGCTAAACCTTTGCATGGGAGACGTTCCACACAGTATTCTCGTCCTAATCCTCGCTGTACAGAGCCTTTGAAAGTTAGCTACCTAAACCTTGCCATATAGTATTGCTAAACCTTTCCATGTAGTATTCCTAAACCTTTTCATGTTTTATTGCTAAATGTCCTCCTAAACCTTTTGTTCGTGATACTTGTAGTCTACTAGGGCATCTGTTTTGCTCGGGCAATTTTTGAGTAGTTTAAGCGATTTTGCATGCAGTACTTCCAGTACTAATATAATGAGACATGTTGAGCTGGAATATTAAAAGACTTTGATTTAGGGAAAGGTTTAGCAATACTACATGAAAAGGTTTAGCAATACTATATGGCAAGGTTTAGGTAGCTAACTTTCAAAGGCTCTATACATCGAGGATTAGGACGAGAATACTGTGTGGAACGTCTCCCATGCAAAGGTTTAGCCGACGCGGCGGTGGCCAAATCAGGAAAGGTTTAGGGTCCGCGTAAGTAATTTACGAGAGGTCAAGTCGACATCGACAACGACATTTTAGAATTGACCAGGCCTTATATCATTCTCTCGCTACACTATCAAATACAACGCCACTCCCTTCAGCTACCGCTTTCACCGACCGTACACCGAGCCCTTGCCTTTAACTATTCTAGGACGACCCTTCCTCATTCTACAGTATAAGTAGTCCATGTACATTCCTAATAACGAGCAGAATAGAACAGTAGATCCCCCAGAAGAACGCCCCGAAGAACCCGTCTCATTATCTTCTCTTATCATCACTATAACGCGGTCACTCTCGTTTACCGATTCACGATATCTCTCGCATCCGTCATCCCTCCTTTGAAGCTAACACTAACCATTATCGTTCCTTCAGCGGTCTATCTACCCCCTTCGCACTCGCATCGCCTCTAGCTACGCACGTCGTAGCTAACTTACACTATCCATTGCCAGGACCCCCCTCTCCCCGACCATATACCACAAGAGCGCCAGGTTGCATATTCCACCTTTGCCTTCTGCATGCATGCACATTCAACCACGATTAAGACGTGGACGGTATTCTCTGCATCGTCTACAAGGTGCATCTCTATTACTGTTTACTAGGTCATGTTAAAGTTCATACGTCTACAGTTTACATGTTCTGGATCGTTTATCCGCCGACCCTGTGGTTCTACCTATACTCTCACCCTGGAGTCCGTTCATGCGCAACGAATCTGATAGAACTGCTGATGCTTCCCAAATTTCTAAAATATAAAAGCAAACCGTCTTCCTACTGCCAGTATCAGAGCTACTATTCGAGATCCCTCTTGACGCATCCCATATTACATAGCACAAGCCATGCGTTTCTCATCCATCCTCGCTGTTGTTGTTGCTTTGACAACATCAATGTCTGTCAGTGCATGCCTTAGGAAACTTGGTATTTGCGGCGATGACGTTGAATTTAAATGCTGCAAAGGTCTTACTTGCACGAAGGATGTGAGTAATAGTAGTTCGCTTTGCATCCAGGATTCAACCATGACTGACCCTTTGTGCCTTGTACCAATAGCCTCGTTACGACCTCCCGTACTGCTATTAATACTCTCCCGATGTGCTTGGCAGACTGAGCATGTCGCGACAGTGGGTCATATTTCTGCCTTCGCGTTGGTACAGTGATTGATCACACGATACACAGTTCATTGCGGAGTTGGTCGATATGCTTACTTCTGTACAAATTTCCCTGCTGCCTCAACCAGACTTTTCAATAACATTAGAAAACCTCCCGCATGAATTCTGTGGCATTGATAGAAGATACTCACATTACTCGATTTGAGTACGTTTTTGCACGAATGCGCACAGACTTCCCTTGAAGTTGCAGTGACCTGCGAGGTACGTGTGGCAGTTCATCATCGCTCAAGCTTGCAGCAGATTCCTGAGATGGCGACAAAGAACTGTAGATTGAGAGCTGATTGTGATGAGGGGTTTCAGGTTCAACAACTACAGCAACGGACTCTGCATCAGAGCAGCAATTGGTCTGCGCCGACCTACTACAGACTAAGTGATGCCCTGTCATCAGAACAATACTGGTGTTTAAAATATTGGGAAAAATAATCAGTACCTTGTGGATGTTCAGACCTGCGTCTGAAGCGTTTTCGTGGGGGATAATCGATGGTATCGCTTTCATCGCCGGAGCTCCCGTTGCACCTCCGGCGGTTGTTCGAGGGGAGTCATCTTGGCCTTTCTCTTCAAGTTGTTGGACGTGTGATTTTCCCTGGTCTTGTTATCATAGACGTGGCCGCGAAGGATGAGCACCGTTTATACACAGCAGTCATATCATCCAAAATATTATGCATATGGGCAAATGCTAGTATCCACAGGCTGGTTATCACTGCCTCACTGCATCTGAGCGCTAGCGCTGAGGCTCGCACGACGCACGACGCAATTTTCTCAGTCGGTCGATATACACATAAATATAACTCACTGTGTTCCCCGCATATGACCGCCCTCGGTATCATTAGCTCACCTAGTACCCCAGCCCCATAGTAAGGGGAGGGTCCTGGAGGGAATAAAGCGGCACCGCATTATGTAATATTCATCTCTTCCCTCGTCGGGCACCTCGTGACCTCCCTCATACTTAGTATTACATACCCACGGCTTGACTTATAGTAATTCCTTTTTTCGTATCTGTCTTAGACTCTTACAGACGCAAACTGGCGATCGTGGCTTCGTTTCGGTCATACTTTTGGCAGCTGGTCGATTCTTTTCTGTAGGTCCCCGACAAGGAAATAATTGTTTGCTTTCTGTAGTAGGACCCACCGCTCGCATAGATTTACGTCGAGCCGATTTCCTTGTTAGATGTCTCTTCCCTATCGGAATTCTTACTCTAGCGTGAACCGCGGACATCCAAGAATTGGCCAGTCTGTCTGAGGTCTGCGCAAACTTGACGCCGACTACGCGTCCGAGTTCGTAGTCATTAGGGAGTCGCCGGGAGAGTCTCTCAGCCGCCAAAAGTCTAGTCTGCCTGCCGTCTTACATCATCCGTTTATATCTGATGCCGTGTTCTGTGACTTGTCGTTGCTCGCCACCTCAGTCGTTGCCTGCCTGCCTTTCTCGTTGCACAACACCTTTGTTGCCCACACTCGGGCCTCTCTCATTGTCCCATATGACGGTCCATCACAAAGTAGTGAATGGGTACAGAGAGTAACACACCAGACTATGTCACTATGTGGTTGGGATTCCTTCGGTGAGGCGTCAGTGGCGTTAGCGATGGCATGCACGAATAATTGTGTGTCGGATCCCTTGTGTACAGTCAGATAGACAGGCTATCTGTGCATCTGCGCCTGTAAGGGATCTGGATGTAGGATTAGGAGGATGGGTGGCCATCCGTCGTCCATCTGAAGTTTCCAATTCACTGCGCTGGTTCCCGACTACCTTGCCACGTACCACCGACAAGTAAGTAATACTTGCTCTCCTCCATTGCCTGACGGATTCATCAGTATTCAGTCGCTCGTAGTTCGGAAGATATCGTGTGATTCAAAGGACGATAATGCTTGCTGGCGTCTACGTGTAGTTCCATAGCTATACTGGTTCCATGGAAGGGCCCCCGTTTCCCGACACGTCCGGTGACCTCTCTATCCATCGTCCAGGACACCCTCTCGGACCATATGCCACGAAAGCGCTAGGTCTTGGCAGATTCCACTTATGTACATTCAGATGTGGACGGTATTCTCAGCATTGCCTGCAAGTTACATCTTCGTCACTACTTGCTATATTGTGTTAAAGCTCGTACGCAGATGTTCTGGATTCTTTATCCACCGACCCCGTGGTTCTACATATACTCTCTCCTTGAAGTCCCTTAGGCGCAATCATTCTGATCTTCCGAGTACTTCCGAAATGTCTAGGACATAAAAGCAAGTTGACTTACTAACTACTGTCAGTAGTATCAGAGCTACGATTCGAGATCCCCTTGACGCATCTCATATTACCTAGCACAAGCCATGCGTTTCTCATTCCTCCTCGCCGTCGTTACTGCTTTGACAACATCTATGTCCGTCAATGCATGCATCACTGAATACGGGGTTTGCGGCCCCAAGAACCCCTCCAGTTGCTGCAAAGGTCTTACTTGTAAGCTAGGTGTGAGTATGAGTCGTTCGCTCTGCATCCGGGACTCCTTCAACCCCATGACTGACCCCTTGTGCCTTGTACTGGCAATAGATTTACGGGGACATCGAGTACTGTCATTAACGCTCTCCCAATGAGCTTGGAAGACTAAACATGTCGCGACAGTGAGTCGCGTTTCCTGCTTTCAGCGTTGGTACAGTCGTTGATAGCACGATTTGCAGTTCATCAATAGGCTTATGTACACATTTCCCTGCTGCCTCGACCAGACTTTTGAATAACATTAGAAAACCTTCCGCATGAACTCTATGGCATTGATAAAATATACCCTTGTTCCTCGACTTGCGTCCGTTTTTTGTCCTGTGTTCACTCTGCACAGACTCATCACGCGAACTGTGACCTGTCCAATTCCCCGACATTTTGTGAACCGCATTTCCTGTGCCTCAACTTACTACTTCGGGGAGTATCGGTTCAGACAACCTGCCACCAGGACTGAGAATACCTTTATTCTGTTTCCGGCCCTCACAGCTCTCCTGTCCTCGGACCGTGGTTCAATGACAACCAAACATATCCTAACTACGTGTCGCGTGACGCGTCTTTGGTTCATCAATGTTTTCCGTAGTGAGCTGTTGGAAGGTATTTTGAATGTACCACATGTATCGGTCTATCAAATGGCTCATCGCGGTGATCTCACTCAAGGTTTGAATCGGAGAAGCCAACAGGGTAGGTCATCTAGATACTTAGATCTACTGATCATCTAGATGATCAGATCTAGCCCGCCTTTTTGAAATGGGAGCCATCATGATCATGATCACGCATCAGATCAGGATGAACGGTACAGCGGTAGGGATCTGTCCATAGTTTTCAAATTGCTTCCATATTAGTTAGGCTCACCGCAGCTTAGGTTGTTATTACATTGATTGTGAAGGTCATAGGTTTCGAGCCTCGCTGAAATCATAACACCTCAACATCCGACTGAACAAGTGCACGATAACGTCTTCCTAAGCGTGAAGGTGCATTCGTATGAACGTCATACTCCGGTATGTCCGAGTCATCATCGTCGCGTCGTACAAACTTCCCTTGGAGTTGCAGGTGACCTGCGAGGTGCACGTGGGAGTTCATCATCATCGCTCGGGTTTGCAGCAGATTCCTGAGACAGCTGACAAGGCACTGATAGATTGAGAGAGCCTGATCGCGACGGGGAGTTTCAGTTTCATCAACTGCAGCAACGGGCTCTGAATCAGGGATGGGAGTTGGTCTGGGCCGACCTACGGACTAAGTGGTGCACTGTCACCAGAACACTTGAGAGACAGTAGTTAAGACACTCAGAAAAGAATCAGCACCTTGTGCATGTTCGGACCTGCGTTTAAGACGTTTTGGCGCGGGCTGATCAGTGGTATCACTTTCCTCGCCCGAGCTCCAATGACTTCTTCGGCGGTTGTTTGAGGACACGACCTTTGCTTTTCCCTTGTTGGACAGATGCTTTACCCTGATCTTGTTGTGCAATTCGTTCAAGGGAATATCATCTTCTGAATCTGAGCCGCTTCGAGAGGCACTTGCACTGGCGCGAGACGGCGAGAGCCGTTCTGTCTGTACCACAGACCCATCTGCATCACTGTTTGTTGTAGACTCGGAGTTAGTGTAGTCTTCTTTGTCCTGTCCGTCGCTGTCGTCACCGACTGCGGGATCGTCGGTGTTGTTGCCCGATTCAAAATTACTACCCTCCTCTTGATAGATTTCCTCCCCGTTATCGTCATCATCGACTACAAAGCTGTCACGCTCGTAGTCATCATCCGGCTCCGCAGACCCGCGGTCATCATTCCATTTTCCAAGAAGTTCCCCTGTGGGGTTTTCCACATGCGCTCGTTTTCTGGGGCGGTATGGCCGTCGGTGGGTTTGAAGATGGACTTCGTACCTCTGGACTAGGTCTTCAAACTTGTAGTACTGAAAAAATGAGTGAGCACCAGGTGCAGCTGTGGAACCTACGACTCACCCAGGGGTACTTGTGATGCTCCGGTTTCAGACAGAATCTGATAAAACCAGGACGCTTGTAAACGTCATCGAGCCTATATCCCTTATACTGTTGTCCAAACCAGATCTGCACTGAGCCTGGTGTCTTCTTCTCGTATACCTTGTCCAAGTAAAGACGATTTGCCTCCGCCAGGTTTTGGTACTATGATCAGAGTGATATGTCGCGCGAACATTACTGACTGGCAATTGACTTACCCAGGCATTATGAGAGCGTAAAGGATGAACACCCCACCAAATGAGATGTTCTGGTACTTCATCAAGTCTTTCGCCTTCATGCTCTCCAAAGGGCAAGGGGTAGGCTTCAGGGGTTTGAAGGAGTAGTTCTTCGTACTGTGAGTGGGCCTTTATGTAGGCAGCATACTGTATTTATTCTCAGTGAAAGTCATGATTACTAATACTATACACAGTTCTAACCCAGGAGTTGCTTTGACGGGCTCGCGTTGCCCACCACCTTAAGCGATTGGGGACGGTGTCGAGCCGTTTACCAGCGAATGGCCCGAACGGGAATGGGTATGCTCCAGGATCGTCATCGTGATGAGCAGGTCCATTGTCGTCCACGACACCTTCGTTGATATGCGCCATAGTGATGGTGGTGTCTCTGGAGATCTGAACAATCGCGACTCGTGACCTTTCGTGACGCGCTTCAACGATAAGCACGTGATTTATCAATAAGTTACCACGTTCGCGTCGAGTTCCACCGCAACTTCAACCACACTCGATGACATGAATGATCCATGATTTCTCGAACTTGATGTTCTGCGTCACGCTTGGTCTGTCATAACTTTGCAAGGGCCTCCCTATGACTTGTCGCACAGATCTAGAGTACTTACACACGCAATCTTGACAACAAGATCCCCTAGTGAATCCGCCTTCCAACTTCTTTATACAACACAACGCATACTCTACGCGATACTGTGTGTCTGGTCAGGTTTCATATAAAGCATCTCCACTTTGCCTTTGTCCACGATGAAGCACACTTGGGGGAAGGGTTTGCTTCCAGGTTTTAGAGCTGCCTGGTTTGATCTCAAAGAATCTGGTGTCCTTGATGACATTTTTCGGGTCACCATCCTGGACAGGCTCGGCATTCTGCTGTCCCGAGCATCACACGCACCCCTGAATCATGTAGGTAATTCAAGCTAGTGAAGCGTTGTAACTGACGACCTCATTACGGCGAAAGTTGGTACTCCGCACTGGCACTCCCACTGCAGAAGTCTGAGGGAATTACAAAACATTTCTCGACTTCGCTTGCGACTCGCCACCTGGCCGCGTAGTGTTGCCGCAACCCGAACCGAACCGAAATGGAAATTGAATACACTAGACTTTGATGCGGATGCCAAGTCAGTTGAATCACTTCGCGAAACAGGGTACCGTAAACCCACTTGCTTGCGAGGAATGTTTGTCGATGCAGCACTCGAAGAAGTCTGTTTGATCTCCAATACAGGTGTTGCTCAAAAACGGTCGGGTTCGAAACATCCTTCTATGAGCAACGTCCACAGCTGGCCCGACGGCAAGCACAGATCGCACAAGACACTCCACAAAGGGGTTCACGGACACCTTGGGTTACATTTGAATGCCGGAAGGTGTTCGAAAGACTCCGAGTCATTCGACAACATGCCGACCGTCATTCACAGCAAGTAGCGTAGTCACATCCTCGACATGGGTCAATCCATTAATCTCCAATGCTGATATTGCTCAAGGAATGATGAATATTACTATCAATCAACCCCCTTTGAGCAACGTTCATAGCTAGCCCGATGTCAAACACAGATCCTAACTTCGCAGAAGACACTCCACAAAGGAGTCCAATAAGGAAAAAAATCACGACAACCAGTCTAAGAGTAGTCTGAATCGAGTTTCACGATCCACAAAAGATACGCGAGCCACGAAGTGAACTCAAGGACAAACCCGTACCACCGCATAACGATGCAAATAATTTTGAACAAACTACATACTCAAATCAGGTCGAAGTTTCGGTACAGGTTGAGCAGGAATATAACTAACACTCTAATGATAATGCATAGATCACCTATATCTAGTACTTGCCACCCCCTGTAATTATGCCGCGTTCCTTTTCAACGCGAGCACACATCACTGCAGATTGCTCCTCCGTGAGCAATACAATGTCATATTGCAATAGCTTGAATGAGCCACCGCGAGGAAACCCGCGTTTCCGAGCTTCCTCGTCATCTACAATGTCCTTCAAGCTCTGTTGAAAAGAGGAGCGTCAAGCCAATCAGCCTCAAAGAAATCCTTGGTTTCCACCAGGGGCTTCGACCATCATGTGTATGTGGCTTGGCCGCATGTTATGCCGACCGAGAAGGCGAAGAAGTTCACCAACAAGACCCTTTTAAGAGACAAAGAGTTCTCAGGGCGAGATCACGTAGGTTTAAGCATGGACCCACGTCTCCATAAATTGCGTACGGTGCTGGCACAACAGCGCGATAGCCAAATTTGCCATTGTCGTCAGAGCGTAGGCGACCTCTGCAGTCAATTTGCGAGCGGTCTGCATATTCAATGTCATAGAATCCTGATGGAAAAGGATGAGTATTAACTGTATGCCGAGAACCAGAAGGAACTAACCGTTGGCATCGGTCTCCCAAGTATAGATGATGGCATTAGGGATTGGCTGCCCTTCTGTCGTCAAAATCCGACCTTCAACGTACATGTAATCTCCTTTCCCTTCAGATGCGATGGATTCACCGAAGTCGACTGTGACTCTGTTTATAATCCGGACGTGTACTCGAATTGCTTGCAACTCACCATCTGCAGTATCCTCCGCGAACTTGAAGAATGGGCCCAGGGGGCTGTGATCGGTTGCTCCTCCCGTAACGGGGTTATTTAACATAGCGACGAGAGCAGAAACACCTAGGACACTTGATAGCAGACTGATTTCTTGACTCGAATTTTGTCTGGTGCGCGTGAAGAAATTGATCGTTGCCTTCAATTCATCTGTTGTTAGCCTAGTGTTAGTTAAAGTGTCAGTCGAGAAGCGGGAGATTTAACGTTCAACAGGGAATAAACGTGCCTGGTCTCGTTGACGAACTGGTGCAGGTGCATGACCAACACCTTGAAGATGAAGCTGTGTCGTCTGTAATGTGCTACATGTATACCACCACTTGTGTTAGAAGTACATGACACGTACGGATTGGGCGTTTGTTCGATCAGCTTCTGAACGTTGGCGGTGATGATGTCTGGTGTGTCGAGTAACTAGTACCTTGTTAGGAAGATCTGGTGAGTACCGCAACAACGACTGACCGGTAAGTCAAAGGTTGGAGGAGGAATGCCGTGAAACACCCTTGAGTGGTCGTGGGCTTCTGAGGTCTGCCATTGTTTCAGTCAAGGGGATACTAGAGAGGGTTGGAGAACTGTGAATAGTGGGTCGGAACTTGGGGTTATGTAGTGCGAAATATTTTTTGGGGGTGAGTAGTGTGGTCATGGAATTTCCATGCAAACTAGCGTGTCATTCCCCCTTAGTCTCCCCTAGGCAGACCAATACTTAGAATGAAGTATCGCTGCTGACGCGGTCCAGTCACAAACGGTCAAGATGTGACCGTCCGTGATGAGGAGTGACCCATCTGCCAAACGCCATTGATAAGTTGCAGCCTCGCAGCCCATCGGACAGGCCGACAACGACTCGCGCTCTACCCGCGGATTGCGACTTACGTATCGGAAATAACTGCCACGTCAAAGCTAGGCTGATGATACTGATGCGACTCACGCAGGGCATCTCGGAGAGGGTGAGGATCGGCTCCCACATGTCCGAAGGTTTAAGGAGGGCCTGAGGTAAAGAGCGTGAATGTGGACATGGTTAGACCGGCATTGGCTAATAATTTAATAAAAGGAAAGGCATCGAGTTGCCTGGTACCCTATCAAATTATGGTGACTAGCCTATCAGTCTACGCAAGATGCCCTTGGATACAACTTCATGAAGAGAGCAAACTGTTGGATTTGATTTCGCTGACTAATGAATCACAGGAGACTTACGTCTATACTAGCATTAATCCTCCATAATGCCATATTTCCGACACCTCATCGACACAACTGGCGCGAACTTCTACTTTACCTTAGCTTCACCTGCGCGATATTAGTTCAAGTCCTATCTGCATGCGAACTGCTCGCGAATGCTAAATATTGTGCGGAAACCCAGTGGGTCGGCTCGACATTTGCAGACCTCTGCACGATCAGCTGCACTCGTTCAGAAGCAGAAGCAACTTTCTAACCATATACAGCCGCGACCTGTTATACGCGTGGTTGAAGTGAAAAAAGGGAAAGAAAGAGAACGAGATGTAGTCCCGAAACCTGTAAAACATGGTGCGCTAAATTGCTTCATTTTCATTCTTCCTCGACCGATGATATTGGTCAGTCAAACGCAACGAGCTCGGAGTTCAGCTCCTTTCTCGGGAACTGCATTCGCAGATATTTCGCAACATCTCTTTTCCAGCACCAGAGAAAGCATTCGTCCGTATCGCGCAGGAGCATCTGGAAATGCATGGACTGGACCCCAAACAAGGCTCTGTTCTTCCTGATATCGGCTTCACCCTTCCTCCTCTCCTAGGCTCAAACATCGATGAGCATTTCCACAGAATCGGCAATCAGTCCGCTCAGCCATGGCTAAACATCGCGAAAGATTCTGCATCCAACGAACTTCCTCCGAAACCCGACCATTGGGACATTCAGTCGGGATGGACGAAATATCACTTCCTTGCTGATGGTTCAAGCTACAGCGAACATGTGGAGTTCCCGCAGCACGAAGGGAGCGCGGAAGAAATGCTCACGTTCGACGTAGAAACTATGCCCCCGTATCATCCCTATGCCATCATGGCATGTGCTGCCTCGAAGAATGCCTGGTACAGTTGGATATCGCCCTGGTTGCTCGGCGAATCAGCTGAGCAACAGCACCTCATTCCTTTGGGGGATACACATGCTCCACGCGTTGTCGTTGGCCACAACGTCAGTTACGACCGGGCGCGGATTCTGGAGGAGTACAGTTTACAGGGAACTCAGTCCCGCTTCATCGACACGATGGCTCTGCACGTCGCGGTGAAGGGGATATCGTCCCACCAGAGACCTGCTTGGATGAAGCACCGCAAGTCCAAAGAGACTCAGCAAGTTCGTCGTGCCGAAGCGGTTGAGGCTGTTATTGGACTCATGCGTGACGCGGAGTTCAAACACGACCAGGAGGTTGATGAAATTAAACGAGAAGAACTGCGCCGTCTCTGTGCTGACCTCGAGGAGAGCCTTCCGCAGCTCGAAGCTGCTGGTACTGATGCTGTGGAAGCTGATCTCTCGAGCAAGCGTTGGGAGGACCTGACCTCTGCCAATTCGCTGGCTGATGTTGCCAAGCTTCACTGTAATATTGATATGGACAAAGAAATTAGGAACGACTTCATGAAGTGCACTCCAGAAGAAATCCTCGATAACGTCCACGACTACCTCAACTACTGCGCGCAGGATGTATTCGTCACTCATGCTGTCTTTTCCAAGGTCTTGCCAGCTTTCCTTGACCGCTGCCCTAGTCCTGTTTCATTCGCTGGCATTCTTGCGATGGGTTCCAGTTTCTTGATGGTGAACGAGTCCTGGGAAGCATATCTTGCGGATGCAGAGAGGACCTACAAGGAGCTAGATGGGAAGGTGAAAAGGCGGCTTGTCGAACTTGCAGAGCAAGCCAAGGATAAGATGGACGACGAGTCTTGGAAGGATGATCCTTGGCTCTCTCAACTCGATTGGACGCCCAAAGTAGCAGGGAAATCTAGGGGCGTCGTGCCCACCGAACAAGTATGTCTCGAGGTCGATGTACAGAGCTTTTATTGACTCATTTCTTTGCAGCTTGACTCGATGGCAGCGACTATTCCCGCTTCCTCCACCCGACGTAAGAAGGCCGCTCCTAAGGAGCCCAAGCCTAAGGTATTTTGGCCAAAGTGGTACTGGGATCTCGCAAAGCCCAAGAAAAACATGCCTCCCGGCACGTTGGATGTCACAGTACGGAATCGCATCGCTCCCATCCTCCTCCGTCTATCCTGGCAAGGCTGGCCGCTCTTCTACTCCCGAGAACACGGCTGGACCTTCCGCGTCCCAGGAGACGTCGACTTTCCTACCCGTCTCAATCAAATCGATTTCTACGAGCCTACGGATGACACCCTCCAGGACATGCGCTTGAAGGGAGGTTTTATTTTCTACAAACTACCACATAAAGATGGGGAAAAGGCGAATGTGGGCAGTCCACTTGCGAAAACATTCATGAAATATGCACAAGACGGGACGCTCACAAGCCCTGGAGACGAGGCGAGGGATGCATTGGACATGAACGCGCAGTGCAGCTATTGGATCAGCGCACGTGATCGCATTATGAATCAGATGGTAGTCTGGCAGCGGGAAGCGTTAGATCTACAGTTCAAATCACCGCAATCTTCAGACGAACCTCGAAAATGGGGTATCATCATTCCCCAGGTGATCACCATGGGCACTGTGACGCGCCGCGCTATTGAGAGGACGTGGCTCACAGCGAGCAATGCGAAGAAAAACCGTGTTGGCTCAGAGCTCAAATCCATGGTGCGCGCACCGAAGGGGTACGCCATCGTTGGTGCGGATGTGGACTCAGAGGAGCTGTGGATTTCGAGCTGCATGGGCGACGCGCAGTTCGGTTTACATGGTGCTACTGCTCTTGGTTGGATGACTCTTGAAGGGACCAAAATCGCAGGAACGGACCTTCATTCGAAGACAGCAAGCATCCTGGGCATATCTCGCGACCAAGCAAAAGTGTTCAACTATTCCCGAATCTATGGCGCAGGGATGCGTCACGCAGTGCTCCTCCTTTTGCAGTCGAACGCCGGTATGCTCCCCGATCAAGCTCAGCGGCTCGCAGAAAACTTGTACGCGTCGACGAAGGGCAAGAACACGCATCGCACAGATATGTTTGGGAGGAAATTTTGGTTTGGTGGAACGGAGAGCTTTGTATTTAACAAGCTGGAAGAGATCGCGCTTTCAGATCAACCACGGACTCCAGCTCTCGGATGCGGAATCACAGCTGCTCTGTCAAAGGAGCTTCTTCCGGCTAAATTTGGCTCAGATTATATGACATCGCGCATAAACTGGGTTGTTCAGTCCTCCGGTGTCGACTACTTGCACCTTCTCATCGTGGCAATGGATCATCTGGTGAGCCACTATGGCATCAAGGCGCGTTATCTTATCTCGGTGCACGACGAGTTACGTTACTTGGTTGCCGAAGAAGATCGCTATCGAGCTGCCCTTGCGCTGCAGATCGCCAATCTGTGGACACGAAGCCTCTTTGCCTTTAAGCTAGGAATGGATGACTTACCTCAGGGTGTCGCATTCTTCTCAGCCGTTGATATCGACAAGGTGCTCAGAAAGGAGGTTGATATGCCATGTGTCACATCTTCTCATCCTGACCCCATCCCCCCTGGAGAAAGTTTGGACATTGCCGGCATTCTGGAGAAGACGAATAGCGGTTCATTATGGAAAGATGGACGATCCATGAGCACCGAGTCTCTGCCTTCCAACATGTCCGGCGAGCTTAATGAAGGCTATGAGCCTCCTAGCTGTCTTATTCATCGCGCTGAGAGCGCAGCTTGGCTGCGAGCTCAAGCCACCTCCGAGTTCCCTGAAATCAAGCATCTTGCGCAGCAGACATCGGGGCAGGTGGGCGATAGCGGGATGCGGAGCACCACGAGTGATAACCGAGGAAAAAAGCGTGGACGTTCGGCAAAACACGCGTCCATGGAGATCGATGGTGACTGGGAGGCGATGCAGGAAGTGTTGAAGTCAGGCGGCCTACACTGAAGTCCCTCAGCTGACCTACCGACGGATCATCCCCACCACAGTACTAGTATAGTATCACGCTGTATACCTAAATTAGACCTCACATAATGTTAGAGTACCTGAGTACCTTATTCATGGGCGTTTGTGGCGGGAGATCCGGTTCAGCTGTTTAGATTGCGGCGCAGATACTTGTGAGTCTAGGGTCTTCAGTGGGCGAATCAATGATCGATAACAGTTATCGCCTCTCAGTTCCCACTGAGGTGCTTCTGAATGCTGTCCCGTGAGACCGCCATCAGCGCGCATCTCCCGACGCCTGCCTTGTATGGGTTAATTGCACCGCCAGAATCCCGCCCCATGACCATATTTAGAATTCCCGCCTATTGCCATCAAAGATTCAGCGTCAATCCTGAAGTTCGTGTTCGTTCTCACCATATCCAACGATGTTCGCTGTCCCGCCCATATCCCCCGTGCACAGCGCGCTCCAATTAACTCCTGACCCGCGATGGGCGCGGGAAGTGCATAAGTAACTTCCCGACGTTCCCTGGCGGGCTATAAAAGACTCGCAGCTTAGCAGTCGAGTCATTCAGCATACTGCGGTTCCCCACAGTCCCGCCCTCCCGCGCCTGATTCCTTCTGACTCGTTCAACCTCTCCGACTCTAATATTAAACGATGCACTACCGGATTGGCTCCTCTAGCTCTTCATCCAACCACAAATCCTGGGTTATGCACAATGTACAATCTGGCCCCAGTAGCCAGGCCTTCCAAGGCCATTCATCTAACTCTTGGTCTTCACTCCCGGCGTCGTCCTCAGTACCAATCCCACATGCACCGCATCTCCATACGGTATCGCTCCCACACCCCAATGCAGCATTAGCATCGCATCAATCTCCTATGTCGTGTATGTGTCTCTTCTTTTCGTTCATATCTTGCGCAGACCTCACATCTATTGCCTGCTAGACCAACATTCTTCCACACACCGCTCTTCAATGATAGTCTTGCACTCACTCTTGAGCTATGGTCCCAATTTAAGATTTAATGTCACGCGAGACCTGGCACATGTGCAACTGCGACCAGGCTGTCCGCCTACCATGCTTCAGGAGCTTGCGGTACACCCGCCAGTTTCTCATATGACCATTACTACTTCTGAGCTTCCTGCTTGGACGATAGAGGTTGTAAACCCTCGCGGCGTCACTGTAAATGATGTCCTTTTCAAGATACGTGAAATGCTCAACCGGAGTGTTGCGTCACAAGAGATGCAGAGATCCTCCCGTGCGGCCAGTGCTGCTATTGAATCTTGCAGGGCCAGATCTCGCGCGGACCCGCGCGAATATGCGCAGGGCGTGAAGCGTGTTGACTTTTTGGGCCCGAAAGTTTTCTTTGCTGGCCTCGCCAGAGCTCGAGATGGCTCGGACAGCTGGGAAATTCACTTCTCCCATAGTGCTTGATCTGTGATCTCGCCGTGCGCGTCGCATCGGCTTGTTCCTTATCTTTCAACACATTGAACCTTGGTATCTGGAGTTCAGTTCCAATGGACTTTAATCGGATCTCATCACTGGACACTGCCAGCTCTAACTTTACTTGGTATCGTGCCGTCACCATTCACTTCTACCCCTAATTTTGTTTTTATCGCTATCTTGCTGTATCTCACTCTGCAAAGTTTTTTTTTTTGGATTCATGTACCGGAATAGTTTGGATAGATCACTTTCATATACCAGGACACTTGTAGTTTTACCACTTACTCCATCCCCACCCCAATGCAATGTATTCGTATTCAATATTCAACTTCAACCGAGTGGAACGAAAATGCCTTTGTCTGCCAGAGTTTTACCATCATCATTAGCAACGAATGTATTCGTCAGTTCAACAGGGATGCCGCTCAGAAATAAGGAATCAACCTGATCACTTCAGATGGCAGTGGACACGTCCGCCGAATCCTGTCAATGCACAGCGTGGAAGCGAACATGTACCATAGGCATGATCCGAAAAACAAATGGAGGGCCCATATGCGGTCTGGAACATTCCTTGTGAGTTTTCCTTTGACATCAGCCCAGAGCGACAACTCCGGATTGATGTAGCGCTTTGCTTCGCAGTATGGTATCAGGGCTCCGAGCGAAGGTTACTACATTCATACCCGGACAGAAAAAAAAACGGTTTCTGTTTGATCGAGTCTGACAATACGCCTCACTAGCCTTTCCTGAATGTCAAGAAAGCAGTAGGCATCTACCCATCATTCTCCTGCACCTTCCCTTGAATATTAAGAAGTAACCTTGGGGGAGCTTCCGGCATTCATGTCTTTCGACGAAAGAAATCACTTCACGTGACTTGATTCGCACGCGTGTCGACGCGCCACACCTCCATTTCCAACATCTCAATTTCAACCAAGTCAACCTTTCAACTTGTACAACCATACATCACTACCTCGCCCAAAAATCACTTGAAGTGTAAACATGTTTTTATCATTCAATCTTTTCATTGCACTAGCACACGTCATGCTGGCTGTCGCCCGGCAGCCTGCAAGCAGATACCAAGATCTCACTGGCCAACACGATACCTGTGGGTCCACGACGCAACGAGACGCTCGCCACGAGAACAACCTCACAGCTCAAACAACCTCGCCGCTCTCGCAAAACAGGCGCGAAACAGGTCGCCCGCCTCCGGAGACGATCAGGTCGCTTGGCATCTACCCCAGTCCAACATCATCGAGAAAACGCTGAGCCAACGCCCCAACCTACCGGTCCTTCATCTACCTCGACTACTGTGCATATAACCAGCTTGAATGATTTTGCACTTCTACTTCCTCCGAGAGATGGAGGTGCGTTCAGTTTTTTTGATTGCACGTTTGCCACCATGCTTACTATCTTGCTTAGAGCTTATATCAGACGCGGAGAGTGACGGAACGGCGTATTGTACCGATGGATCTGGCTGCCAGAACTCGTTTCCGGCAGGCTTCATTACTGGCGCTAATATCTCCCGGGCCAGTGATGGGTCCTATATCCAGGTTGGAGTTTTTTTATAGGTGTCCGCAAACTTTCTTTTAATTGATGTGGCAGATCACCGGATGCATGGACCCCAGCAAGTTTCACTTTGCCCAAGGAGATGATGGAGGCCAGATGGATGTTCGGTTTCCCAACGGCGCGCAGTGCACGTACGGGGGATATGGCGCAAGCTTTATTGAGCAGTCCGTTCGTTTTCTATCATTTATTGACTCACTAACTCTTCAGCCAGGGTCGAACCCTCCGCCAATCGTTTCTGCCTTCGTTGTTGTGCGTCGCCGAATGACCAGGTCAACTGCAATTCGCATAATGACAAAGCTGGGTGTCCTATCGCTGTTCCCGGCACGTACGAGTTCCCTGGAGTGAGCTGCTTATAACGCGGCATCGTCAAAAAACTATTTTCAACCATTTCATTCACGCATTTGTAATCCAACTACCACTTTTACCCATATTTGTAATGCCATTACTGTACTACTACTATGCCCAAGCCGTTGCAGCTAGTATACAAAATCCTAAAGAGATCTAATGCCTAGGTATACTATGACTACAATCGTGAAGTCCGCAGAGATGTAACGGCGTCTATGTATACGCCGCGAAGGGTTTCGCAGGTATATGGAGATATCAAGAATGAAACCTAAAGGAGCCTCGCTGTCGATCGACTCGATCTCAAGGTTGAAAATCAAGTCTTGCCAAATACGAGTCTTCCGGACCCGACGCCGTGACCATGCTTCTCCACCTCAATTCCGATCAAACGAGTCTTCCCATGCAGCCAATCCACTCGTCGGACTCCACCCTCCCAACCGCCTCCCAACTTGGTGCACCTCTTCTCGTACGCCTGCGTGACCTTCCGTTGCGCCCTGCTTCCATTACCCAGGCCCTCCCACTCCTGAGGTGTGACTCTCGTGAGAAGCGTCTCGTACAGAGCGTGAAGAAGGTCGAGATTAGTGATATTTTGGGAGCGCCCGCTTTTAGAAGAGCTTGCAACTAGGCCCAACGACTACTGGCCACGGGAACTTATCTGAGCGGAGCAAGATGCGGGATGATGCGGGAGTTGGCGGGTCTGTCGCTGGTTGACTTAAGGTATGCACGTCTACAGCTGAATGTGTTGCACGGTCCAGTACTGTTCGGGGCGAAGGAGCGAAGGTGACGTCGTAATTTATCGGTGCAGAGTGAAGTCGAGTGGAGGCGAAGAGTGGATGCATATGAAGTGGAGATGCGTGTCTACCATGAGGATCCATCCCATCTTTGCGCCGTTAGGGAGACAGTCACACAGACCTATTTTAAGAGACTTACATGAGTGGACCGACCCAGTCGCAGATGAGATACTGCTCTGCCAAGTATGACGTTGCTGGAGAGAAGGCCGTCTCACGTGGGACGGGGTGCCTGGATGGACCATGCTCGGAAGAAGAGAAGAAGAACTCGAGCTAGTGCGGGAAGATGTACCAAAAGATACGGGAGGCGCATGAGGAGTATATAAAGGATAATGCCCAACTGGACGTGTGTCAATTTGAAATGTGCTCGTTGCCCGCGGAAGATAGAAGACGTACCATGTTCTGATTCTCTGTAGCTGGACCGTCTATAGAGCGGCACTTTCTCAGCTTTTGACGGAGTGCCGTACCTCATGTCTCCATCATACGACGTATAGCGGAGTGGAGATGGAGATGGAGCACAGAAACTATTGCTTCGTTTTGTTTTCAGGCGTGAAGATGATGCCGGGCCTGAACCAGCTGGTGGCCCATAGATAAAATTTGCAGGGTTAGAGCGAGAGCGTGAATGGGACTTGTCATGACTAGGAGATGGACTTCCACCACCAAAGATGTAGCGGAGGTAGGAGGTCATGATGAATTATTGCTCGTGAAGAGTGAGCGGTAAGTAATAGAGTGAGATGGTCGTTACTCGAGGAGGAATGAACTCGGGTAAAGAAGTGAGCGGTCGTGTTCTTATAAGGGTGCGGGATAGCCGCCATGGCTGAATCGGAACGGCTGTGAGTTCTAGACATATAGTGGCGAAAATACATGAAGTAAGAGTAGCCCCAGAAAAGCCGTGGACGCGGTGCTGACAAGTAACATGAAATTCAATGCCGAGAGGGGAGATTGCAATAAAAGATCTGTCGTCCAAAAACGCAGGGTTAGTCAGTGCGAATGGATCATAGATCACGTCTTAGATGCTGTCCGGAAAGTCCGTGAGTGATGAAGAACGACCAGGACAATGGGAAGCAACAATCTGACATTGCTTGGACAGGAAAGAAGATGTTCCTGTGAGAAGGTTAAGTAAAGATCGGAGAGAGTAGGAACTACTAGTGGCGTTGCGTTATACTATCTTGATTGGAAATTCAATTTATGAATCCCATGAGGTTTGATCTTAATCCGAGACGCATGTAAAACGCGTGTTTTCCTTTTATGGCATAACCGCGGCGGCAAGTCTTTATCGCTGTGGCTGCGTGTAGATAGCACGTTTGTCATAGCCTTGGTAGAGCAGACATTGTCATAGGGTGATAATTTCAGACATGAGATTAGAAGAGGCAGTAACGACCAGGGTTGGGGATTTATACGCACCAAAATTTGACATGTCCCTGGTGGTACTTTGCGATATCCGGTTGCCATTCCGCCGAAAAGAGTACACAGGCAGCATGGTATTCATAGCGCATGGTCACCCTAAATAGGGACAAGCGGCGCGCAAGAAGTCTTACCGAACCCGCCATGAACTTGCAGGCAAGCGCCGAAGCATTCAGTTGAGTCGCCAGCTGGGGATCGGGCCTAGACCGTAATATAAACTTGTGTCGCTTGAGCAAAAGGGTAAGGAAAAAGAAAAGAGGGACACGACTTAGCGCCAAGGAGAAATGAAGTCACCATCTTAGCGAGATGAATTATTTCGGTCGGAGGGACGATCTGTGATTGCACGGAAGCGTCTCTTCACATGTAATTTAAGTGGGAGTAGCATCCTCGACTCGGACGTGGTGGAGCAGGTTGTATGGGCCAAAGAAGCATACTTTGCTGCGCAGAAGCCAAAGGTATGCACCCGTAGGGAATAGGGGACAGGAGAACAAACAGAAAACGGGGTTCAAGTTATGTCTGCTTAGAATGTATCACTTCAGGGTCCAAAGTCGGCGGTTGATGAATAAACATAATAAGTGGCAACCTCACCATGACCAGTTCCTGGAAGTACCTGGACAGAATATATTTTCGCCTACATACAATTGAAGGCGTGATGCGGGATTGCGTGATGTCGGTTACTAGTAGCTACCACTGGCATGGTGCCGTACTGACAATGTTAACATGATGATGAATTGAATAATCGAGATCTTGTGTTATCACGTTTGTTTGGATCAGAAGCTTTTGCCAAACACTGGCAGTGCGTAATGTTTAGTCATTCTACGAGTTGGACATTGACCATTTGTCAACTATTATATGTCAGCCTGCAACTCGCAGTCTGTGCATCTAAACAACTGATTTTGCAGGTACATCCCATGCGGAACTTCATTTCGAGATTGAGAAACGATAGACGTGGTACCAAGACCGAATCGGCAGGGTCTGGTCTTCAACCTGAAGAGGCACCACAAGAAAGCCCACTACAACGCCTCTACCGGTATCGCAAGCAACGTGGAGTGAATCTCGGTAAGCTCGAACTGAATGCGTTCTCAAATAGAGTCATAGTAAGCGTGGTTCAGGCTCGTGGTTCGTTTTGGAGCGGTGGGTATCGGAATCACCGTTTCAATGGGCCGCCGGCAACGGACACAGTGATCTGGACGTTGCCAAAGGTCTACACGCGAAGCAGGTTCTGGAACACCATTGGGATTCCTGGATCACCGCCAGCGATTTCGAATGGCTCGCGGCAAGGGGAATCAACACTGTGCGGATCCCAGTGCGCTCCTTCTTGTAATAGTACAACAGTATCATTTCAAAGTCATATTGCCTTGAACAGATCGGATACTATCATATCTGTGCATTGGATCCATCTATCCTTACTCGAACTGACTTTGATGGCCTTCAACATGTTTTCGAAGGAGCGTGGAGTAGAATCGTCACTGCAGTGAGGACGGCGCAGAACTTTGGAATTGGGGTGATATTTGGTATGTTGTTTGTTGAGTAAAGATTTTCTTTCTCACTCACAAATTTCAGACCTTCACGCAGCTCCTGGCAAACAAAATCAAGATCCGCATTCCGGAACGTCATCCCCGGTAATTTCATTTTTCAACAGCAAGTTTAACATGCAGTTGGCCGTTCGCACTCTCCGCATACTAGTCACACAACTCGTTGCTTTGCGGACACAGGAACCCGCGGTTAACAATATTGCCGGTGTAGAGCTTCTCAACGAACCCCACCCGCCCTCACACGAAATACTTTACAAGTGGTACAGGGAGGCAATGCAAGAGATAAGAAATATTGACCATGGCTTCCCGATCTACATATCAGACTGTTGGATGACTGATCAATACGCCGATTTCATCGCACACTTACCGCCTTCTTTGGCGCTGACTTGCGTCGACCATCATTTATACCGGTGTTTTACGGGGAGCGACATTTCAACCTCAGCAGCGCAGCACACTGCATCCCTTACTGATCGGAATGCCCCCTTTCCACAAATGTTCTCCCGCGTTTCGGAGAAGCTCGCAGCTGCAGGAAGTGGACTCATAGTTGGCGAGTGGTCTGGAGCCTTGAATCCAGGCTCTTTGCAAGGCACTGCGGATGAACATCGGGAAAGAGCGTCTTATATTCGGGCTCAGCTTGACCTGTTCGAGCTGTACTGCGCTGGATCATTCTTTTGGACATACAAAAAAGAGCAGCCTGGAGACCAAGGATGGTCTTTCCGAGACGTGGTTGAAAGCGGCATCTTCCCCGACGTTGTGGGCATGATGCCAGTAAAAGATTTTGTTGGACTCAGTGCCGACATAAGCGCGAGAAATGCGACCGCTAAAAATATTGCCTTAGGTGAGTTCAGAGACTCCGTACTCGCTACTTCGTCCCTACTTTTTTTTCAAGGCCAACACGTATCCTACTGGGCGCGATTCCCTGGTCATTACGAGCATTGGCGTTTTGATGCCGGCTTCGATCAGGGTTGGGTCGAGGCTTATGACTTCTTTGCCTTCGATCGCGCGGGCCAGGTCACCGTCTCCGAGATGGGATTCAAGGGCTGCATTGCGAAGAGGAAGATGCAGGATCATATTCGTGAAAAAGGATGTAGCAGCAACCTTTGGGAGTTCGGTGAGTGTACTGTTCAAATGATTTCCCATTCTGGGTTTGTGCCGCTTTTCGGCCGGCAGTACGCCATACCCGCTATCTCGATAAGTCCATCTGCAGTATCGCAGATTTAGGTGGTCGTGTTCTTAATATATTTCAGAGCATGGATTTAGCCAAGGGGTAGATGCTGCGAAGCACGATTTTCAACATCACTACTGTTGATTTTCACGTGTTAAGGTGTAAGATCTTCGCAGTATGTTCTGGTATGTTTCTTCGCCTAATAAAGACTTTACTGCCTTTTAACACTTTCTTCCAGAAGAGACAATCTATATCTCTGCATGCACGTGTCCTCGTGTATGATAATGCGATTGTTGCAAACGTAACGCTCTTCTTAAGTTGACACAGCTATTGGCTTGGCTGGGAGAATTCTTACCCGTTTGTGCCTGTGATGTAGTCATCAAGAAAATACTGGAAGAACTTAGAAGACATGCTACATTCCAGACGGCAGCCTCATTCTGTTCCTCCAGTTCTGCATCTGATCTGTCATATGTCCCCTCCAATGAGGACGAACACGGTAATTAAACTCCCCTGTGTGCTCCTGCCCATGTATGAATCTGAACCTGTTTTCTCTTTGATGTTATAATATGACCCGCTGCGATCTCCGAGGAGGCATCCCCTTCGCTCAGTCAGTTTATGATTTGTCTTTTATGAGTGTTTGGACGAGAGGACACCACAATCAGTATTACAGGCTGTAGATTGCTCAAATTGATGACAGTTATCTAATGTCATCAGTAGCTCTCGTGTGCGAGACTCGTGGTGGACCCCTGATAGTTGGCGCTGGAAGGTAAGCATATCGGTCATTGGCCGATAGTGTTATGATGACCCTGATATCATGACTAGATGAAGCCCCGATATGAAACCAAGTGGTATTACCTTCTAGTACACGGATAAGCCCGTCAGCATTACTTTGGATTGGAACAAGGTTCAACGTTGAACTTGAGTTAGCAGAATTAATGGGAACAGCATGGTGTGCAGTCATGAGACGAGCTTCTACTGCACCCAACCTTGTGCCTATGCCACAGATATTGCGCCTTGCTGAGTTTAATTTGGCCATATGCCGGCCCCGTATGTACTTGTTGTCGACTGATCAAATTATCTTTGAAAGCTTCACAATAGAAATTCTCAGGCAATTCGTGTTTTCATCTTCCCGCAATGAAGCAAAGCTCGATTGTGGAATACCAATGATAGTACATACATCTTTGGAGCGGGTAAACAATGTAAGTATTCTGTTTGTTCGTAGAAAGGTTAGACGCCGATATTTGTGGGATAGTTACAACACAGCAATATAAATTACAGCGCGGGAACCAAATCAATAGAGAACAAAGAACGTTCACGTCACGTCAACAACTTCCAGTGGTAGAAACCATCTTCGTCCGCAGCTCTGACAAGTCCCCTGAAGACGTGTCTGTCCGTCAAATAGTCAACACGTTTGACTCCTTGACTTGCTTCGAGCTGAGCAGAGGAAGGAATGCTCCTGTATCTGCGGGTATATGCCCGTGCAATTGCGTTTTCCTCACTCTGGCTTAGCTGAGCCCAGTCAGAGTGAGAGACTTGGCGGTGCAGGGAAGAATGGATCATCCACAAAACATCGCCAACCGTTATAGGAAGAGCGCCCGACATATCGTACTCGCCATGAACGAGCTTGCAAGTCGAATAGGCCATTGAGGAATGGCATCATGCGTGATACGCATGCTAGTGATGGTTGGGAACGTAGCGGGTTCCCTTAGCTCCTCTACAGAAATCATGGCCGTCTGGTTTGGGCCAACTCTGCGCAATGGCGCGAAAGCTGGATTAGCGATGTCGAAGTAGAACTCGGACACATAAGCTTCTCCGTTGAGAAGCGGGTGAATCTGGAAGTTTTGCGACGACGTCGGGTATGGCCAAGGAGCGCGATTGCCGTGGCCAAACGAATGTCGTCGGTTATGAATTGATGGTAATGGAACCCCCAGAAAGGAGGGACTGGGAGGAGCTGTGGCCATCCCTCCATGCCAAGACGGACGACGAGGGCGACGGTATCCATCGGGAAAGTAAGCACCTATGTGGAGTTCCAGGAAGGTCGACGAAAGGTGAAGGAGGAGTATAGGGGGAAGATGGGAATAAATTAGAGGGGGGAATGAAAGGTGATCGCTGGGGTGTGTGTGGGTGGGTATAATATGGAGGAAGCTCGTAGGTCGCTGGGGTGTACATGAACGGCCCAGACATTGTTGCAATGTTGATGTTGAGAGCAAAAGATATTGGGAGACCTCTGCTATTTATTCGATGGTAATAGTCAACTCGGGCCCGGTGCCATAAGCACAGCCTGCTTACCTATGTTATGACTGTCTTCGGGAGACCACTGCTTCAGGATGCACAGACTATGGACGTCGTACAAGAGAACGACACAGCTTAACAGGCCCGCGCTTGCCAGAAGACTACGGAAGCTGCGAGACCTTTGTCTGGCAAGTGGTACTTTTGAAGGCTGTTTACAAATCATGACTCAGTCAATGGCCTTTCCACTGAAGGCTAGAGATCTACTTACTAGCGTCCCGTCCTGGTCGGGCAGCTGGTGGGGATGATCGAGGCTCTGAGCAAGATGTGATTTGAATCACAGCAAAAAATAACATCTGCGCTCTCTCTTTGTCAGCGTCAGCGCTTGACAAGAATACAAGGATATTAACCGCGCTCGAAGAAATTCTCATCATCAGTGGTCAGCGGTCGATTACGGTGATCAATCAAATCGCGGATCATTCCCATGATGATCATCCCACTCCGACGCAGATAGCATTTCTGGCTAGGCGCTACGTTGATGGAAGTTGAACCGCCTCTTGGCAGTGGTCTTCGAAACCGGTGTGACAGATACGTGACATTGCGTACGGATACTACGTAACTACGTAAGACTCGGACTAGTTTAGGTTCGTTCAAGTACTTGCTGGCGTCTATCCAACATCAGCCCACCTGCCAAGGCCCAAGGAGTTCATCAGAGGGTATGGCCAAGCCACCACCCAGCCGGTGAAAGCTTCTGCAACGGCCCACGTATGTTGTGCATATTATTTCCAATGTTTCTACTGTACTTATCAACGTGCTCAAGCTCAAGATCGAGACTAGTAGGCCGGCATCAATGAGCGGTGGCATTGATAGCTGAGCCTCAATGACAGCTTTCAGTATGGTCGTGGCGTTTATTATCTCTCCAAGAGTCTTAGAATGACGACCGATTTAATTCCTCCAATTGGCTTCATTTACTATGAAGCACGAGTGTCCAATGGCACCTTTAGAACGATAGAGAACGGAGACAGGAAGCCAAGTTGTGTATGGGCCAAATCACTAGCACCGTATCAACATCCTCTTGCGGTCATAATCAAACCCAAACCTATCCCTGAGCGGCTCGGCATGAACTATCATCCAACATTGTCTCGTTCGACAGAATTGTACTAGCAGCAAGGTGCTGGAAATACTCTTCACCTTTAAAACCATAGACGTTCCACTGGCCAACAAGTGTGAAATATGGCGCCTCCTGGTCAGATTCCTTATACTCTTGTCGACTGCTGCGTGATTTGCGTCGTTGCCCAGTTCAGATAGCTTGTCTGGCAGTATGTCTTTGACTGAGACATGCAAAGAAATTGCCGCATCTCTATCCTCAGCGTCAGTGGTGTATGACAAGGGTGAGCGAGTATTCGTCATTCGAGTTGTGCGTATCTGCACCGATTGATCTCTGCAGATTCGGATGATTATATCAAAGACATCAATCATCAAGCTCGCAGATCGCTAAATGTTCATTTGAGCCAGGAACGTTTTTAGATGTTGGCATAGCGGTAAGTAACGAGCTTACTACTCTGTTTTGAAGTCTGCTTTTGCACGCTCCAAATCTTAGGCAAGACTAGGACTCCTTTTGCGGTAATTTTGACGCATAATACATCTTTCTCTATCGTTTTCATTGCATTTACACAGGCGAAGGGTGGTGGACATGCGTCCAACCCTGGTTTCTCATCGACGACGGGCGTGCAAATTACTATGTCTCGCTTTTCCGATATTACATACGATGCACCGTCATAAACTGCCATCGGTGCAGGTCTAGTCTGGGACGACGTGTACGCTGCCTTGGAGCCATACGGGGTTAACGTTGTTGGTATTCGAGTACCGGGTGTCGGCGTTGCCTGTTTCACTCTCGGTGGAGGTTAGACTGACCATTCTTTTCGATATGGTGTGTGCCAAGATCCCTAGGATATTCATGGCTCTCCAATCAGTACGGATTGACGATTGACACCATGCAGTCCTTTGAGTTAGCGATTCCAAACGATACTGTTTTGAATGTTACCGCAGCTTCTGACCCAGAATTTGAGGGTAATCTAATTGATGACAGATAGCTGAAGGACTTTCTGACCTATATGTTTAGAGTGATTTCAATAATATTGTAGGGGAGCGCACCAAAACTACGTGGTTCTATGCTCACTGCCACCAGGGCATAGTTACTAGATTCACGCTAAAGACCTTCTCTCAATCGCAAGTTTGGGTAGGAGAATTGTACGTTGTTTTGAAATTATGCTGACTGTCTGATTGTGTAGGGTGGGATTATCATATATTCTGCAAAGGTGTCGGACCTTGTCAGTCAAGTCGCAGCAAACTTCGCCGCAAATATCACAGATCCCAAGGCACAAATCATCACAACTTATAATCACATTTTAGGCGTGGTATGTCAATGTGTTCGCTGTTTTCTTTACCATACATCCAAATAATTGTGACTATAGCCGGAGTCTTAAATTTTATTTTCTATGATGGACCCTCGCCGCCTGGGGGAATTTTTGGCCATCCCTCACCTGTTCAAGAGTGTTTCCACACGGTCGTTTCTCTCTTTAGTGCAATCCTCTCTTTCTAATACTGCCTCAGGCTCACGGTGAGGCCCTAGTCATGTTTAATTATCTTTATTACTGAGACGGATCAGGGCCATCTTCAACACTATCCGTCCCCGATTAACCTGTTTCATTACTCGAAGCCATTGTGAATGAGTCAGTGGTAAACCATGCGTTCAAACATCAATACTGCTACGCTGATCCTCACTACTTCTCTAGTTCTGGGGACAGTCACTCGCTTACTCCAGTGCATAGCTCATCGCCTATGATGTCGAACCGTTCATCCCGTCGATATATAGCCACAGTACCACTCCATCAGCATACCCGCCTTCTCGCGATCGAGGACTCCTTCTATTGGACATCTATTTTGCATGGACCTCTCTCACTTCAGACGGAATCATGCAACAAGCTGTTCGCGATAGTGCAGCCCATCTTCGCCAATTGGCTATCACTGAGGGCCAGGATATCGCCGACGCAGCTTCATATGGCAATTATGCCATCTTTGACACACTACTGAGCAATATTTATGGGGAGAACGTGCCACGGCTACAGGCCATCAAAACCGCGGTAGACCCGACCAATGTCATGGGCTTGGCAGGGGGTTTCAAGTTCTAAGGCTTCAGCTGGTACGCCTCCATAGCTACTTAACCGGTATCTTGTTTCTAATAAATTGCCTCTGATTATATGTCAGGCTGCCAGCTGCATGTGTATCTCATGTCCCACTGGCAGCCCCAGGCTACATAGTAGTACCCGAGAGTATAAGAAAACAAACTAAGTAAAGACTGAACGACCGAGCGCTAGAGCATGCTGTGCAGACTCAGATGCTGTACATCAGTCACGCGTGGTCGAGTGGCTGTACAGTAGTGTTCATGAAGCAACCGATGGGGAGTCGGACGTCAAGACGCCCTTCAGACATAAAGGGACATGCAACAAGCTGTTCACGATACTAATGTGCAACGCCATCCATCTGTCACCCTCTCATCACCAGGTTTGCCTAGTCTCCCTTAGGCAGACCAAATAGAATGAAGATAGTCTTTCTATATTATGAGGTTGGCCGGTAAAACGGACAATGCACCTACCCGATCGGCATGCTATTGCTGACCTCCTTCCAATTTTTCAACTTTCATAGCGAATTCTCCTGTGCTAGCAGCATCATATTCACCCTCAAATTCTGGAAGCAACACCTGGCAATGAGATACATGGAGTCGATAACTTGATTGAGTGAACTCTCTTGCCTGGACTCTCTAACAGAGAACGAAAACCTTGCTCGAGCGTACTAATCCTCAGGACCGTCTTCCATGGTATCCTTGGGTGCCTAATTAGCATGGCAGGTTGACTGCGTGATGACATGCTTGGTGAGGTCGATCATATCAATATGCTCTTTGTCTTCCTCAGGCGTACCGGTACGTTCGCTCTAGTTCGCAGCCTTCTTAGAAGGAACGACTATCTTCATTCTATTGGGTCTGGCTAGGGGAGACTGAGTTCACAGTGATTGCCGGTTAAGCGGCTGGGATGTACGATCCTGTATCTTATTAGCGAACTATCAAAGCCGAAATGGCGTCCTTCATCCCAAAACTGACTTTCGTGCCGCTGTTTTTTTTCTTTTTGTCTCATTTATGTCCAGTAAGAACATGCTCTATGTAGGACAAAACTTGGTCACCATTCCCGCCGGCAGTGCAATTCATGAAAGATGAGATAACTTAAATAAAAGAACGCGCAATTATGTGAATACTGTACATGTTGTTCCATTAATAACTGAACCTCGTTACTCGTCTTGTTCTGGGGACAGTCACTGGCTCACTCTGGCCAGTGCATGGCTCATCTCTTATTATGTCGAATTATTCGTACCGTCGAATATTTGGCCATAACACCACAGCACCACTACACTAGCCTACCCATCAAGCACTCCCACCGCGAGCAAAAGAGAAAAGGTAGGGTGGCAGAGACGAAAAGGAAATGCGGTGGAAATATAATACATGCGTAATTGAGACAACAGGGTGACGGTGACCGTTGCCTTGCAGAAGAAGGAACGACTGTCTTCCTTATTTCAAGGTCTGGCTTGGCGAGACTAGTAGACCGTTGCAGGCCTCAACAGCTTGCCCTTTTGATTTTCAGTACAAGGGCCTCGAAATTCAATAGCAGCCAATCGAATTGGTTTCGAGGCGCCTGCATAACGTAATCCTGCAGTGATTTACATCATCTTCATTTGTCCATTTCACTAGAGCCACCCTGATGTCTCAATTGCAACTACACATACATTATTGTATTACATTTCCACCGCGTTTCCTTTTCATTTCTGCCACCCTACTTTTTCTCCTTGGTGTCTGGTGCGAACATCTAATCTATTTTGCATGGACCTGCTCCAATTCGGACGGTCACGGAATCATGCAACAAGCTGTTCACGATGATGCAATCCATCTCCGCCAACCAGCCATGGATGAGGGCCGAGGGTCAGGATGTCGCTGACGCAGCTTTCCCGTGGTTGCAGGCCATCAAAGCTGCCGAGTACTACTGCATTCAGAGCATTGTGTCACTTACTATGATACAGATTATCATAAGTCAACTGCCAGCATTCACTGGCACATCTCCGCCCCCCTTTTCCCATCATAATTACTCACAGAGCACGCGAAAACTGGCCCTTGTATTGAGTAAGATGTCATTGACTTCGATATGTGTGCCCCGCATTCATCCCCTCGACAAAGCCCTTCCCCTGCTCAAACGTCCTGAATCTTACCTACCCAACAAACGAATACGCAAACCTGATAGAGTGAGATCTGCTGCATCGGATGACCCACTCCCAGAGGGTCTAGGCCCACTTGAACAAGAGGTCTCAGGTTCTTCTCCGTCAGTTCTTCATACGAATTCTGGAAATTGTGCGGATATTACCCGATACCTTGAGCCTTTCGCGTGCGTATCGCGGTTGGGCTTGGCTTCAGAGTTCTTAGGCCCATACTGTAGGCCCAGATCAGGGCCTGAGGCCAGGTTTGTCACATTACAGGATGACACAATGTTGTTAGATTCAGTTATAGAGCGTGCAGAGTAGCCTGAGTAGAAGCCCGGACAACGTTACTACATAAAGTGTCGAACAGGTCCAGGTAAACTTGTGTGACCCATTCTGCCCGTCAAGATGACACTCTCTGCTAGTATATCCATCGTGCTTTTTGCAGGCATTGGGGGGTTTATGGCTTCTTCAGCTCTGCTCGGTGACATTACTGCTTGTGCGGCGATCGCGGCCTCCATCTCTTCGAAATCCACAGTTTATTACGACGATATGTACTACTACTAAGACAAAGTGTGAATGCGGCTAAACATTGACAGGATCACTGGTCTATCTAAAGGACAATTATCATTGGGCATCTTCGAGTAGTCAACTCTCTGCTTGCTCCTTCGAACCTGGCACCACTGAGGACCTCGGCAAAGTGGTTCGTGTTACCGAAATAAAGACCTCCTGCCAAATCAATCTCTTGCCATAGCTCCAAATATTGGGAGAGACCAAGACACCGTTTGCAGTGAGCATTGACTTCTTCAGTTTGTGGTTCTATTTACACAGATATCAAATAGATTAAAAGCGGTGGTCACGCGACCAACCCAAATGTTTCGTCAACCCCAGGCGTTCAGATCGCGATGTATTCATTTTCAGACATCACATTTGACTCAGATACCCAGACAGCAACCATTGGCACTGGTAACGTATGGGATGACGTCTATTCAATGCTGGAAGAATACGGTGTGAATGCTGTAGGGGGGAAAGTCACTGGCGTCGGAGTTGGCGGCATCATACTTGGTGGAGGTACGAACGTCGCCGAATGATTCGAACGCGAATTAAGATTTTGTTATTTAATCAGGATATTCGTATCTGACAAACCAGTATGGGCTGGCAATCGACAACGTGATATCGTACGAACTCGTTTTGCCCAATGGCACGGTGACTACAGTGACCAGCTCCAGAGACCCAGATTTGTTCTTCGGCTTGCGGGTAAGTTGTTCGTTATCTAGATTGTCGAGGTTTGAATTCTCATGCCGCTGTGAAGGGAGGTTTCAATAACTTTGTGCGTGGTTCTCTACAGCAGTACCGCGTGAAATACTGGACTGACACCTTCCCTCCCCGCAGGGAATTATTATCCATGTCACTCTCAAAACGTATCCTCAATAAGTTTGGGTGAGACATCAGACCACAGCGTATCGTACAGCACCGTGACAGCTATCAACAGGGTGGACGTATCGTATACAGTGCAGATCGACTCAGCGCAGCAAACGCAGCCATCGCCAAGTTCCCGGCGAACGTTACAGATACCAAGGCAGCGATATACAGCACATATGACTATGTCTTAGGATCGGTAAGTCTATTATAAAGTCAATCTACGCAGGGTCACAGGTTAACGTGCGCCGCTGCGTAGTTTTCACAGTCGAATGCGTTCTATGATGCGCCTACTTACCCGGATGGTATCTTCGATGACTTTTTGGCGATTCCACACATCGAGGAAGATATTTCTACCCGATCCTACGTGTCCTTTATCCGAGCTCTCCCGATGAACGATACGTCTGGCTTTCGGGCTTTATGTCCGGCTTCTACTCACTGCGAAACAGAGCCGTGTTCAATTCCATAGCGATCGAGGAATGGACCGAGTCCTTGTTAAACGACATTGCCGAAGAGACACTTGTGAGCATCGTATGTTTAAATTTATGTTGTTTACTAAGTAATGCGAGCGGTTAATTATACGGCGCTAAGCTGACAGATGCCAGCGTGAGTATAGTCTCTTGCTGTTGTGAACCCTTACGTTGATTCTATCTACGACCACACCTGATACACCATCTGCGCATCCGGATTCTCGTGAACGAGGCTACTCATTCCTAGGAGCTATACTACGCATGGACGAATCCGATTAACGGACGACCTTCGTATATGATACCGTTATTGCCAGTTCCAACTATGTGGAGCAGGTAGCGATCGCCGCAGGGCAGGACGTTGGCAATGTGGTCGTGTATGGCAATGAAGCATCTCCTTCTACATCCTTAGAGGATATCTACTGGAGAGAATCTGGCGCGTCTGCAGGATATCGAGAAGGCTGTTGATCCAGATAACGTGATGGAGCTCGCTGGAGGGTGGAAATTGTAGGTGGAAAATGAAATGGGCTGAGATACCAACCATAGACGTAATGTCATGTCAAAATGTTGCTTGATCTGAAATATGATTAAAGTGGATATACGGACAGGATAGTATACAAAGGCGTGTCCTCCATATGGGACAGCATGAAGTAAGAACAAGACAATACTGGCAAGCGATTTGGTATCTTCACTTTATTTGGCTCACTCGTTTTGAGCATCTCAAAGTCCAGTTTGCAACTGCCCTTTGCCGAGCATATATAAATCTGTGAACAGTGCGACCAAGTCGATGGGTGCTATTCTAGGTTAGTACGTTCTGAGGTGCAAAAATATGTACACGTACAAGCTCCGTGGTTTCAGGGCGATCCTCATTGAGTATGCGTCTTCGCCGTCGTTATCTGGTTGAGTAGTCAATGATAGCTGGAAGACTCAACTTTACAACTTACAGTATCCGACCTCTTTCCTGTGGATTTTGAAGCCAAGCTTCTCGCTGTACAGAGTGAAGGCAGGTCGATTGGATTTGCGTACATGGAGCTGAATGTACTCTATGTTGTATGATTCAATCATGGCCTTTTCTGGAGATAGTTCGGATTAATTTTGGCGCCAAATCAGATGGCGCGAGTAAACCGACTTGACATAAGCATTAATCGCTTCGCGATACCTAGCCTACGGTATGTTCGGAGTACGGATAGAGAGTTCACATGACCGACTTGCAACCAAGGGTATTTCTCATCTGGCTCTCTGTAGGATTGTGTATTTAGTCATCAACAACATATGTACGACTTTGACCCACATTGAAGAGAGCACATATCCCACTACGCGCCCACTGCTGTCCTCTGCGAGAAACGAAACTTCTGGCCATGTTATGAAGGAATAGGCCCCTACAAGTCCAGATGGGGATAGCATTTTCACGAAACTAAAGGAGACCTACAGAATCTCATGTGGTAGTTCTCAGGGAGGTTGTGCAAGTTGCATTGCTGTATCTTGGTGAGATCCTTCGGCTGAGCGCCACACGTTTGGTCATAAGAACAGCGTTGAACACCAGACTCAGCATGCGTAGAATCAAGACTGGGAACCAAGCGTACCTCTGCTCTTCGAATATTCATCTAGATTCTGGATAGTAAGACGTATGTCGCAAGACGCGAACGTAGGGGCCTTGGGTTGCCGGAGGTGCACGTGTCGGTGCAGGATGTAAACAGGTGTTTACACAGCTTTAGCGCCTGTGCTTGTAACCCCACTAACGCAGGCGTCTTCGTCGTCGGTGTCCATTTCCATTGCTGAAGTTAAGGTTTGTGTGTGTAATTACATGATAATTCCCACTACCAATTACATAATACGTAAGTACTTGTCCGGATCTTCCATCCTCAGACTGAGTCATTCATACTTACTCGAACAGCATCGCAGTGCTATCCTCAATATCAATTATCCTTCTGACGAGATGATCTAGGATGATCCCGATCTAAAGCTGACCAGGCCAACCCCGACACCAACGACGAATTGGGCTAATCGAACCTCAAAGCAAGCCTAATGCCAACCCGCCAAGAAGTTCCTCCGACAATCGCTAATGCGTGACGCACACAACCCGTGGTGGACTCCCTTTTGGATGGCTGGCGACCTCGCCTGTTTGTTTTAATCTAAGCTTCAAAACACGGTGCCAGGTCCGTACTGTAAGGAACGTGCATTTGGGAAGTTGAGAAGATCACACTTGCATAGACGTTAACTGCTCGTTTGACCTCGTGGCCGAGTTTGCAGAATGGCAGCAGAGGTAGATGCAAGTGTTAAGTCAGGATTCCACGAAGTCCGGGTTTCTGTAACTTACAAAAAATGACAATGCACGTTGTCATTTACAAAATAGCTGTTCTAGAAGGAAGTATGTTCCCGCACCGTCAGACGAGTGTATTCCCCGGCCACCATCGGTTTGACAAATTCACGAATCGGTATATCTTCGCGCCCTAAGTCTCACATGCAAATATCGTTCCAGGAACCTCTACTAGTGCCAGTAACCCACTAGTCGCTGCCAACATATGGTCTGAGCCCACTCCATAGCGATGAGAGAGAGAGGGAAAACCAGCGAGAAAAAGTCTTTTCAAAAATTCCCTCGACTTCAATTGAATGACTGCGAGGCGCATGATGACACCAACAAGGAGATGTTCACAGAGAGACACTGTTCTTGACTTGGTCTTTATCCAGACCGAATGGTTTACCTGGACCATGCCCGACACTTTATGTACCTAGGTTGTCCGGGCTTCTGTTCGGACCACTCTGTACACTCTATACATGCCTGAATCTAACATGTATTGGCATCCCAAGATGTGTACCTCATAATGCGCATTGTGCTTAGGTTTCATTGGTACCTTACAGTAGACAAAGGTTCAAAAAAAAAAGAAAGAAAGAAAGAAAGAAAAAAGACATACCTTTTTTAAGGTAGATTGCGATGTTAAACTTAAAGAATGTTCGCCAAGTCAGATTGATTATCTTTGATATGCCTCGATGCACAGGAGCGTGACGGCAGCCAGCAAGCGACGGAGGAAGCAGTAGTTTCGTGACCAGCGCCAACAACCAAGGATCTCCCGGCCGCCAGTGGGAAAATGCGTCAAGATCTAGCAACAAGTTGACAACAACCTAGCTGGCAAATGAGAGTGATATGGATGCACTAACCTCTCTGAGTTGATGATGTCATAATTAATGCGCACTTGATGGTCGTGCGCACACGGTGTCGTGCAATGTTCGTAGATTTTATCGCGCACCGTAAGGTTCAACGTGTCGCGCATTCGGCAGTCGTATCGCGCAACTATGTTTGGAGCGTCATAGTAGAAGCCCGGACAACTGACATCGAACCATCACTACCGCCGCACCGAAGCTTTGTGCGAAAGTTGTATCGTAGTTGTATCGCTCATTCATGATTAATTGATTACTAAAGCGGGGTTCGAAGCGTCATATCATCCTGTCATCATTAAAACTACAGCCTTGAACTCCGCGAGTTGGTTCCGAGTAGTACTCAAAGTTGTGACGAGCCTGTGAACCGAAGCGAATCAAAGTGGAAAACCTTCTCTTCTAGTGGGTGAATGTGGGAGCGAGAAGGCTGCAAGGCATGCAAGCATGTGGAAGGTGCACACAGCTTGTACAAATTGAGGGGCGGGCAAGGGGCAAGCCCGCGCTATGGGCGAACGACGAATGCAGGGTGCCAGGGGAAAGGGTGCAAGTAACCATGCAAGTGGAGGAAGAACGAGTGGAACGGGCTGGCACGGGTCATATTGGAAGGACGCTCGTGTTGAATTGGCAGGCGCGGGCACACTAGGACAGGAGGGACATCAACTGACCGAAAGTCCGAGGTCCTAAAGTGCGGTGCGTTAGATAAACGTTGCTTCGTGTGGAAGCAACGTCTCGGCTGACTTTATGCAGCTCATATCAAAATGAAAGCTACACCATTACAACGAGATTTCAGAGACATGCCTCCGGTCAGACAGACAATTGCAAGAGTCTGAGGGAGCCCAGATCTAGAGATGTAATGGTGCTGTTTTATTGAACACCAACGGTGCGGTAAATGATGCAAATACCTACCGTCCTTTGAAAGAGGTGCTTTAAATGCCACTGTCCGGCCATCAGAGAGTGTACATGTGGAATCAATGTGAAATCCGCATAAGCCTCTCGCGAGTCGCTTCTTCGATGTAATGGAAGGGATTGCGTGACCGTGGTAGTGCGTCTCGGACCTTGCCGACACTAGATCTGAGATTTGGGCAGTGCCAACCCTTTCCTGAGTCGTCTGGTTTCCCATACAATTTGCCTGAGGTGAATCTCCATCCTTGACCCATCTATATACTTGCGCCAGTGCCGCCGCAGGCTCCTCTCAAGTCAAGTGGAATAATACTCCAGCAGAAGTGCTGATGCCCATCCAGTTCGGTGTTGAGCCGCTGCTTCACAGAATGAACTTTGCAGGCCTGTGCCGTGATTGCATTCAAACGCCATATCACCCAGATTACTGGCTTGAACTAAGCCCCCATCGATGCCTGGGCAGGATTTCACCCCACCCATATATGAGATTGGAGGATCCTGTTCGCAAGGCTCGTGGACGCAACGTCTTTTTTTAGCACCTATGTCCATAAGGGTGTCCAATTTTCGTATTCGTGAATACTCTGATCAAAAGGAGTGGTGTCGATGCTGGCTTTACCACAGACAAGTGAATCTTGGATTTCTCCCCTTTCGCTGGCCCTGAAGGCTGACTCCTCCCAGTGCCGTTTCGTGACTGTGCGCTGATAGACTAAATCCGTCGATCTCGTCACTTGGCACATTACGGCTACATCATCAAAGATCGGCATCCCTTTATCTTCGCAGGACTGCACATCAGCAAATGCGACTTTGTTCGAAAGCACCCACAAAACGCTCGTGTGTATATTCTTTTTGGTTTAGTTCAAGTTTGCGTTCGTAAGCACACATTTTTGGTTATATGTTCAGCATCTCCACCAATCGCATGAGTGCGCTACTGAAGTCGTAAGCGTTCATTTCAGTGGTTTTGCGATGCAGAGTCCTCGAGGCCAACAGCAAGTCTGACGCATCCCAACTCTGAGTTCCTTGCCCATGGGATCGCATCGACGATTTCTTTGCTTCTGATTGCGTGCTTATCGGTTCTTCTCAGACCCGGGAGGGCAAGGAGGTATGCGAGGCGGTCTGTAAGGTTTTTCGAAATATATCGTGAGTGTATTCGTGGTGGTACGAGCTGATGATGTGTTGACCTACCACACAGAAAAGAACAGATGTCCGCCTGTGCATCAGCTCCATCAATGCGCTTTCCGCCACTCGTGAAGCCACAGGCTGGCTCTTGGCATCACGATTGGGTAGTACTATTGGAGGTGGTGATCGTGCTTTGTCTTTGATCTGTCCGTCCTTGAATTCTCACTGAATTGATACATTTGCATGTGCCAGGTGGAAGACACCCTTGCTGCACTCTCTCTCATGTCCGCTCGGCCGCTTGCGTCCAAGCTCTCATGCGTAGTTCGCCACTTGCATAGCTGCTTACACCTTTTTGCCTGACACCTTGCGTTCGCCGTTCGCCCCATATCGCAGGCTTGCCCCTTACTCACCCTTCAATTTGTACAATCTCTGTGCGCATCTCACATACTTACATGCCTCCTCGCTCCCACATTCACCCGCTAGAAGAGAGGCAAAAATCAGGTAAAATGACCTGTTACTTTTCCACTTTGATTTGCTTCCGTTCACGGACTTTGACTACAACTCCGCGGCATCGACTCGGTGGACAGAGTTCGAAGCTTTAATGAACATTTAATAATGACGGGATGAAGTGCCGCTCCAAACCCCACGTTGATAACAATAAAGTTCGAATAAGCAATACAACCTAGGGCGGCGGCCGCGCAACCATGTGATGCTGGCGTTGTGTGTGGCTTCGCGGTTGTGATCGTCGATAGGCAGCATTACTAAGCAGTAGCATAATTAATGCCGCGGTTCATCGCACCGTGATGAACCGCGGTAGATAATGATTCAGAAGAAATTGTTAGTGTCACATCAGAGGCTCCTTCTCAAACACGAAGCTCATCTGAGAGGCGGCCTAGTTTACGTTCTCATTTGGCGCTCTCATTGGTGGAGAGGTACTTAGGCGACGCTAGGCGCTCGGTGTCCCTGAACTACCCCAAAAGTATCGCTCTGAAGTGTCTCAAGACGAGTCCAAACATAGATGCTGTATACCTGGATCTCACATGTGTTGGTCCAGGATGTGCACCTCATCCTCAGAAATTTGCCTGAACCCTGCTTAGAGCTACTTCATGTGGCTATTAGTAGGTTGTGCGAGCTTCTATAACGCTCCAAACATAGTTACGTGATAACCTTACGGTGCGCGATAGAACCTCCTACTAGTAACATTGCGCAACACACGCTGAGAGCGTGCGGCACGACCAACACTTTACGACGCTGCTGCTTCCTAGCCTTAGGAACGGCTATCTTCCTTCTGTAGGGTCTGACTACGGGAGATTAACTGCTTCCTCATTCGCAAAAGCGGCTGAAATTTCGCGTAGTTTAAGTGTTAGAAATCAATTTAGTTCACCTGAGACCATACCAAACAGAGAATGTCAGGAATCGTAAAACGATAGTTTTTCAACGGGTCCAAACACCGATGCTAGTAAGTGATGGAGGAGCAGGCTGCTCCTCCATCACTTACTGGTTACCGTCACGCTCCCGTGCATCGAAGCAGCATATTGATCAAAGATAATCAACCCGACTCGGCGAATCTGTTTTAAGTTCAACATCGCAATCTGCTTTAAATTTATGACGTGACACCAATGAACCCAACCGTATTGTAACGTACACATCCTGGGATGCCAATACATGTCAGATTCAAGCATGTATAGAGCGTGCAGAGGGGCCCGGGTAGAAGCTCGGGCAACCTAGGTATATAAAGTGTCGAGCATGGTCCAGGTAAACCATTCTGTCCGTCGAGATGACACTCTATACTGGTATATCCATCGTGCTTCTTGCATGCGGCATTGGGGGACGTGCGGCTTCTTCGTCAGATCTGCTCCGTGATACTACTGCTTGTGCGGAGATCGCGGCCTCCATTTCTTCGAAATCCGGAGTGTATTACAATGGTATGTGCTATTAAGACTAAAGGTGACCAAGGCTAAACATCGACAGGACCGGTCTATCTAAAGGACAACTATCATTGGGCGTCTTCGAGTAGTCAACTCTCTGCTTGCTCCTTCGAACCTGGCACCACTGAGGACCTCGGAAAAGCGGTTCGTGTGGCTGAAATAAAGACCTCATGCAAATTAGTTGATCTTATATCACAGCTCCAAATATTGGGAGAGACCAAGACACCGTTTGCAGTGAGCATTGACTTCTTCAGTTTATGGTTCTATTTACACAGATATCAAATAGATTAAAAGTGGTGGTCACGCGACCAACCCAGATGTTTCGTCGACCTCAGGCGTTCAGATCGCGATGTATTCATTCTCAGACATCACGTTTGACTCAGATGCCCAGACAGTAACCATTGGCACTGGTAACGTATGGGATGACGTCTATTCAACACTGGAAGAATACGGTGTGAATGCTGTAGGGGGGAAAGTCACTGGCGTCGGAGTCGGCGGCATCACACTGGGTGGAGGTACGAATGTCGCCGAATGATTCGAACGTGATTTAAGATTTTGTTATTTGATCAGGATATTCGTATCTGACAAACCAGTATGGGTTGGCAATCGACAACGTGATATCGTATGAACTCGTTTTGCCCAATGGCACGGTGACTACAGTGACCAGCTCCAGCGACCCAGATTTGTTCTTCGGCTTGCGGGTACGTTTTTCGTCATCTAGAATTGTTGAGGTTACAAATTCTCATGCCGCTCTGAAGGGAGGTTTCAATAACTTTTGTGCGTGGTCATCTGAAGAACCCCGTATGAAATTATAGACTAACTCCCTAGTAGGGAGTTGTTACCCACGTCACTCTCAAAACGCATCCTCAAGGTCAAGTTTGGGTGAGACGTCAGACCACAGCCCATCGTAAAGCACTGACGATCGATGAATAGGGTGGACGCATCACATACAGTCAAGATCAAGCCGAGGAAGTAAATGCTGCCATCGCCAAGTTCTCTGCGAACGTTGCAGATCCCAAGGCATCGATGTATGGCACATATAACTATGTCTCTGGAGTGGTAAGTCTGTTCCAAAGGCAATCTACGTAGGGTCGCAGGTTAACGTGCTGCTGACTAGCCTATAATATCGTGCATGTTGTTCTATGGTGAACCCACGTGCCCCGATGGTATCTACGATGACTTCTTGTCGATTAAACACTACGATCAAGACATTGCTACCCGGTCCTACTCATCCTTGATCCAAGTTGAGCCGTTGAATGCCACATCTGGCCTTAGGTAATTTTTCCGTTTTATGCTCAGCGTATACTCACTGCGAAACAGAGCTGTGTTTCATTCCACAGCGATCGAGGAGTGGACGGAGTCCTTGTTGGATGCCGCTGCCAACGAGACCCTCGTGAGCATCGTATGTTCTGATTTAGGTCGTCTACTGACACGATCGGCTAGTTCTACGGCGAGAAGCTTGCTGGTATCGTGACTACGATGACTTACAACATCAGGCCCTACCTTGATTCTATCTACGACCACACCGATATACCATCTGCGTATCCGGATTCGCGTGAACGAGGCTACTCATTCCTGGAGCTATACTATGCATGGACCGATCCGAGTCACGACGACCTCGTATACGATGCCGTTATTACTAGTTGTAATCATCTGGAAAATCTGGCGATCGCCGCAGGGCAGGATGTTAGAAATGTAGTTGTGTATCCCAACGGTGCAGCTCCTTCCACACCCTTAGAAGATATGTACGGGAAGAATCTGGCACGTCTGCAGGATATCAAAAAGTCTGTTGATCCAGACAATGTGATGGGGCTCGCCGCAGGGTGGAAATTTTAGATATGTCCAGGTGCCAGCCTGCCGGAATATCCCGGCACCATGCGTCCAGCTGAGCGGTTGCGCTGTTTGCTTCCTCCATTCGTTTTTCTTCTCCCCCACGACATCGAGTTCGTCGTTCATTACACTCCTCACTCGCTCGAACAGGTTTCTTTGTACCCGCCCACCACTCCCTTTGAATTTATCACACCGTAATTCTACTCCTAGTATTTTATTTAGTCATGCGTCTTATGGTCTGCTCTATCAATTGTATTTTACCGTCCCAATTTTTGCTACTCGAAGAGTCATTTGACATGATCGAATTCGTAAGCAGTTGTCCCGCCCTCCCAGCGGCTCCACCTGCTTGCGTCCCATCCCGAGCTAACGCTCGGCCCCACCTGTACATGCCAGGGTTATGCTTAACCATAGCTAGTAAGCAATGAGGAGGTTTTGTAAGTTTATTTGTAGTCTACAGATCCCACATGATTAAGCTTAATGGCTTCTGAGATTCTCCGGTGTCCCAAACCAGCACTAACGCCTGAAATATTACCAAATTTAGATATTCCAGTATCCTCACTATTCTCACATATCCCTGCCAGCTCTACCTGCTTCACCACAGCTTATCCCCCTCACCACTCCTGTATATAAGTAGTAGCTTGCATATATTTACAAAAACATGACTACGTATGTCGTCGTTTACTAAACAGCTGGTTTAGAAGGCGGTATGTCCCCGTGCTGTTGAGCGTTGGAGTGGGCCGGCCCTGGACTCTACGAGCAGGAAGCAATGCTAAATGACCCTCCCTCGGCTAGCTCTGCTACAAACCCTGCAGCCACCTCGCCTATACCCCTAGAGACCCCTACTCCAGTGTATTCTCTGGCCATGAATTTCATGCATGAGTATATCTTCGCGAACTATGCCTTCACAGTCATGCAATCCGCTGAAGGCGACCCCCACTGTAGTCTAACACGCAAATATTGTGCCACCCAGGTCAGTGCGAGAAGCACAGGAACCTCTACAAGCGGCCCGATAGTCGCCGCCAGCGCCTGATCTGACCCCACTCCATACACAGCGATCGCTACTGCAATCGCAAGCTCCTGTGCAATCCACTAATTTAGTACATCATTAAATGAAGGAACTTGGAGATACGCACGAAGTTGTTACTTCCTGCGGTGAAAGCCTGCACCACTGCCATTTCATACGCGAAATAACCATTGTCCGCATTGCCTTTACGAGATTCTCGGCGAGCAAGAAAGAACACAAGCGCGAAGGCTGACGTCCACATGATGACAAAGTACAGGATCATTGGTACGAATACCCGGAAAACAGGACCGAGATTCTGCACGATATGATGTCCTTGGTACGCAAACATGACGATGATGGTGTACAGAAGACCGATGAGAGCAAGAGGGGAAAAACGTGGTGCAAAAGTCTTGTCAAAGAATTCTCTTGACTTCAATCGAATGACTGCGAAGCGTGTGATAATACCAGCAAGGAGAGGGATTCCAAGGTACTGTTGAATTGTTAACGCAATAATCGTTCTGATACTCGAGCAACTCACGATTAGAACTGAAATTGCCACCGCACCATAGGCGAGATGAACACCCTGGTCGCTGTGTCCAATGACGTTCACAAACAAGACTGCATAGGGTGAGTAGAGTATTATTTGGAGCACCGAGTTTACAACCACGAGAATTGCACAATATTCGCCATCCCCACCGGCCAACTGATTCCATACCATGACCATGGCAATGCAACGAGCGAGCCCGACGAGGATTACGCCTGTCCTGTACGTCGGGAGGTCGGGAAGCGTGGCCCATGCGAGACCGAGCATAATAAAGGGGCCAATGATCCAGTTCAGAATCATACTGATTCCCATGTGCATCCACAGACGTCTGGACAAAAATATTCGCGATAGGGCCTCATATTTGACCTTGGTGAGAATAGGCCACATCATAACAATGAGCCCTATTGCAATCGCTTTAATTTTGTAAGTAGGATTCATAATGTGTCAAATATATGCGCTTACGGACGGAGACACTGTCGAACTTGACGGTGTCAAACGCCTGCTGCACGCCAGGTACAAACTCGCCGATAATTACCCCGACGACCATGCATACCAATATGGCCGGCGTCAGCAAGCGATCTAGTATACTGAGCTTCTGGAACAGAGCTATGCTGCTGTCAAAAGAGGCCCAAGGTGGTGTCTCGGTGAAATTACTGTACCTTTAGGTGCCACCAGGTCATGATGGCCATTCTCCTGAGTTGCTTCCGGGGTGTAAGGAGACGAACAATCGAGTGACCTCGAAAGTTGCTCGTCTGGTTTTATGACAACATTTACTGCCTTGTTCATGTTGGTGTAGGCAATGAAGTACAAGGATTCGTGATCGACTTTTGAATCCCTCGATTTTGAATATCGATTGCTCAACATGATGTCAAACTCAAAATCACTCATTATGTAACAATATTACCTCAATTTAAACTTCTTTATGGATAGGTAAGTTCTTGCAGTGGGGTCCGACACCGAGGCCTGAGGGTTATATGCCAGAGGATTTTCTTCTGTGTGTTTTGGTCTACATCCACTATAGAATCTTTGCTGATTGTGACTCCGAGGAGGAAGATGACTTCAATGTGTCTCGTGCTTAAAGGTAAAGCAAGCAAAAAGGAAACTATGACTAAGATATGACATGACTAAGGCGAATTTGACTTCTGGATTCTCATTGGCTTGAGCTCTCCGTCCTTGACACGAGCTACCATAAGTATTTGTGTCCAACGGCCTCGAGGCGAGTCGCTCAAATCAGCCATTATTACCAGCCCAAAAAGTCAGATATGCAAACAAGCTCCAGATTATATTCGTTGCCATAAACCCTTGTGAAGGAATGTGGTTTGTGGCCTTGAAGCTTTGAAAGTGGCGTATCGTGATGGGCCTCAGTGCCCCAAAGGACTAGGTGTCATGTAGAACCTTCTCAGAAGTTCGTGGAAGTAATCGTGAGTGAAGGCCCGTCGGTATTTTCGTCTTCATTTTGATTTTGATTTTGACTTTGATTTTGACTTTGATTTTGACTACTGTCCGCTGGATTTGAAATCTGTGGTATATATTTACTTACAAATCACCCGTAATCCCAGACTACTGCTTACTGGTATGCTTGCAGGAACAGTACCAACCAGTGATGAAGGGGTCGTCAGCGCAGTATGTGATGCTTACAGCTCCATTGCGAGAGAAGGTGCACGCCCAGAATGTGGGTGTTCGACCATGTGATCTAAATACGTGTTCTTATTGTTCGCTATCAGATTCTGAAGCCGTTGCAGAGGCGTTCGGATACACAGTGGAGCAGTTGAAGTCTATTCCATCAGAGTCGCACATGGGGCTAAGCTGCGGAAATCCTGTTGCAATGGCGTTCATCAGAGAGGCGTGTCTTTCGAAGCCCTGATCTATTCATAATCTAATGATGTTCACAGGGAGAAACTATTCTTGACTTGGGCTCTGGCGCTGGTATCGATGTCCTCCTTGCAGCCCAGAAAGTCGGTCCCAAGGGGCAGGCCATCGGTCTGGACATATCCGCAGTGGGTGTCAATAAAATTGTACATCCACATCATGATAATCAGAGCAGGATATGGTCAATCTAGCGCGCAAGAATGCCTTTAAGCAAGGGTATAAGCCGCCTCAGGTAGTCTTTATCCAGACGAAGCTGACGCAACCCCTACCTGTGGAAACTGCCTCAGTGGACTGCATTCTATCAAACTGCGTCATTAATTTGCTCCCTGAGGCAGGCAAGGCAGCCCTCCTGAGAGAGACTTATAGGGTCCTTAAATCCGGTGGACGCCTTGTGGTTGACGATGTGAGCCTCTCGTGCTGAGCAGTTGCTCTGGTGATCCTAAATTTTCATCATAGATTATCGCAAAGAAGTCATTTCCGGATACCGTCCGGTCCGACCTTGCCGCTTACATCGGATGCATTTCAGGAGCGGTGCAGTTAGAGCAGTACAGAACTCTTATGAAGGATGCTGGGTTCACGGGTGAGTGCTAGTGTGTGAAGTAGACGCTTGTCGTTGATCTGTTATAATCCAGATGCGTTGTTTGTCGAGACTGGCGGCGATCTCGAGGTCTATAAAACCGCTGAACCTACCGGTGGTTGCGCACTACCATCTAGCCCTTCGACCAAATGTTGTGCGGCTATTGCCAGTCCTCTGCCTCAAACTAATATCGGGAACCTCAACGAATGGGCTGGTAGGGAGATAATCGTAGAAAGACGAAACATCAAAACTCATTCATAAAAGCTTCATACCAGATATACGCAAAGAAAATTTCCTCGGATAATGCAGCCGCAGAAAAATCGCCTCCAGCACTAAATCGATGGTGGGATGCTTATCCGAAAGATAACCTGACTTCCGGTGATGTCGCAAGCCTGCTTCGCGACCCTGATCGTTCAGACTATGTGATCATCGATGTTCGAGGAGATGATCGCGTTGTGAGTCGAAAATAGCGTGTTGAATGATTCGACTGACGTTAGGTGGATACAGGGTGGTCACGTTCGGGGAAGTGTTCAATGGCGAGCGGACGCGTTCTTAGGTGAACTAGACAAATTTTACGATGAGTACGGCAAGACAAAGCAGGTGATCTTTTACTGTGGGAGCTCCAAAGGAAGGGGATCTCGGTGTGCTGCTTGGTGAGTAGTACGTCTGTGGGGTCCGTTTTGCTAAAAGCAAGTTCAGGTATCAATATTACCTCAATGGCAAAGGTAATACGGTGTCGAAAGCTTGTGTTCTAGAAGGTGGATTCAACGGATGGAGATATCCTGACCTGGTGGATGGAACAAACAGTCTGTGAATGGCTAAACATATGTACGGAATAATACAAGGTTTGCATCATTGACTTTGACAGTAAAACATATTATCTGCAGATGGCATCTCCAGTCCAAGGGTGTATGCAGACCCTTCACTATGAGCGGCGAACACCTAAATGTCACTTTACCCGTATTCGGTTCTGCAAACGGACAAGTCTCGGTCAATGACACAACTACGTATCGTACTATGCCAGCAAAGTTGACCCATCGCTGACCAGGATAAGGAAAAGATCAACTCAAGAAAATCTCATCTCCGAGTTTCTCGGGCGCGCTACCCCCAAGCGTAAGCCTAGCGCTTTGAAATGTTTGCTGGCAAACAGGAAATTGGAATTGTAACATAAAGGAACGTCCATTTCAAGATAATACAGTCGACTTCGATGCATGTTGGTTCTGATACGATGACGACTTTGGCGAAGGCCATCAGTCAGGGCTTGCCTACGTGATCATTGATGTGAACTGACCTTTTAAAAATGCCTGTTTGAATGGAACGTTCCTCGTGACGTGACTTCTTACAGGGGAGGACTGTACTATACGTTCATCCGAACGATCCTTCCTCAGTATTCCGCACAGGAAATATGTCGCTATGGACGGAGACACGATACTAGTCAATCGGATCATTACACGACAGGCGATTATCGATGGCCTGATATGATCGTCTCCTGTACGGCATGTAAATTAATCGAACGAAAATTACTGAACAATCAGGCCATCCACGATTAATCTCCTTTTGAGCGCGGGAGAAGATGCAGAAAGGAGCGCCAGGGTACATCATGTGCCACGTCGACGAAAGGAATGGCGGAAATGTACACCGGTGATTACGATTGTGGTGTGCGCTAGGACCTACCTCCGATAAGCCATAGATCACGGTGTTTTGACGATCACAGGATCATAATGGATAGGCCATCAGCTCTACTGCCAGACCCTCATGATGGTCAAAACGTTCCTCGTCGAAGGGCGCGAGTTGCCTGAAATAGGACCAAACTAGATCTTCATCATGATAACACGTTTTACGTCGCGAAGATGCACTGGATACGGTAAGTGGAGGCGCGCTAGCAAAACTCTCGTGAGCGACACGTTAAATCATGCAGTCACAAGACCGATGCTGTGATGATGAATATAGCGGAAATGACGGTTTTCGGGAGCGTTGCATTTTGGTGTCATGAAGGGCGCTCTCTGTGCTTTATAGAGGCTTCTCGAAACTAGATATAGTGAAGTCGGTCTACTTTTCATTCTGATTTTTCGTGCCAAGTGCCAAGCAGAGGAAAATTAGTCGAAGAACCCAGTGGGAAGAGTTTCCAGGCGATAGTCAGAGAGTCCGCCCGCGTATGTAGAAGCGATTCGTGCGCTGGTTGCATGAAGTATGCTGGTTCGAATGACAAGGGAACGGGGCGAAGAGCAGGCGGTACATGAGTTAAATATTCTTGACACGGCACTGCATGCATGCATTGATGCGATTCTGATCGATTGTTCTGTTTTTACAGTGGCCACGATGCAGTTTTGAGAGCGTGCTGAATGGCAAGTGGCATGGGCTGACACATGGCCCATGACTCTTAGCCGGTGTTTTGTCTGATGCGGCATGCCCTCATTCAATTGACGGCTAGCTTCCTCTCTTCCTCGACACGGAAAGGTTGGACCTAATTAACGTCCTTGATCCAAATCTTGTTTGCATCTCGTCCTGGAATTTTCTGATAATAAAATCTGGGTTTCTCGTTAGCGTTTATGGCTTATTGCGTGGTTTTTTGAACCAGTACCCTGTACATTGACAGCGTCGATTGCATAAAAAGGCGGCGTAGACAAGCGAGAACGTTGAACGTTGAACCAAAAAACGTTCACGGCTAGCGTTGAGCTAGCTAGTTTATCAGGACACCGGTTGGACAAGAGGTGGGAACAAGAACCAATAAACCACCCATCTTCGCATCTCCTGCCAATCCCGGAATAAAGCACTCTGACAGCGTGCTTGTCAGCAGTAGACGCTCTAGGTCCGTCTCTTAGTTTCTCATTTGTTCCCCACTAAGTACAACTTATCAGAACGCCTAACTCTTGTCGTCTTGTCCCTTTTCAGCATCCTCATACACTACAGTCACGATATGCCTGCAATTCGTGAATATGATTTGTATCCTAACGATGTCGAAGATGATGGTGAGTTTTCTCCTTTAAAATCATCCTCGATGTCTTTCTCATCATTTTAATGAATCATTGAATGCAGATGGGATGCCCCCGCTCGTCGATAACCCAAATACATCGATGTCGTTTACTTTCTTCACCGATATGACTCCCATCACCGCCTTCAGCGTTGATCCAACCGCTCCCTGCGAGAATGTATGGGATCACCCAGCGTCTGCGTCCCCTGTGGAGTTTACAGACTCCTCTGAATATCCTACAACCCATACCGCCGATCGCGTCTCTCATGGCAAGAAACGGGACGCTTCGTACATCCCACGCCCACCCAACGCTTTCATTCTCTTCAGATCGTCGTTCATCCGGAGCCAACAAGTTCCGGAGAAGGTCGAGGGGAATCACAGCACCCTGTCGAAGATTATTGGTGCGTTCATGTTCACCGGATCTACTCAATACTAATGTTATTGCATTCAGGCAAATACTGGAAAACTCTTCCTCGTGAGGAAAGAGAGATCTGGGAGGCCAAGGCTCTCGTTGCTCAGGCGGAACATAGAAAGCGCTACCCAGACTGGCGTTTCAGACCTGGCGCTAACGCACTTGCCAAGCTCAAGGTCAAGGATCCCGGAATAGCGAACCGGAGACGAAACGCGCAGAATAACAAGAAAACCCGCGGAGATGCTGAATCGAAGAAGAAGAATAAGAGTAAAGATGAAAGGTGTTCGATGATTGCGGATCTTCTTGTTGAAGGCAAGACTGGGGCTGAACTGGAAAGTGCGCTCAGAAACTGGGAGAACGGAATTGCTAGGGAAGTCGTGTCGTGTAAAGGCGCTGTTGGCCAGGAAGGTGAAGATCATCGTGACGGAAGTGATGGAGTGAGGTGGAGCGAAGCTTGCCTGACTACCGATCACTTTCAGATGGGGCCGGTTCAATGCTCGCAAGACCTCTTCCATCCCAGTCACATCACACAGGTTAACGCCGATGGCCACGATCATCTCGCCACGAGTCAACCTCGCTGCAAGACTCTACACGACGATCGCTTCAAAGTACCTCTCACCGCGATGTTCAAGCGTTCTCTGTCCACACCTGCTAGGCACTTCGCCTCTCCCGCGGATGTACCAGATCTTAGCCACAACGATTCTCTAACCAGTAACTTCTCTGACGTCTTATCCGACACTGCAAGTTCTCCACTCAGCGTCTGCAGTCCTTCAACTTTTCCATCAGAGCAATATGAAGATTTGTCAGTCGCTGTGTACGGTGATTCCATGGGCCATCTGTCGCCCCTTCTTCTGCCGTCAGGAATAGGGGATGGTTCTCCTGCACGTTGGAATGACGTGAGTTCCGTCGCACTTCTCTTCTTCATGGCATGTGCTAATTTTGTATCTTTGGCAGCCCTACAATCTCCTCGGAGCTCCATCACCTGTTGGATCGTTATCAGACTGCCCCGGTCTGACATATGGACATAGTCCCTCTGTTTCGCCAGTCGACGTGAGCTTTGGGAACTATTCCTTCCCTTCGCCAACGCTAGCGGCACTTACTGCAACAAAGCCCCAGAATATTTCTGCTGGCCTCGATTACCCCATTTCGTACGATACCCAGTGCTACTCCTCTTACTCGGCGCTCAAAGGGTGGGCCGATGGGCAATACGCGTCTTTTGATACCTTTCCAGAAGGTCCCGTGCCACAGGTCTTTGTCAACCAACACGCCGGCGCACCACCAGCGATCTACGAATGGTCCCCTCTCGACGATACCGTACGTGCTGACTATGCACCTCAGCTTCATAACGCATTCGAAAGCAGCTACTACAACGATTTCAGATTCTGAAATTCAGTCCCCCCTGAACTTGTGTATATCCTTCCTTGCGCCACCCCTCCCCTAGACTTTTTAACGATAACCAGGAACTGAAATCGGAATGTACTGCCAGTGCTTCAACTTGGTATGATTTTATTCTATGCAACTGTTTTACTTTTTCCATAGATGAGCTTTCCCCATCTCGACTGCGACTGCTATTGTTATGCGTTCATTCATCCCGATGTTTTGTACTATGCGATCCCTCTTGTTTCACGTATGCATGTTGTTTGTTCTGAAGTAACGTTTGTACGATACTATTGTGCTGCTGTCGTGTTGTGTATGTACCCTTGGACTAATCGATGTTAAAGCTACCCTTGGCACCTGCCTAAGGCAGGTATGCGAAGGGACTCCCCTGAGATCTGCTCCTGCTTGACAACCGCAACTTAGTGACAGTGCGCCTGGTTCCTCGAAACTGCAGCTACCACCACTGAAAAGTCTCTTCATTGGGCTAGAACTTCGCACTCTATGTGTTCCACGCTGCCCACGTCGATACGGCTGGATCTTCGGAGCACGGAGGGCTATTTTTAGCAGAGGAAGCAAACTAGAACCACATGTATCACATGCCACCATGGGCAGGTACTACTCCGGCTTTTAATTATGAAGGTGTTCGTCATCGCCACATCGCCACCCCCTGCATATACACAGAATTCAAAAACAAGGTCAGATAACGGTGGTCTTGATCACGCTGTGAACAATTGAAGTACGTATGCCTTGGAAACCATCCCCTCGAGGCTCGACCTCGTTCAAACTTTGATAACTATCCTTACCTCAGATCCGTCCTCGTTACTAGGTAAACTCCGAAATCAATCCGGGAAAACGCCACATACCGTGACCGTATCATTCTACCTCCTTATCCATCAACCAGGAAGGCGAGGTCCGGACTGGACATCAATGGAAGACAACGGAGCTCAAGAAAGCGAAAACCAGCCCAACACCGGTCTGGATTGGGTGTATGATCTACGGAGGATATGCTTGGAGTCACGAAAGTGAACTTAACGACAAACAGCCTGCGGTCTCACACGCAAGTGGCTCATCCTTGAGTTCACCGTCGCATACAATCAGCCCCCATTTGTAGGCATAAGGTTGTACCGCGGAAAGGTCAACGATCACTGAACCTTAAGTGGGCACCTTAGAGGCGTAGTGATAGCGATAACCGACTGCTAAAAGATGAATGCTGAGTGTGCCCGATCTCCGCGACGTTTTCGGCGCGTGGTCCTCACCCTCCTCTGCCGTAACAAAATCTTAGTAAGAGAATGGAGCTGCTTGTCTGGTGCGTCGCGAAGCTGATTGCAGTAGAGTCGACCAAGGATGATTTAAGTACTCACAAATAGGGACGCATGAAGCAACCTGTACGTGACCTTCGAGCTGGACGAGGCAAATTTTTGGAGCACGTCTCTGCAGATGCATACAGCATAAGCATGCAAAATATTGTCAGAGAAAACTTGAATTCACATGATGAAACTTGCAAGAAAGGGAAGCTCACGGATTAACTCTCTGTCGTCCGATATGGTAAAACCTTTAAAAGTCTACCCCTACATATAATTCTAACACACCCTTGAGCTGTATCACAAGTACGATTTGCTCAAAGGCGCAGCAGGTGGAGGTTTGGCAGTGCGCGCGCGCCGCGCAAGCGTGAGCAGGCAAATGATGTATAATATTTGTTTCTGTTGTGTCAACTTGTCGAAACTGGTTGATGTGGCTGAGACCACTCCAACTTGCAAGTACTCTTTGAGACTAAGTACTGTGGAAGGCATCGTGATAGTTCAGCTCATGATCACTTTTCGCAGGACTTCCGAGTTGGCAAGCGGAACACAATCCAACGTCCGACTATTGAGTTCCCGGAACGAGACAATCGTGTCAGAACTTCTACTATGGCTGATTCCGTCGTAATGTGAACGAAAGGATAGGATATATGCATTGTTTCTAGTTCAGATTCTGAAGAAGAATCACAAATTGTGGTTGCGGGAGTATCAATTACGGAGGACGTATTATTTGGAGATAGAGACGTTAATGGAGATAAGGATGGAGTCGGGGGAGGCGGTTGTTGTTTCTTCGCACGCGAACGCGTGATTATAGGCTGATGAACAGTTGGGTTCCTTCGTGTGGAAGGCAGTTTGACGGGTCAGGTAGTGGGCGGGAAGCCCAACGGTTGGAGACAGTTATTATTGTTGAAAAGATTGAACGGTTGTTATCGATGTTTAAAAAAGAGTCGCCCCGGCGGGTTTCCACTTTTTTTTAAACAGGACAAAACCGTGGATTTTAGAGCGTGATACAAATGAGCAATATGGTTGTAGGTAAGAGAGGGCCCAAGTCTGCGATACAACAAGACAAAGCGGAGTGATGATCTAAAGGAAACATCCACGTGACACTTGATTTTGTAAGCATCTGGCTTACTAAGTTACAGTAATGCTCGACACCGTGGTGTACAATGTGCTATCAAGCCATGCGATGTACTTCAGGACCTGGACGAGAGCCTATCGCTTAGGCGAGTAGTTTTCGAGCTTTGTCTACTGGGACATCAATATTATGCATGGTAACTGTGGTCACGTTTACTGCCGACCTCTACACATGGTTTGGGCGAAGATGCGACAAGCATTGTCAACGTCAATGAGGCTGTGCAACTGCGACGCGGAGAACCGAGCTATCCGTGCTGAATGCGACTACGTCCCTTGCTCTCCACCTCCACCTTGACCACCACGATGGTCCTTGCAATCTCAATGAGAGCTATGGCGAGGGACTCTGTCTGCTCGGTCTGTGTGGTCTATCTTGATGAACATCTCTCAAAAACCTTGCCACGATATTGCACCGTGCACGGAATCCCACTGCGCCTAATTCGATAACACCACGGATCTCGACAAGGTGATTTATCGACCCAAACCCTTCAGCCATCCAGCCTGATATTATTTCAGCTAGGTGTGGCTCCGGGAAAATCACATGGCTTGCTTACAGCGGCTCGAAAGATGATGCTTTGAAACTGTCAGCATCCTCCCATGATCTGAAAGCGCAGCACTAGTAGCGTCAGCCTTTAGACTGAATTTGGGATGACCTCTAGGGAGTGTGTGCCAATATGTCTTAAATACATCTTGAAGTTTGCTTTCAGGGTGACTACTAGGAGACTTTCAAAATGCGTGGATTTGAACCAGACGCGCTGGATGCATCGTGCAGATTTCGTCCGTCGACGCACGCAGAAAAAATCATCACAGGCAATAAGACGTTAATGTGAGCGGTCAGAACGATTATCACGGGAAGAGCTCCCGGCAAAACTGACTGAGGATCCGTTCTCCCTAAGCATCTCTGCGTATCAACTATGGGGTTCGCTGCACATTATCATATAGGTACCGTTTCATTGCAATTATATTTTGCTCGGCGTATTTGTTGATAGCATCAACGTTGGGCTCTTTCAAGATCCTTTTGGTACAGTATACAAGTTGTTATTCTCTCATCCCCGTGTACTTGACACTACCCTCAACGACCATTCTTCGATATACTGTGACTTGAAGACACGGGTTTTCGAAAGTAGTACGTGCAAGGGAGAGTGAACTAATCCACGACATGATGTGTATACTGTACATGTGTAACCGATCCCGAAAATACAACGTACATATTGATCCTTGAGCCTGAAACACTACATGATAATCATCTCATCCTACATGCGCCGCGCACGACTTTGGACGTGCGCACACACCAGCGAGCCGCCGAGCCGCTCAAACATCCATCAGTTACCATCATCAACCTCACCTTTCGCCATCGCCTTCAAGGTGTCCGACACCACGTTCCATCTCTCTTCATACATCTTTTGAAGCCCCTCCTCAGCTTCTATCTGAAGGATTCGAAAAAGGCGCGGCGCCATCGTGTTCAGGAACCGTGGGATCGACCTCATCAGGTCTGGCGCCGTCGGAGAGTCCAAGGGGCCCACGCACGCGATGGGTGAAAACCCAATGAACAGCTTGCGCAGGCGTGTGTTGGGTTGCAGAGCCACTTGATTGTCGTCGTTTAGAGGTGCCGCCCCGAGGGCATCAAGTCGCGCATCCACGCAGAGTGAGACATCGCACAGCTCACGGCAGCGGCTCACAAGGATGCCTAAGGCATAGAGGGACACGGGGGTGTTGGACACCCCTAGGTTAAGGATTTCGAGGTATGGACATGTGCGAGCGAGCGTGAGGATGTCAGAGTCGGTGAGTGCAATGGATGAGGTAAAAACGGGGGAAATGATGAGGGTTCTTAGGTCTGCGAGGGTGGTGGGGCGTACGAGTAGGGGGTGAAATTCAAAGGGTGTGGGTGCGAGGCACAACTGTGCATGACGGTAACACCCCTCGCTGAGAATGATATGCTCTAACTCGGTGCGGGCGAGAATGCTGAGGAATTCGGACCAGATGCTGGCTGGGCTACATCTTTTTGCGTTCACATGGATTGTTTTGAGGTTGCGACATCCAAAGGAACGCGTATCAGAACCCATCCTGAGAATCTGGAAAGCACGCAGGAAAGATTTGCACAGTCCCAGGCTCTTGCATGAGATATGTAGGTGAGTGAGTGCCGGAAAGGGCTGAAGCACATGGAGTGGTACCGTACGGATGCTATTGGAGTCCAGCTGCAAGGTGAGCCATTGGAGGCGTGGCCACGGGGCGATGTGATGAAGCAAGCTGCTTGAGATATCACAGCATAGTAACGACAACGCTGTGAGACCCTCAGGATAACTGAGCAGCAGTGACTCTATTTCCGAGGTGCTGTCCCTAGTCAGATTTACGCCTCTGAACTCAAGAGCTTTGAGGCGTGGGGCGGCAGTACGGAGGCCAGGAATTACGGCCTTGCAAAATGGCTCATTTTGTATGTAGAGGGAGAGGGTCTCGAGGGTGGGTAGGAAGAGGCTGAGTGTTGGGATGGAGGTGAGATCCGAATCATACCACGTGAGCGAGTGCAGCTTAGGAAAGAGCGGTGTGACTTTGGGAGCGCTTGCGAGGATTCGGAGGAAGAATGAGTAGCATGCACTGTCAGTGCCCAATTGGGAACCGGGATTGAAGAAGATGTGAACTCGTGCAGCACGGAGGACCAATGTGCGAAGCTGTTCCGGTGTATTATCCACTGGAGAAGGTCTGTGTGAGTAACACAATTTGGGGGACAGATAACAAAAAAGAGGAAGGGGGTCTCTCAGGTCAGAATAAAGGACATCGAGTGCTAGGTCGCGAAATGTACTGCAGGTGAGTGCGAGCTGGAGGATTGAGCGTGGATCTTGAGCGTACGGAGGCGATGTGAGTGCAGGCAATGGGAATTGCAAACTGACGCCTAAGCCCGAGTCAAGCGGTCGGGAATTGAACACAAAATGGAATATCACTTCGAGGATCTCTGCTAGGCGAAGACAGCCGTGCATGTCAAGTGCATGTAGCACTAGTAAGACGTTGGATTCAGTGTCACAACGAGTACTAGGTCGTACTTGATGCTAGCTATGTTCAATGATGGTCAACACATCGGTGCTAGCGAATGAAAATTCCGATGAAAAGATCAAGGTTTGACTACACTAGGGTCGGGAGTCAAATTTGCTGTGAATTTATGCGACCGCTATTACCTAAACTCAACCTCGCGGTGACGCCTTGTGCTGCCTCATATTTTGATATCTGGTCATCGCACTCCTAATCAATACGCAGATATCAACCACGCAAAACACCATCATGGCAACATAACTCAAAGACCAGCACCCCTGATCCCTTCCACTTCCAATCAACCTCAAGGCTCAACACTCACCTCTGTCACAACAGTCCCATCGTCTCCCTCCTCGGGACGAGCTCATACCCAAATGCATTGGGCAGCAGTATTCACCATGCTGCCCAGTACAGCGCGCCTGCGAACATGATGACAATGTTGATGAGGCAGTACCTATTGAAAAATGAATGAGGAATGTGCACGATGTGTAGTGATGGAGAGGAGTGCACGGGTGTCGCCGATGCTGTTGACTGGTTTCAAGAAGGGAGCGATGACAAGTGAGCGGGAGGGTTGGTAAAGGGAGGGAGTGCTAGGGCTGTATATCGGGAATTTACAAAAGGCAGAGGCCACCATACTAAATCATACATATAAGCGTGCCAGAGAGAAAAACAATGCACATGCTTACCTTTGAATTGCCGAACAGCATCTGGCTTCTTCCATCTCAGATGGAACAAACCCTGGATGCAATAGGTAAGCCAATACTAGACGGAAAATTTGAAAGACGCACGATAACAATAAAGAAATAATAATCTGCTGTGGGTATCATTCGATGTCCAGAACGAAAGGGTAGACAATATTAGAGGGGGTGCGATGATGACGATGACCTACGTCAGATTGATATTATACATGTAGATCAGTACTTACAGAGGATATCAGATGGGTGATCAACCCGGGGAATGGAGACTCCCTGTGGGCCAGTTTGAAGCTCAAAATTTGCTTCTGAATGGTAGAGGAATCCCTTCCTTTGTGAGCTCTATAATCGAAGCGCGATCTAGGCAGGATTATGAGGATGTCGATGAGATCATGAGGCAGCAGAAGTTTATGCATGAAACACTTATTGAGCCGCGCACTTTCATAATGATTATAACGATGTTCTGTGTCATCAGACGGAGGTGGTTATGAAGACAGTCGGTCAGAAAATTCTCCAACCTAGTATGTACGTCGAGCTCACCTGAGAGCAATAAACCCGACAACGCATTCACCTGAAGAAAACCGACGCCATTCCTGAAAAACAGAGCAACGACAGTGACCGCAGTCGCAGCAAAGGTCTGCCTATCAAAGCCATTTAGTTTCGTTAGCGGAATAGACAAAAGAAAGTGCTCACCTTGCTCGCAGCTGAGGATGGCGGGGTGTACAAGCAAGTACAAAAGAGCGTCCGCGCGGACCACGGATATTGTCCATCACATAGTTCACACTAGATCACCCCGCATAGGCGTTCAGGAGTTAGGACTTGAAAAGGTGGCGGTAGCATACTATCAACATCATGATCAGCTGATACATATGTGTGAATATCACAAAGCGCACGTCGTTGCTACTTGTATAAACTCCCAGCGAACGTGTTTCTGACGTTGACGGGTGGATCCACGACGCGCATTTTTGCCCTAGAGAACCACCCAGCCTGTCATGACGACGATACCAGGATCATTATGATTTTTATCATCTATAGGGCGTATAGATATTGAATCAGAACGCGGACGTATTGTGTCTGATGGTAGGATATCAGTACAGGAGAAAATCAGATCGTGCGGGTGTCGAAAGACATACATAGCGGATGAAATCCAAGCGTGTTTACAGCGCAGAGGTTCGATACTCCAGCTTCTGACGCGCGCGGATCTCAGAAACGAATGGATTGGTCCATGAGATGGGTGTGTGTGACGCCTAACAGTTAGAAAGGATGTTAGAGAAACACAGGATTGAGATATGTACTGATTTCGCGTCGCATCGGAATATTGACCCACAGATATCACCTGTTCTGGCGGGCGATCAAGCTTATGCAGAATATCAGCGTACGTCTCTCAAGAAAATGAGACGGGGATACATACTCCCGTACTCCAGTATGGCAATATCCAATTATATTATCCACTGCAAGCATGGTTTGAGTCGCCGAACAGACAGGAAAGGATGGCTGCGCGATGGTCTTTTTGTTCGTTGAAGGCTACATCAGAACCGTACAGTCTGGTAATGTGTAGTTAAATCTTCGCTCACGAAGATATAGGTGAAAGTTCACGCGGTGTCCCGGGTACATAGTAATACAAGGAGATGGTCAGGGAGAAGGGCACATGAGATACGCTGTCGAACGGAGGTGATGCCAATAAGCTCCACTTGGTCTGCATCATTATTCAAGTGCATATAGAAGTTAGACGCTGGAATACTTAGCTGCTTTCATAAATGTTCAATTCCCGTGTGAAAACACTATTGAAATTGCCGCCTTGCACCTGCTTACGCTGAAGCGTCCAACGTGGACACTGGACACGTCTGTTGAGTCATCCCTACCGTATTCATCAGGCCTCAAGTTGCGAGTAACTTGTGAGATCTTCCACAAGCAAGTGATACAAATTCTACTCACCTCTTTGCGCTGACAAGCCTCCACCAGCTTCCAATTGAACACAGACCCTCCATCATGGGAATTATCGATGTCCTCAACGCCGAGGTTGCACGACAAGTGATAGACAGCGTCGGCGGGAAGGAATTCGTCGAAAACCTGACTGCGACTACGAACGCGCTGGCGTTGGACATGCATTACCTGCTGCAAGGCTGCACCGTTCTTATTGCATTGCTATGCTTGTTGACAGTCCTCTGCATCGCGCGTTTGTGTTACGCATTTAGTAAAGAGCTTCGAGATGTGCAGCCCCACGTCAAGACCGCGTAGACTTACTAAGCTAGACCGGTGACACTTCGACTCGGATATCTCAGACTCGCACACTACTCATATAAACTACATAGCTCTAGCAGATTTGAAAGTTCTCAAACATTGGAGGTGCAGTGTTTTCGAATAAATCTGGGGGAAATGAATGACATGGCATTATCATGTCAGATTCAACCAGGTTCTGTTATGTCAAGGAATGCACGACCAGGATGAGAGCATGCGGAGAACTGGTACCGAACAGTGCTAGCTATATGTAATTAATCCACGCAGCATGCCCCGTCTGCTCACGACGACCCGACCTTCCCGATCATCTGCTTACTTTTGCGGAAGGTATGTACGGCTTTCCACCATCCCTTCATATTCTCGCATGCGTCCAGACGGTCATCAGTAGCAAGAACACCGGACCCCATCACACCGCATTCCTGCGGGCCTTTCTTTACCGATTTCCACCTTCTCTTACCAGCGGAACACCACTATGGGTCAAGCCTCAACGATAACCGACCGCTTGCAACGAAAATGCTTATTGTCATGGCGCATGGGCACCACTCATGCATTTGACATCTTTCTCAGCGAGTCTTACGGGTATGTTCACAAGGTACTAACTCCGTCTTTGTATTGTATGTCGTCCGCGCCATACCCGTGCTTGCTGCACGCCCTCGTGTGGCTTCTTTAACTTCTTTTCCTGGCACCGTTTGCATTCAAGCTCACGTACTTGCTATACCACTTGCAGGCATGGCTAAGCCTGCTTGTACCTTTTCCCCGGCGCCTCGTGTGCTTCTCTTCCCCTTTAATTTGTACAAGCTCTGTGCATCTATCACATGCTTGCATGCCCTTCTTGTGCCTGCTTAATCTGCTAGATGAGACGACAAAAATCAAGGACGATTTCCTGTGACTTGGCTATCTGATAGTACAGCTATAAAATTCCCCCAATTTATTGGCCGGACTCGACCGAGGAATTCCCTCTTTGCGTATATACTTGCTGATTATCTTTTGCTCAGCGTATTTTTTGATAGTATCATGGTTTTCATTGCACCGTGTTCCGTTTTCTTGCAACGCCGGAGCTCTTTTTACAGTGTGTTGACACCACCTTGTAAGCTCAAGCCCCCGGTGGTTTTAACAGTTTGTGCTGCCTCGTATTCTGATATATGAACGTTGAACTCTTTCAAGATCCTTCTGGTATAGTTTACGAGTTGTCATTCTCTCATCCCTGTGTACTTGACTCTTCAATGCGTAGCGGTTTGAAGGCACGGGTTTTCGAAAGTACTATGAGTGCATGCAAGAAACAGTGAACTAGTTCGCGACATGATATACTGTACATATGTAAATGATCCTGAAAATACTACGTATATATTAATCCTTGAGCCTGAAATACCACATGCAAAGATAATCATCTCGTCCTGCACGCATACACACAGCGATCCGAGCCACTCAAAAATACGTCAGTTACCGTCATCAACTTCACCTTTCGCCATCACCTCCAAAGTATTTGATACCACATTCCATCTCTTGTTGTACATTTTTTGGAGCCCCTCCTTACCTGGTATCCACGAGACTCGCAAAAGCGGTGCCATCATGTTCAGGAAGCGTGGGATGGACCTCATCAGGTCTGGCGCTGTCGGAGGATCCAAGGGGCCCACGCACGCAATGGGCGACACCCCAACGAGCAGCTTGCGAAGGCGCGTGTTGGGTTGCAGAGCCGCTTGATCGTCGTCTAGAGGTGGCGTGCCGAGGGCATCAAGTCGCACATCCACGCAAAGTGATACCTCGCGCAGCTCACGGCAGCAATTCACGAGAATGGCTAAGGTATACAGTGATATGGGGGTGTTGCACACCCCTATGTTAAGGATTTCGAGGCATGGGCATGTACGAGCAAGCGTAAGGATGTCTGAGTCAGTGAGTGCAATGGACGAGGTGATAACGGGGGAGATGACGAGGGTCTTGAGGTTTGCGAGGGCGGTGGGGTGCACGAGTAGGGGGTGAAAGTCAAAGAATGAGGGTGCATTTGGGCACTCCTGATGACGACACCCCTCGGTGAAAATGATGTGTTCTAATTGTGTGCGGGTAAAAATGATAAGGAGTTCGGACCAGATGCTGCCTGGACTGCATCTTTGTGCGCTCACATGGATTGTTTTGAGGTTGCGACATCCAAAGGAACGTGTATCAGAATCCATCGTGAGAATCTGGAAAGCACGCAGGAAAGATATGAAATGGCCCAGTTCCTCGCATGAGATATGTAGGCGAGTGAGTGCCGGAAAGGGCTGAAGCACTTGGAGAGGTAGAGTGGGGATGCTATTGGAGCCCAGCTTCAAGGTGAGCCATTGGAGGCGTGGCCACAGGGCGATGTCATGAAGCAAGCTGCTTGGGATATCACAGAGTAGGAACGACAGCGCTGTGAGACCCTCAGGATAACCGAGCAGTAGTAACTCGATTTCCGAGGGGTCGTCCCCAGTCGTAACAAGGTGGCCCCTAAACTCAAGAGCTTTGAGGCGTGGGGCGGTGGTACGGAGGTCAGGAACGACGGCCTGACAAAACGGAGCATTATTTATGTAGAGGGAGAGGGCCTCGAGGGTGGGTAGGAAGAGGCTGAGTGTGGGGATGGAGGTGAGATGTGAATCGCACCACGTGAGTGAGCGCAGCTTGGGAAAGAGTGGGGCATCTTTGGGAGCGCTTGCAAGGAAGAATGGGAAGGAACCAGGATTGAAGAAGATATGGACGCGTGCAGCACGGAGGATCAATGGGAGGAACTGTTCGGGTGTATTACACACTGGGGAACTTGAAGATCTGTGTGGCTGACGCAGTTCGGAGGGCAGACACGACCAAAGAGGCAGCGAATCTGTCAGGTGAGAATAAAGGACATCAAGTGCTAGGTCTCGAAACGCACGGCAGGTAAGTGCGAGGATGGAGGATGGAAGCATGGATCTTGAGCGTACGGAGGCGATATGAGTCCAGGCAATTCGTACAAGGCTCGGATGAAGCTTGAGCTTGAACTTGAGTCAAGGGACTTTTGAGAATTGAACACAAAATAGAAGATCACTTCCAGGATCTCTGTCAGGCGAAGACAGCGGTGCATGTCAAGTGCATATACAAGTCAGACGTTGGATTGAGTGTCGCAACGAGTATAAGTACTAGATCGTATACGTAAAGTTAACACTTCGGTGCTAGTGCTGCTATCGCGGATGGAAGAAGTGGTGGTTATAAATGATGAGGACGCACAGCAACTGGATGTCGCGGTATGGATAAATACCGCCCTGATCTCGCTTTGCTTCAATGCTGTTGTAAGTCAGCATACGATACATAAGATACAAAATTTCCAGAGGAATTGTTCCATGCACTGGGGATTATTAAGGTATGGATAAAAACGCTTCAGAGATCTCTGTGCTTCGAGATGTATGCAACTACGATATCTCTAGCATCCTAATGTCCATCATGTCCTGAATAGAAGCCGTTTCCATGACTTGCGCGATGATATGGTTATCTGAAGCAATCCTCTTATACTCCCCACCACGCTGCTGCGCTAGCAAAAGAGCGCCAAAAGGCTGTCGAAGACGGGCGATCAATCTCAACGCTCGCGCGTGAAATTCTGAATCAACCAGCTCGTCATCTCCAGGATACCCGCTGAGTGATTCGTCTGATGGGGACTCGGGTGACCAATCCTCCACGCTCTGCGTCTCGTCCGCAAGGTCAGGCAGCTCGAGGTCATAACGATTCCACGGGCGGACAAGCAAGAATGGCTGCCGAATAGACCGTGCCCGCGAGAACTGATTTAGCTTATCGTCTGTGGTAATTAACATGTCTTGAAGCCCGGGTGACTTGACTTCATAAGTGAAACATGTCACCTGGTCTTGACCACGCCTCCGTCTGACTTCTGCAATAGGAAATGTGATGCAAGGCAGTTGCAACCTGCGGTTCGCGAAACGAGGAGCACCCAGGTTGGCAAGCCGCGTATACAGTGTCAAAGCCAGCTCTACACCAGCGACATTTTGCAGTGACGAGACCGAAGTCTGTATCTGATGTTCAGGTAGATATGAAGACGTGCGTGGCGGAGGTTTGTAGGACGTAATGTCGGCTGGTAGGCAGCTATTGAACTCAGATGATTGTCCGACCCAGTCTAGGGCTGTGATATCGCCCGACTGAGCGATGATTTCCTGCAAGAGCCGACCAAGTGCATTCTGCTTTGTCTCACCATATATGACAGGTAGGTGGACACCGAAAATGCCAAACAATGAATATGCGGTGTCTTCCTGCAGGGTCGTGGCACGCGTGGATGCCCATTGCAGTTTCTCGCGCGCACCTGTCACGCTCGGATGGAAGGCGACTGAGGGCCTGTGCATCTATGCCTGTTGAATCCTCTAACTCCTTCATGATAGCGACAGAATCTTTGTGGTTGGGAGAGCGGTCGTTGAGATAAAGGGTCCAGTCTTGTCGGTAGAAAAGAATGATATTTGGAGCAAGGAATTCCTGAATGGTCCATCCCTCGTGTGTTCCAAGCGCTATTTGCGAGTGCGCCTGACTGCGCTGAAGGTAGAACATCTGATAGGTAGACGACCGTAAGAGCTGAGAGACGATACCAGACGAACATAGGAATTGACCGATCGTTGGAGTTCAACATCGTTATTCCGGTCAATGCAGCATGTATCGCTCCACGCCCAGCGATGTCCCGCATCACGGGCAATTTTGCAGAACGTCTGCAACTTCACTGTGGCTTCCGACTGGATTCAATTCGTATATGACCTTGTCCTGAATGTCGTGGAGCAGCAGCTCCTTACTTTCCCATCTATGTGATAACATGACCCAACTGAAGTACTTCGCGACCGCTTCGTTGATGGGCTCCGTTTGGAGGGGCGCATGCGTGATCGATGAAGATATGATCTCTTTGTACTCTGTACTGTCCATGAAGTCGTTTATCTGCGCGTCTCGATTGCATAAATACCCAGTGAGGGTGTTGATTAGGCGAAGCGGAGCGTTTTCCAGTTTAGCGTCAATGGCTTGTCGAATAATGTCTTGGACTTCCAATGGGCTGACATACTTCTGACGGAGTTCTGGAGAAAGTGTTCATAATATTCACGTTGACTGCATGGCGGATAAGGACTTACTTCGTATCTGCGCATCGGGTGCATCGTCTGACTTTAAAAACATGATTTCGATGGCCTCGATTGCTTCGTCGTAGCGCTGTGCGCTGTGGAGCGCTGCATGTTTGAGTTCGTACCCCAGACAAGAAAAAGGATCGAGTTCGATGATCTATGGCATGGGTAGTATCAAAACAGCTGCTAGAGAAATGATATCGTCCACACCTTGTCCTGCATCGTGAACGGCCTCCGCATAGAGGTTTTGTTCCAAATTTGCCTTACTACGGTTCTCAAAGAGGGACTTCGCACGAGGAATCCAACGCGATCCCTGCCGAATACAATTCAACAGCTTTCTCGTAATTGCCGGCAGCAACAGCCTCGCGTCCCTGTGTGACACAGCGCGCACTGCAGTGCTTTTTGAAGGCTAAACAACCACATAGTGAGTATCCATGTACGATTCGCCAAAGACCCCAAATCACTCACCAGTGGACCATTCGAGGCTGATGTCCTCCGAAGCCTCAGTCGATCATGCGCATCATGTATTGGTAAGATTCGAACTGCTTCGATCACTAAGTCAGCGCCGAAGAACGCTTCGCACCGTCTTTGGTTGACGGTTTGCCACAACGCATCCAAGTTCCAGCCGAAGAGCTGTCCAGCACATCATCAATCAGTGAAGGTACCTTCTGTGGCTCGTCGTGACGCACCATAGTGAATATCTTCAAGCTAGATTCAAGAAGTGCGCTACGAGAAACCAAGTCGGCTATACCGGGAATACTATCATTGAGCCGATGGACGGCTTCGCTGTACCGCTCATCTTCGAAAGCAATTATTGCAAGCTGCACATGTAGATACGACTGACGAGAGTGAGAAAAATCATGGGGTCTGAAATAAAACTCACGTTGACAACGCTGCACGGAAGTGTATCTGGGCATTGATACGTGGTGGTGAGGTCTTGAACTCGCCGCATTGCCTCATCGTAGGTGATTGGCATTGAAAAGTGCAACAGCCTGGACAAAATGACATTGAAGTCTTAGTATGACAGACTGACTATGAAAGCAGTAAGGAGAGTACCTTGATCAATAGTAAAAGATGGATGGTCATTGGATCACGATCAGAAAATACGAAAGCGAGATCGAAAGCTTCTGTCGCGTCCCGTAGCTGCCCGTTGCCGCAGAGGGCGATGCCCTCGGAAATGTAGCCCAATAATGAGGGCTGGATGGCAATGGACTATGTCACGGAACAGAGTCAACGTCAACGGCGTGATTATAGGCAAAGCGTCAGACCTTTAGTGAGTCTTGAAGTGCCTTGTCCCACTCGGATCTTCGCGCCCTTACAACTGATCGATTGGCATGCGAGACGTGGTTGTTGTCGTCTGTGTCAATCTCTTGGGTCAGCAGTTCTTCAGCGGTATAAAGGTCCCCAGTCATGCATGCATTGCGGACTGTCGCGTTTACAACAGGAATCTGCGTGAAGCTCTGTGATAAGTAGGTGCATCGAGGGCACACAGCTCACGTCAAATAATGAGCAGTTGTCGTCACCGCCAGACGCTTGGTGACATTCCGACGAGCGATTACCTGCATTGTCATTATTACAAGCGAACTCGTCCTTGATATTGTGACTGCGTATCTGTATGTCGCCGCCACAATGCGAATGAATAGACAAGCAGAAAAAGAATGAGTGAGAGCGTACCTGTGTGTCACTGAGTTGCTGTGGCTGTGTTTCTTCATTGTCCTTTATCCTTTCCTCTGCCTTGCACTGCTCGAGAAGGTCCTTGATAGACCAGAGCCAAAACTTCCCATCACTGCATCCACTTCCGAGTTCCGCGTTGGGAGAAAGTGTGACACATAAAATAGAAGCAGTGTGTTCGATTGGCTGCCCTATGTGCTGGCGTGTCTGTGGGCTCCACAGCCGCAAAGTGTGTTCGATTGGTTGTCCTATGCGCTGGTGTGTTTCTGTGCTCCACAGCTGCACAGTCGTATCGTCCGAGACAGTGGCGATGAAGGAGCCATCAGCAGAGATGGCAAGCGAGCAGTTGCGTCCAGTGTGACAAGTGCAAGGTTGACCGATCTGACTTCCATTTGACGAGTTCCAGAACTTGACTGTTTTATCGTCTGCCGCAGAAACAAGTTGCTGGCTGTCAGGTAGCCACACGATACTTCGAACATAAGCTTCGCAGTGACCGTTGATCTGGAAAATAAGCTCGGCGTTATCGGTGCGCCAAACCCGGATGGTATTCCATTCTCCGGTGGCTAATTTTAGCCCATCTGGGCTGAATGCCACACTGTACACCGCCCAAGCATGACCGCTGAGTGTTGAGAGGACAGAGCCAGTCTCCGTGTTCCATACAACAACCGTTTTATCATACGACCCGCTGGCGAGTTTCTTGCCGTCAGGGGAGAAGCACACTGAGTACACCCAGCTTGTATGCTTCGCCAGCGGATCGAATACTTTCTGCTTGCTCTCGACGTCCCAGATGATGATGGTGTTATCTTCTCCACCGCTCGCAATTCGCTTGTCGTCTGGTGATACAGCGACTGATAGTGCCGTACCCGTGTGTCCCTCGAATGGCCCTCCTACCAATACTCCTTTCTCCATGTTCCAAATTCGCAGGGTTTTATCAGCTGAACAAGTGACGAGCCGTCGACCATCTTTAAAGAACGCGGATGCCGTCACTTTATCTGTATGCCCTTGCATCATCACCGTTGGCACTAGTTTCCCTTGCCTTGTCTGCGCTGGCTGCCCTCTCAAAGTGAGATCCGCATCTCTTGCTGCACCAGGCATCCCGGACAAGTTGCGCTGACCTAGACAGATAAATAAACGGTCAGTGATATTTGAAGTCGATAATGATCATACGTTTATCGCGTTGTTAAGGAGCTGTAAGATATCGTTAAGCGTTGGGGATCTTGTTGGTGGTGAGTAGTAACTAGTGTTGGACCTAACTCATGTTTATTATGTAGGCATTATCTGACTTCTGGTTGACTCCACACCACGTGGATATCACGGCTTAAATCTTATTTTGCATCTTCCATCATCGCTGTCCCCCTTCATAAACGCCCGTCATGGAGCAGTTGCCCCTTCATTCTGTGCACAGTGAACTCGTGCGAAAGCACATGTGCCTGGTACTACCATGCAAAACAGTCAACCCTGCAATTTAATCCACACGCTCAACTCATCTTTTGTAACGCACTCTGCTTCGTCACGGGATCAAAAAGGCCTAGATCAATCACTAGGCGCTAATGTTTTATACCTCCGTTATCAATGGAACGTTACATATCGGGCATGCGTGTCTCGATCGGCGACTCATGCGTGTTACTGATGTGTACTGATTTACCTGCTTGCCTGCATGATAACGATCTGATCCTCCTTGGCAAGCTTTCCGCGTCAATGTTATCAGCGCTGGCCCCCACATTTGACAGTTTTCCCTCTCTGCTTGTCTCGACTAGGTGCTCCATCGACTCCCAGAACCGTTATCAGTGAACGTGATCGATGAAAGTGCGTTTCGCAAGTGACCTATAGAAACTCTTGATGGTTCTAAGCGCTATCGTCAGCAGGGGCCTGGTTTCAAATTCTTCGCCTCGATGTTTCATAGATTTAAACCCTCCGTTACCTTGGGATTCTCTTGCCGTGTGCGTGTGCTTCCACGTTTCTTGCCCCATGATGGTCCCACTGCCGCCGCATACTCACACTTTCCTATGTGAAAACACCGTTTAAATTGCTGCTTCCACCTACGCTGAAGTGGACACGTGTGTTGGGTTATCCTTGCGTTTATCAAACCTTAGCAACTTGTGAGATCTCCCACAAGCAAGTGATACGAATTTTACTCACTACCTCACGTTGACAAGTCTCTACCAACTCCCAAATTGAACATATTCATTTTATGGGAACCATCGATGTCCTCAACGCTGAGGTCTTCCGACAAGTGATAGACAGCTCGGGCGAGAAGCTCGTTCAAAGTCTGACTGCGACAACAAACGCGCTAGCGTCGGATGTGCTCTACCTGCTGAAAGGCTGCTCGTATTGCGTTGCTGTACTTGTCAACAGTCCTCTGCATCGCGCGCTTGTGCTGCGCATTTAGCAGAGAGCTTCTGGATGTGTAGCACATCGAGACCGCATAGACTTACTAAGTCAAATTGCTCTATAATTCTGAACAGAGACACTTTGCCTTGGATATCTCATTCCTCTTTGCGTATCAGAACTCCCTTTTTGCGCATCAGCTTGCGAGGTCCTCGTGCACATCATCGTGTAGATACTGTTTCTTTACGATCATATTTTGCTGGAGGTGTTTTTCGGTGCCAATATGTTGTCTACACGAACACTGTCTTCCAACCTCATGTCGCCGGTGATTTCAAAATCCTCAAAACTTCATCCAATGGTTTGTACATGCTGCCTTGTCGCAGCACACTCTTTATAAGGGGTACACATAAAATCAAGCTTGAAAAATCCATGCGTAGCATGTAAGGATAGAGTATGTACAACTCGAGCGATATACACAAAATATAAGAGGGAGCATGCCGATATATCAGGTAGAATACAGAGACACCCGGAAATCTATCGTCACAGTCGGTGTTGTAATGAACAGGACAAAAAGAGCGGATAGATGCAGGAAAACATGTCCAGGAGACTCAGAATTGGTTTTTGCTCTGAATATATCCTTTCTGGGCTCGCGGCATAGCCCTGAAGTGAGAGTGATCCGCTATGTGCTTTATGGCCCATTTACGGAAACACCATGTAAGTAAACCCACAAAGATGATGCCAGCGATGACACCTAGCACGATGCCGATTATTGTACCGGTTGATGAGTGACTACTCGTCGACGGCGAGGATTCGAGAGCACTAATAGGCGGGGACGATGAATCTGGATTTCCACTGAATTGCCAATAGTCTCCACCGTCAGGGGGGACAACACAGATCAAAATGTCTCCATCCATGTTATCCTGGAAGTCTGACTGAGTCGTACTCTTCGAAGTGGTGTTGATATCAAGGATAAACGCTGCAGGAGAAGGTGTCGGGTCACTAGCAGTGCAGTTCGGACCCCACTCCCCAATAAAATAAGTGTTTCCAACAAGGATATTACCCTCCACCGTGAAATTAGTTGCAGACGACATGGCAATGCCGTAGCTGAATGCGCCAGTGAGTTGGTTGTAAAGCACTGTCCCGCCAGTGCTAACGTCATTGAGATATCTGTTTCCGAACCAGGTGCGAGGACCAATTGCAATTCCGATTCTGAGTCATTCTTGTCAGCACCTTCATGAGAAAATAAGGTGGCTTCTCGTACTTTATGACGACATCTTTGTTATTTGCACCCTTGGTCGCCGATCCTGTGACAGGATCAAAGACGGACCCACCAACAATGCTATTGTTGGTGACCACGACCCCCTTATAATTACCACCAAAGGGTGATACATCAACCATGTTGATTCCTCCCAGCAATGTATTCTGCATCACCGTTAACAACCAATAGAAAATTTCATGATTGTACACTTACAGTCTCGACCAAGATGATGTTGTTTTCAACGCGAGTCCCAGGAGCGCCAAAGAGTACAATGCCTCCATCCGTCGGATTCTTGATCATGTTATTACGAACGAGGGAGTTTTGGCATGCCACACTAATTCCATCTGCCCACTGCTGGAAAAGATCGGATCCTGCGGGTCCAATATCATTGTTCTGGACCGTGACATTGTTGCAATTCAATGATCCCTCAGCGACATGGAGACATGACCAGCCTCTGGGGTCATAAGAATGCACATATTCGATAAGCTGATCCGAGTTCGGACCGCCCATTTCAATATTTGCGCCTCCTGAGGTGGGAGGCGCACCACTCCGCATACCATTTATCTGTGAAATAATTAATGCGAGAGGAAGCGATGAAGCATCCGTGCCTTTACCTGCACGTTCCGCAGCCTCACCCCGTCGCAATTCGCGCAAGTGCCGTCGACGGCCGTTGTATGACCAGTACCATTTGACACAGGGCCACTGACTACTAAGACAGCTCTGCTGTCATTGGTGGGATATCCAAGGGTACTGATCTCTTGATTGGATGCAGCGAAAATAATGGGGGCTTGTATGAAGTATTGTGTGTTTGGACAGAGGTTCAATACGTATTCTGAACCAGAAGAGTTGAGAAGTGTGTTAAGGCGGTCTGTAAGCGTGTTGTCTGGATCAGCAGGCTCGCAGATTGAATCTACTCGAGGTATAGCCATCATCCTGCATATACATAATTTCGTGAGCGAGGAATAAAAGGCACATGGAGTCCCATACTTATGCGCAATTTGTGATGCGTGCCGAGAGAAATATACTGCAAGCGGAAATGATTTGTGTGGGAGGCCAAAACGGAGGTAATGAGGTCAGAAACAATAAAATAAAATAAAAAGGTAAGGCCTACGGTGCAAGACAGTCGTGAAACCATCACAGTATAAGAACTTAAAAGAGTGAAGCAAGCACCCGACCTATGGCACCTCAATAGCTCTGAGCCGAAGGAAAGAGATTATAGCACTAGTACTAGCAAGTTTAAAGTTACGCCGCGTCAAAGACACATGTCATGACTGACCAAGAAGGACATGGGGAACGTGGTGTAGTACATGCATCACAGGGGCCTAAAGGGGCTCGGGGGGAGGGGAGAAAAATGCCCTCATTGTAATTTTTCATGCCGCGACTGGGAGTGCCGTTATAACAATAAACTGAGATAACAGCTTCAGTAGCCGACGGAGATCGAAGTGCAACTTGATCGCACCCTAGTATGGAAAAAACACAGCGGACGTGTATGGTGCCTGTTGGAACGGGCACGGACTGCAAAGGGAAACCCAAGGCTAAACCTCTAAGGCGGGAGACGGCGGCTCTATCTATCGAGGACCACCTACAAGCCAGGACTCCGGCCACTGAGCCGGGACCCATGGCACTCCACGGAAAACCTGCGCCAGACCACCCTGGTACACTGCGCGGCATTTCATACAGTTGGAACGTCACGAAGCCAGATCTGCAAGCGTCTTAGACTGAAGTCCATCTAACCCATTTGAATCCATCAGGCCCCAAGTAGGGACCCTTCAGTGCATCAGTTTAAGGCCCCAAGCCAAGTGCAGAGTGAGCTGATCATGTCAAATTTTGATTGGAGGTCACTGGAAGATCGAAGTAGTTTACAGGTAATAGTGGTATAACTTTAATAACACACTCCGTGATCGCGGCAGTTGCCGCAGCGGTGGCGCAGCATATGATTTTCTTAGTGCCAACTTCTGATTCTGACAGTACATCTAGTAATGGTAAGTACGCTGAAGCAACGTCGACACGTATTTTGAGTCGTCCCTGCATAATGCATTTATCAGGCCTTGCGACCTCCTACAAGCAAGTGATACATGTTTTACTTACCACCTCACTTACGCTGACGAGCCTCCCCCAGATCCCAATTGAAAACAGTCCTCCATTGGCACGCGCTTGTGCGAATAAAGGTTACTAGAAAGTTTCGGAATATCCAGCACCTCATAACCGCGTAGACTTATATACGCCAATTGCCCTAGAACAGCGACACTTCGACTCGGATATCTCAGACGTAAGTATGATGAGCTAGCTTTACCTGATTTATGAAGTCCTTGAATGGATTTTGGGAAAAATGAATATGAGACAGTACTAACCTTTCCGATCATCTGCTCCCTTCTCTGGAAGGTATGTACGAGTTTCCACCATCATCACCGGCTTCGGCGTTTCTTGGAAGAACACGCTTATCGATTTTGACCTATTTCTCAGCGAGTTCTACAGGTATGTTAACAAGGTACATTGTCTTTGTACTGCACGCCCTCGCATGGCTGCTTTAACCTGTTTGCCTGACATGCATCCTCGTGCCGCTTTCACCCGCTAGAAGAGAAGGCAAATTTATCTCTGTTATTCGTCTGTCTTCGACTGATAGTACAACTGTGGACTTGCCGCCATTTACTGACTCGACGGAGGAACTCCCTCTTTGCATATCAACTGCGAGGTTCTCGTGCACGTCAATGTGTAGGTACGGTTTCTTTGCGATTATCTTTTGCTAAACGTATTTTTCTGTGACAATATGTTGTCTACACGAACACTATCTTCTCGTCCGATGACTTGTACATGCTTCCTCGTATTCTGATATCTGAACGCTGATGCGCAGCACTCAGTCGCGTTGGTTTCAAATAACGTGGTATGGCAGTCCTATGAGTTGTTATTCTCTCATCCATCCCCGTGTACTTAAACCTCGTAAAGGCGCCCTGATATTTACGAACTCTAGCTTTTCTAGGTGTATTGTTGCATTTCCTCCTGTGTTGTCGTCGGTTCAATTTAATGTGTAATTCGTCACTTATGCGCTGACCAAGTTCTTTCTATGTGTATCTTCATTCTTCAACATGCAACTATGTACAGATGGCCCTTGAGCTTAAAACACCACGAGCGGGACAATCATCTAATCACCGAGCCATCCTTCCGCCTAAATATCCATCTAAAACATTTCCCCCAAAAGAAAATCAATCACCATCCTTAACTTCATCTCTCACCATTACGGACAAAGCGGACGACACCACCTTCCATCTTCGCCTATACATACCATTGGACCACGATCCATCTGTCAACCTCATGATGCGCTCAACCCGTGGCGCAATCATGTGGAGGAACCGTGGGATAGATCTCATCAGGTCTGGCGCCGTCGGTGGATGCAAGGGGCCCGCGTACGAGATGGGAGAGTCCCCGATGTACAGTTTGTCCAGGCGCATGTTGGGTTGCAGATCTATTTCATCGTCGTCGTTGTTCGGAGGAATTGCTCCGAGTGCATCGAGTTCCGCGTCCACGCAGAGGGATAACTCGCGCAGGTCACTGCAACGCCCCACGAGGGTGCGTAAGGCATACATGGACACGGGCGTATTATGTGCCTCTAGTCCAAGTATATCGAGATGCGGGCATGCACGAGCGAGCGCGACGATGTCAGCGTCGGTAAGCGCAATTGTCGTAGTATGGGCGGGGGAGATGATGAGGGTATTGAGGTCTGCGAGAGCGGTGGGGCGCGCGAGGAGGGGGCCGATGTCAAAGGACGAGGATGTGTGGCAGGACTGCTTCTCAGCGTGGTTCATCTCGTTGAGAATAAGGCGCTCCAGCTTTGTGTAGGTGAGAATTCTAAGGAGTTCGGACCAGATGTTGGCTGGGCTGCATCCGCATGCGGCGATGTGAATCGTTCGGAGGTTGGGGCATCCGGCGAAGGGACACACATCAGAATTCGTACTGACAATCTGGACAGCACGCAGGAAAGATGTAAAAAGGATCAGATCCACGCATTCGATATGCAAGCGAGTGAGTGCCTGAAAGGGCTGGTGCACATGGAGAGGTGTAGTGATGATACTTTTGGAGCCCAGGTGGAACGTGAGCCATCGGAGGTGTGGCCAAGCAGAAATAACATTGAGCAAGCTGTTTGAGATATCGCAGGATCTGATCGAAAGCCCTGTGAGACCCTCAGGATAGTTGATTAGGGATGACTCGATATCCAATAGGTCGTCCCCGGGCGCGATGCCATCCAACCCAAGAGCTTTGAGGCATGGGGCGGCAGTACGGAGGCCAGGGATGATCACCTTGCGAAATCGAGTGTCTCTGATGATGAAGGAGAGGGTCTCGACGGCAGGTAGGAAGAGGCAGAGGGCTGGGATGGAGGTGAGTCGTGAGTCAAACCATGTGAGCGAGTGCAGCTTGGGAAAGAGTGGTGCGTCTCTGGGTGTGTTTGCAACGAGGAATGCGAATGCAGCGTCGCTCGGGGCAGTGTTTTTGCGACCGGGAATATTGTGGAGGACGCGGACGCGTGCAGCGCGGAGGACTATTAATGGGTGGAACTGTTGGGTTGGCACATCATGCACCGGGCTCGCTGACTGAACTGGTGGCAGACACATAATAAGAGGCCATATGTTCGCCAGGTGAGCATAAAGAACTTTGAGGGCTGGATCGCGAAATGTACGGCAGGTGAGTGCGAGATTGAGGATGGAACGTCGATCTTGAGCGTACTGAGCCGGTATGAGCGTAGGTAATAAGTACAAGATGAAACTTAAGCATGAGTCAAATGATCTCGGGGAATTGAACACAAGATGGAATATCACTTCGAGGATCTCTGTCAGGCGAAGACAGCCGTGCATGTCAAGTGAATGCAGTACCAATAAGACGATGGAACGAAAAAATGTAAAAAAAACCCTGCATTTATATATGAGCCACGAACTTCGAACATAATGATATAGTATAACAAAGAACACGAGTGTTCTCGGAGCTCTTTGTGCACACAATCATGACTTTGTTCGATGTTGTTGTGTAGCGACATGTTCGTTTTGTTGCGGTGACAGTACTTTGTCTAGTGCACTCGGTGAATTTCAAAACCTCGTCGTGCTGCCTCATATTCTGATGTCTGTACGTGGTTTACAGCATCGCGTGGCTTCAATTTTCATCTGCTACAGTGTTACACGTCATTGTTCGCTTGATAATCCTCGTGTACTTAATATAAACCTCGTAAAGTTACCCTGATTCCTTTGTACTCGATTATCTTATGGAACAGTATCACCTCACGCGCACACATCCGGCGAACCGATACAATCTCGCTGCAGATATATCCATCTAAAATAGCCCAAACAGACATCATGCGGGACTGCGGGATTAACTTTGTCCTGTGGCTGCATGCGGGAGAGTTTGAGATGGGAGACAAGACCTAGCGATGGAAGGGCACGACGGAAATCGAGGTGGTTTGACTCGGAGACAACCCGGATGCTCTTCTCAAATATCTTCCAGAACTTTATGGTCTTGTCTGTGTGGCAAACTGATGCGATACGAGACCGGTGGCAACCAACGACGACAAGGTCGGTATAATGAGAGCGAGCCCGGATCTGGAGGGCGCGATATTGAACACACATTGATAATGACCCCCAGGTGGCGAGAAAGGTTAGGGGATGTTTATAAAACAAATCTCCCAACTAGACAACAGTGAATGTGCATCCAAATGGATTTCGCGGGATGCCTAGCGGCTAGTGGAAGAAGATGGTCGAAACCTCCACCTTGGCATGATATATTGGTTCGAAACCACTACCCGGATATTCCAAAGCCAGCTGCATTGGCTACCTGGATGATATTCTCAGCCTAACCAATGCACGAGATACTTCACGAAGTATCGAATCGTACAGACTCGCCTGCTTCAACATCTGAGCGTTAATCCTTACCGACTCCGTCACCTCTACACCGAACGCGCCATAACATACGATTGGATCTCAACACCCAATGTCACATCCTCGGTTTGGCTTTGGCACAACTCGCGTGCTTGTCTTCTCAAAGTTCACCAACGCCCAAACCGACACAAACAAGGATGCCAGGTGTTTACGTCTGTCTCTCTTCTCGATCCTCCGTTTGGCAAACCATCTCTTCGTGGAGACTTGAGGGACGACAAAATGACCGTTGAAGTACAGCGTGCCCGTGCTCGGTAGTCGATCGCAGGCAGTAAGGAGGGATTCCAGAAGCACGAACGTAACTGCACGTGGGAAAGAGGGGGCCATCTTTCGGTGTGCTTGCAAGGAGAAATGCGTATGCAGGGTCGGTGCCATTGTAACCAACTGAGGGATTGAAGAGGATCTGAACGCGTGCAGCGCGGAGGACAAGTGGCTGGAACTGTTCGGGTGGCCCAACAGGGCCCCGTGAGTGAACTAGTTCGTAGGGTAGACGCATAGTAATAAGAGACCAGATGCCTCTCGAATGGGAATGAAGTACATGAGTACTGCGTCGCGAAATGCACGGCAGGTGAGTGCAAGTTGGAGGACAGAGCGGCGATCTCGAGTGAACGGAGATGGTATGATGTTAGGGACATCAATGAAGCTCGAATCAAACAAATTTGGGGAGAATACAAAATGCAATATAATTTCGAGGATCTCAGGCAGGCGAAGACAGTGGTGCATGTCGGATTTGGCAAGTAGTCGAAACTACATGACTGGTGATAGTACTTGATGAATAGGGGTGTGTTAGGTAATCGATCATCCTGTGTTTAACTATCAGTCGCCACCTTTCACTTCACGTACTTGTAGATAGCTTTAGCTGATTTATGAAAGTAGTTCCCTGTCGAAAATCTTATGTTCTCCTACTCTTTGGTTGTGTGGGATGGTTCGCTCGTCATACGAGGATGCTGCGCTCTCGAGAGTCGACACGTATCAAAAAGGGGTTTTTTTAGTCGGAGTTTGAAAGTCACATCTACTGAACTCAAGCTCCTTTCACCTCCCTAAATAGAGTGTAACGAGCGGTTACGAGTCTACTGCTCTAGCGATCTTAGGCTGCGTTTTTTGAACCAAATCTGTCAATTGGTCGTCAACGCGTCTGAGAGTTTGGTTTGCAGCTCTACTGTGACCAAACTTTGAGATGTGTTGACAACCGGGTCAAAGTGTTCCAGTAGCAGGAACTTACTCGTAACAGGCAAAGCTGACCCTGAGCGCTGGGCGTTCCCCGAGTCCTGACTACAGGAGACTGCCGGGACTGGCTTCTAGGTCGGGGGTTTATGTTGCCTACGAGTGGACGACTACCTTCTAAACTCAATCTCCCAGTTATCTCGCGGCTTGTAACCAAGTGTGTTGACGAAGTAGGAATATTATTTATTCTCATGTATGGTCAACACTCGGTTCACAACTACCATTCGCACTCGTATGGATACGCATACATATATGATATGATCAACAACGTATTACACGAAACACCATCACACTAACAACAATGCATTATAATCCAATGACCAGCACCCTTTATCCGTACCCCAACTTTAGTACTTCCAATCAACCTCACTGGATCTTCTTATTCGAAAACTTGAACGAACACCCATGAGCAAACCCAATAAACAAACACGAAAACAACACTCACCACCGTAACAACAGTCCCATCATCCAACCTCTCCTTCCTCGGCACAAGCTCGTACCCAAATACCTTGGGCAGCAGGATTCGCCATGCAGCCCAGTAAAGCACGCCTGCGAACATGATGCTGATGCCGACGAGGCAGTACCTATCCGAAAATAAATTAGGAACGTGCGTGATATATGCTGTGGAAGAAACGTACAGGTAGTATGGTAGTGGTGGGGTGTCGCCGACGCCATTGGCTGGTTTCAAGAAGGGGGCGATGAGGACTGAGTGGGATTTTGATTAGGGAGTGTTTGGGTTGTAGATTGAGAACTTACGGAAGGTGGCAGCAGCCAAGAAGAATACGGCCAGAGGCCACCATACTGCATCATACGTATTAGCGTGCTACGCAGAACAGTGAAATATGAGCTCACCTTTGAACGGCCGAACAGCATTTGGCTTCTTCCATCTCAGATAGAACAAACCCTGGATGCGTCAAGAAGTGAGAAAATACTTGTCAAAAGATCCGAAAGACGCACGATGACAATAAAGAAATTAATAATTTGCTGTGGGTATCCTTCGACATCTAAAATGAACGGGTAAACAATGTTTGGGGGTGGCGCAATGATGACGATGACCTATGAGCCAATCTCAGATTGATATTCTGTTTCTAAATTAGCACTTACAGAGGGTATCAAATGGATGATCAATCCCGGAAGTGGGGACTTTCCTGTGGGCCAATTCGAAGCCCAAAATTTGTTTCCGAATGGAAGAGGAATCCCTTCCTTGGCGAGTTCTGCAATGAAACATGAGCTAGGTGGCGTCATGATATTTTATCTGACGAACCTTGGTTTACTCGTGATGCAGCAAAAGTCTACGCATGAAGAAGTTCTTGAACCGCACATTTCCATAGCAACCTCGACTTACCACGGTGATAACGTTCTGAGACCCATCATCAAACAGAGATCATTACTATAAAATACATGGGACTCACTCCAAGAGCACTGTCACGAAGATAATTGATCAGGAGATTCCCAGACTTAGTACGTGGAGCTCACCTGAGAGCAATAAAAACCGAAAGCGCACGTTCTGCAACAGAACCAAAGACATTCTTGAAAAACAGAGCAGCGACAGTGACCCCAGACTTCTCAATCTCCGTCTATGTACACCATTTAATTTCATTAGCAGCACAGACGAAAAATTAGTTCTCACCTTGCTCGCAGCCGCGAAATAAGCCACATTTGCAAGCATGTACAAAATCGCGCAAATACCAAGACCGAGCGGGCCGGCGATCTTAAGCGTCCGTACAGGATTTCGGACATTGTTCATCACATAGTTCACGTTAGACCATCCCGCATAGGCGTTCAGGACTTTGAAGGTGGCAGTAGCGTACTGTCAAGGACACATAATTAGCTGATGAGTCTTTGAGAACATCGCATAGCGCACGTCGTTGCTACTTGTAGAGCTCCCTGCGAACGCGTTTCTGAAGTTGACGTGTGGATCTGCGACACGCGTTTTGCCCGAGAGAACCACCCAGCCTGAGACGACGACGAATAGCAGAATTATTATTTTGAACATCGAGAGCCCCTGCAAGGAAGATATTGGATAAAATAATGGAGTAAAAATGTAGATTGCATACATTCATGATTAGCACGCCAGTCCTGGGGGTCAATCCGTGAAGAAGGGTTACGGAGAAGATAACTGGAGGTTATGAAATGACTGCGATATGCCAATTAGGTATGATATCATACCTGCAAGAGCAATTCCACGTTCGTTCCAGCGGTCTACGACTTTACCAGCGGCGACCAAGATGCTAGATCATATCATCAGAGTCGTTTTATCAAGATCCGAAGCACGCACTTGCTAGCAAAAACCTTGATGAAGGACCAGTTAACAGCTAACAACCACCGAAAACGAAACATTACTGACGATACAACCGCTAGCAGTGAAGCCAAGTAGTATAGCGTTGGCAGCAAAGATCACGGTAGCGAGGTACTTGGGCTTCCTGTAGACGGCTTCAAGGTAGACCTTCTCTCCACCACTGCGAGGGAACATGGTGCCGAACTCAAGCCATATGAAGAGACCACAGAAGCTGAGCAAGAACCCGAGGACCCATAGCATAAGGGAGGCGCCGACTGAGCCCACACCAGAGAGGATGGAGGACGGTGTAGAGAAGATACCAGTACCGATGATCCGTCCAACAATGAGGAGAGTACAAGAAGTTACACCGAGGTAACGTCCCATGCCTCCAGCGGTATCTGGATGATGTCAGACGAGCAAACCTGGGGGAATGATAAGCAATCGCACCTTCATCAAAAGTCAGTTCTCCTGGATTCAAGTCTGGATCATCGTTGAGTTGCTTCTTGTGATTCTTTTCACTGAGCTGTGACTCGGAAGTATGGTCATCCTCTTGCTGGTTACTGGTCCGTGACCACCAGGGAGTAGACATGGTATGGATGGAACGGGGGATGAGAATACATGATGCCAGCGCTTTCGAAGCAAATAAAAGGGCGCTAGATAATGACGCAAGATAATGCCCAAATGTTGCGAACAGCGCGCTACGTGGCGAGCGCACCTGCAAAAGGCAAGCCAATGCTAAATGGGTTACAATCCCCAAGACACCACTTATTGACTGCTTATCGATCTAATTTACATCTCCAGGCCAGCCTTGAAAATCGTAGCATGCTTATGATATTGCCGAACCTTCCATTCTCTGAAGCATTATTGCGATCCGAGACCCGAAGAACCACCTACTGATAACATTTACATTAATCCGTGCAGCCCCCGAGTCCTCCCCGATTATACCCTAATTGCTGTCGAAACCACTCGCAAACGGCTCGCCTTCACTCCTGCGAAATCCCCTGGAAACTCATCTGACCTTTCTGACCTTGTCCAGCACCCACCTCACTGCCCTGTTGTCCACCTTCCTGCTGGATACCCTCGCGGTGAATCTGCTCTGCTCCCTGCTGTTTTTCTTCAGACCCTTGTTCACCTCCTTTGTCCGCCGGGATACCCAGAAAATGGAATCCTTCTCCAGCACCGCCTTGTTGTCCACCTTCCTTCTGGACAGCCTCATGGTGGTTCTGTCCTACTTCGCGCTGTTTTTCTTCCCTTGGTTGAGACGATTGTTCACCTCCTTCGTCTGTCGAGATACCCTGGAAACGCATCTGCTCTGCTCTGCGTTGTTCACCTACCCTTTGTTGGGACGGCTGTTCACATCCTTGCTGTGGACGGTCGTTTGTGGTACCTTGTGCACGAGTCTGACTGGAGTCGCCGCTCAATGAACGTTGTTGGACATCCCGCTGGTCGCGTTTCCCTTCTTGCTGACTTGCAGCGCCTGGGTCTTGCTGCTTCTGCTCGTACATTGCACCTGTGCCTACAGCAGCACCCTGGGCAGCGCCTGAACGGTGATTAAAATTTGACTTCGCCGATCCGGGGGCAGCGTTTCAAAAATACTAACCTGTCATATCAGCTCCACTCTCTCCCCCAGCCGCGCTTGTTTTCTCGTAACCCGTTCCCTGCTGTTGGCCCTGACTTGTCACTCCAGTACCGGTATTCTTGGCAGCAGTAGCGCCGCTAACGTCACCGCTGGCACCGGTACCAGCACCAGTTCCAGCAGCACCAGTTCCCGCGCTCGTACCGGGTGTCGTACCGGCGGGTGCAGGTGCATGGCCCCTAATAGCCGCCATACCTGCCGCAAACTCAGCTTTGCCCTTCTCAGCTACCTCCTTGTATTTCTCTTCTCCAGCTACAGAGCTTGTAGCACGATCAGCAGCACCCAACGCCGTGCCTCGAATACTTTCGCCGATCCCTGAGAAATAAATAGGTTATAAACTCTCTTTAACCACGATGAACGGGCTTACCATGGATGACTTTGGTGGCGCCTCTGTTGGGATATTCAGATGACTCAAACGATGAAATGAGGGTAAGAGACAAACCTGATCTTACTTCCGATCCCTCCATTTCCGCTCGGAGACTTAGAATTCGTGTTCGTGTTCGTCGTGTTCGTCGTGTTCGTAGTCATAGTTCAAGCAACAATACTCCTCGCATTCTGAGGCTCCTAGATTCCATGACGCAAGTATGCGGTCAGCGCATGTGTCGCCGACGGAGCTGGGTCAGAAACTCGGACATAAACGCATGGCGTTCTAGATCAATCCCGATTTAGGATTGATGTATATGATCGAGCCACGTGCTTGGTCATCATCGATGATGGGAAAAAGTTATGGGTCGTATTCGCATCGTCTCCTGGACGTCGCGCCCAAGCTCAAGAGGGATATACGCTGATGGACGTACTACACTGCAGGAGTATATAGAGACTATATTTGTGCTAAGCTGATTTTGATGTTCGGGCGGCATATGATTTAATCATCCTGAGACGTGAGTGGAACGGAACGTTCCCATGATGGTCGTCGACGGTGGCATGGTGCCGAGGACGTTGTCAGTCCAACAGACCCTAGAAATTGCTACCTATTCCCTCACACATCGTGCTGTCTTTTCTTGGCCACGAGGTGACGAAGGGTGCCGATGCGAGCTCTTAACCCAATCAAGGCATCCAGGACCAACGGAGGTATGTAAGTGGCGGGAGCAAAAAAAGGTATCCAAGCACAAGACCAAGCACAACAACACGCATGTGAAAAGTTGCAAACGATTAATCATCGTCAATATCATGACATATATGGATCTACAGGTGTGCTCTACATTACAACAAGGGTGCGATATCGACGAACAACGACCAAGAAAAAAAAAGAAGCGAAAACGGAGTGGGTACAGTAACTCTACAACAATGGTCAAGGGAAAAATACGAAGACGAAGAGAGAGAGAGTAAGGTATATATGATATGAATAAGGAAACGGATACGTGGTTTTTGTTATATATGATAAAATTACACACAGCGTCCATTAGTGAGTTCCAGTTGTCGTCGATATCTGCTTTTGAAATGCGTCCGTGTCGTGCGTGGTTGTGGGTGTATGGATATGGATATGGATAATGAATGATACCGCTGCCGCCTGCGTCGTCGTCGTCGTCGCTCCTCCGTCTCTCCGGCCTCCTGTGCTAGTACAACGGCGTTTGCTCATTGGAGGTTTAGCACCCAAGCATCTGGACCCAATTTTGTGCTGGACAGCCCCATGAACGTAGTGCGCCCCATTAAGAAATCCACCCGCTTCAACCCCTTGCGCTGCTCCTCAGCGTACTGCTCAGCTGATGTGGCACGCAAACACCGGTTGCGGTATGTGTCCGCAATGGCATCCCGTACGTGCTGGCTGGGAACTGCTTTGAACTCGTCACGCGTCCCCGGTGTACGGAGGAAGCGGTAGAGCTGGTATAGGACGTCCTCGACGGTGACGAAGGGACGCGTCGACGCGCGAATTTCGCAACGCCATGGGAGGAGGTCGTTTTGGAGGATGATGACGGGAATGGGTGGGGTGGTGGCAGCCTCTGAGAGGCAGTAGGAGTCAAGGACGAATGGGGATGCTTGGAATGTTAGCGGCGGCGGTGTTGGGCGTGTAGGAGACGTCGTAGTTAATGGGGAAGATGTAGGGGTGGTATGCGATAATAGGATTAATTGCGACGGGGCCTAGGTTCATGAACTCCCTCTGTGGGGGCGTCGTTGGACCACTTGATGATGGTAACGACGAGTCTGAGAGAGACGGTGAAGGGGTACATGCAGGAGAGTAGAAGATGTTTTCCTCGTGGAAACGGACGTGCTTGCCGGGCATTGTGGTAGTCTCTGTGTTGGGGGGAGGTAATGGTGTTATCCTAGCCAGTTCTATTATAGCTGGACGCGGACGCGGACTGTAGTTGTCAAGAAAGAGAACTGTGTGACTAGAGTGAAGTGTGTGAATACTAGACGGGGTAGGTCCTGGGAGGGTAGCGAATATGGGCTCCATTTTATATTGTAGTACCTGGGCGCAGTTCGGAATGACGGTCTTGGGTCTAACGCATCGCCCGCTCCCGCAATGACTGAAACTAAAAGCTTTAATTGAGTTGAACGACCCTTGAAATGGAAATTTTAGAGGACAAAATAACGAACCAGGTACTTTTAGAGGAGACAGCGACAAGTTAGCAACCTGGACCGGTTCAACAGCGCACAGGTTCCTAAGCGGGTCATGTGTTTGGTTGAATCTCCCTTATCCTTACGGCAGCCGATGCTAGACGCCAAATATCTATTTTGTTCTCCATAGCCTCCATCCCGACTCAGATCGGGTCAAATACGTCTACAGCAAGTAATGTTTAGGTCAGTAAAGCCAATCGAGAGCGAGTACAAGTTGTAATGGTTCTCACCGTCAGCCTGTGGCTGAGTCAGTCAGTGTTCCTGCTTAGTTACCTATTTTGTCTTAGGGCGAAGCCAAGTCACTAGCTCTGCGCAACCGAAGTGCAACCGACCACGACAATTGAATAGTACTTTGACAAGGCGACGCCTGACATACTATCATATTCTCGTATACCAGTGCTAATCGATCATTGGATCCCAGGCGATCCCCCGCGATGAAGCAGTCCACCATGGGCGCCTGGGCGATTCCGAGGGAATTAATGAGAGTCTGTCAAAGTGGAGCCAAGCTCGGCGTACTTTTGTTTCCGCAGCCGAGCGTAGTGAGCTGACGTGGAACCATACCCCGCCTCTACATTAAACTCCGCAGTGAGACGCTCTACATTAGCGCTCCTAGCCCTAGGAATGCCGTAAGTGATGCGATGATCACAAGGCAAACTCTTGGGTCGCAAATCACTGATAAGGACATAGTGCCGGCGTGACTCGTCCGTGGATCATCCCGACGGTGGAATGCAATGGACAAGTCCTAAGAATCCTCGCGTCATCAAAAAACATGACACCTAGCCCGAGGAGAACGCCCGTTCTCGTACCCCGGGTCCTCCGTCTTATCTCAGACCGACTGTCTTGTCCCGCTCCATATAACGTAAATATTCTCGCTTTTGTAGACGCTGACCCTAGATAGCGTTTCCGAACTCCACGTCACACGCTCTGTAGCACTGCGGATGCTAAGTCAATAAGACCTCCTAATTGCTATCATTACACCGCCCACTTTCGAAAGGAAACATTCCGCAGGTATAATGAGCGTTGCTTCTCTGTGACTTGCGCACCGCCTAAAGATAGCACGGAATCAGCGGACGTTGGGATATCCATACGGGACATCATATCCTCCACAGGGGCGCTTGCTGTGTCTTTCCCACTAGGACGCATCGGTGCATACTTCTGACATTCTGGGAAAGTGCACCGGTTCGTAATACGCTAGGGTTGTGGGTTTCTATGACTCGCACGTCCACATCTGGGCATATTTCCTTGGGTCTGACACTCCTATTCCGCTCCCTCTTACTAATCTATCATGTCCCCGCTTTCTTAGAGTTCTCGTGAACACGACAAGGCCTCGGCTCATATCAGCTGACTGTTTCGAAACCGTAGCATGTGATTTCATTAACTCTGATATCTATGTTTGACATATGTGGTGGCGCTGGTTCCTCCATGGTTGTGCCCAGAGACCTCGGCTTTGCAGCATTTATCATTCGTCATTCTACTTTTGTCATAAATGTTTCACGTTGATTCGTCCACAAGGACCCTTGACTTTGGAGTCACGTTCTCTCATCCTATGATGCCCGTCTGTGCAAAAACTGTTTTCTATCAACCCATCAGCCCTGTTTTTGTCATCCGGTTCGAGCTTCTCCTACGGTGTATATAATCTTGTCCGGTGAACTCGATCAATTTCCAGCCTGTCTATTGATTGCTATTAATTCAAGTCCCGACCCTGGAATAACTCATTGTTTTCATATTTATGTATCATGTAAGTATCGCCAGGTACCGCCTCGATGACAATCACCTGCTGTGCCTGTCTCGACGGACTTTGCGGAGGATCAAATTAACAACACAGCACACAACAACGGCGGTGCCTTTTATCGTCATTTCTCCCATGGTTTCATGAACGTCCCACCAGGTTCCACCCCGCAAATTAACTTCCCGGGACCTAGATGGAACATCTCATATCTGATATCTAGCTCTCTTACAATGAATGAAATCCCAACATTGGGCCTGCTGCGAGGGATCGGGCATCCCCAGGCTGAACTTTGAATGTTCGCCTCGTGTTCGTGGGCGCGCGTGGAGCAGTGGCTCACCACGATTGAATTTTGGTAGATCGAGGATGATTTACATTTGGTGATCGCGATAAGATCTTCGTTTTCTTGCAACGAGGCCTTCCACGTTATGCATGCTCGCGGGAACGGGCACAGACGCTGACCGGCGCTGATGCTGATACATTGTAATATCGCTCCGACCCGAACAATGTGGTAAGTAAATATAAGTTGTTGATCGCTGTGGTGCTCATCATTACATCGCTCTTCCATGTCTCGAGAAAGATGTGGTATTCGACAGGACATATTTTTGATACCCGGAGACAAATATAGACGTGTCGGGGCAAAGAGAATGGGGGGAGAGTCGTGTGAGTAACTAGAGATCATGATGGTCCGTGATCATGCTAGAGAGGATGAAATTCTCCCATGAGTAAAGCCTAAACCTGCTTGGCGTCAGGCAAAAACCGCGCACCTTGAGTAAGGGACACAGCAAACTCACCCACCCAAAATGCTCCACCCGAAATGATTAGAGCTCTATGAAACCAAATCACTTATGCGTCAGCATCTACTGATTATGATGATCCACATAGAAGATCGATTATAGGCACTGCCCAAGTTCTGCCGTAATTCCAGATGCTACAGCAAGTCACAAACCTTATCCACAAAAATGATACCAGACCGCGGGGTCCAAGGTGGCTTTCCGCTGTGTATGCGACTGCATCAGGTTGCTTTCAAAAACACTGGTGTCAATTTGATAAAGTGGCTTGGAGCTGAGTCCCTTATCCGTTCTATTCAATGGACATTAGCGGTACATAGTGCATATTAGGAAACGGAACGTTGCCGCTAGAATTAATGATCCTAGTCAAGTAGTAGGATCAGAGGTGAGCGGTGCATGATGACTGCGCATCACCATATAGGACCGCACCAGCTAGCTTTGGGATGTCAATTTGATAGAAGTGATTTCGGCGCGCGTTTGTTACCGACTCCGTTGTTCACCCTATTCGATGGACATTAGCGGTATGTAGAATTAGGAGCCAGAACGTTCCTGCTGTATTTAATGAACCTAGGCAGGATAGGAGGTGGACGGTCGCGTGGTTACGCGTCGCAACGTTCTTATCATCTGATGCCCGACATCTGTATGAAAAGAACAAGTATCGGCTCCACGCGAACTATGGATCGTACCACTAGAGCTATGCCAACCGGGAATACGACAAAGTACCAATGACTCCGTGACAATGCACCAGCTTGCAAGTTCAGAACTGGTTCAATAAATGTATCTGGCCCGAGATATCTGCACCCAGGTTCGGCCAGCTGGGGCGGTTCTCATTCTTGTTTCCGAATTGTGCGCCACCCTATGAATCCCAACAAATGAAGTTTTTTATAAACAAAGAACGCCGGAACTTGGTTCACTCAAGCGATACTCACGGGAAAATCTTGAAGGGTGCGGATCTGAAGAGCGAAACAACTTGTTGACCGACTCGCATATGATCCTTGATACGACGTCGGGTCCCCGAGATGATGTTGCGTCATAACTCCAACACCTGTTCCGCCCGTGCTTTGTTGAACTGTTCGAACAGCTTTCACGTCAAAGCAGTGCGGTAAATCAATAAGTCACCGATGCCATCGACAGGCGCGATCAGCTTTGGACAATCGGCCCGTCGGAACTGCCCTGGACTGCGACGTCAAAAAAATTACAGACTCTCCTACTGTACCTGAAGTCGACGGGACCGAGTGGGTGTAATGACATTGAAGTTGCCCTGTGCCAGGGGCACCGGCGGAGATGCATGCTCTCACACAGGTTTACGATAGACTTGCTGAGCATATAAGAAATTCGTAATATATTTTCACTTACCTCCTCTGAAATTTTTTCTGCGAGGTAGCAAAGATGCTCACCCAGGAATAGATAGTCAATCAGTTGGCGTTTAAGGACCCGCAACAAGGGGACAAGCAATGCTGATTTATGAGGTAGGAGTGCGTGCTCACGGGACCAAGTTGGAAGGGTAGGTCAGCGTTCACTGAGGCACTATACCGAGCGCCGTCCTAGAAGGTAGTTCTGCCCCCCATGTAATCAATATTTTGGGTGTTAAGCGCCAAGGGTCAGGAGGGTCTGTGGCCCTGGTAATGAACGTCCTAGTAGCCATGGCTTATGGCAAGGCGATAACAATGGAAATGCGTATATGGGTGATGAAATCGAGGTTCGTCTGCGATCATCATCATAACATACATATCTGCAGTAAGTGAGTTGATTGGTTGAGATCTGACCAGAGCAGGATATATTTCTCCACAGGTGGAGAATTGTAAACAAACGCAAAGTATGCGAGAACGATCTCTCGCTCAGCTCTTCCGTGAGCACCCTTCCACGCTCGTTCTAACCGTTGTGATCTTCTATTGCGTCTAACTAAGTGGGATGAGAACTCGACAACAAGAAGATCAGGAAAACACTACACCATTTAAAATAGCTCATTGCTTCCTCGCAATTACAGCGAGCTAGAGTCTCGGGAAATTCATAGTTGTAAGTACCGTCAGTCGAAGACAGACAAATTTTCCTTCTCTTCTAGCGAGGTGGATGCGGGCGCGAGGAGGCATGTCAGGAAAAAAGTGAAAACAGCCACGCCAGGACGTGCGGCAAGCGGAGGTACGGTGTGGACGACATGCACGAAGTCCAGTGCAAAGACGGAGAGTCATACCTGTAGAACCCACTGAAAAAGATATCAAATACACGAGTGACTCGTGCCCGCGCACGACAAGTGCTTTCGTTCCAATAAACGCTGCAGTCGGTCATTGGGGCTTGATGGTGTAGTTCGACTGACAAGAGAATGTGGAGATCGATAGAAAAGGCCCGCAAGGATGCGGTGAGATAGAATCCGAGGTTATTACCGGTGGAAAGTTGTACATACCTTGCAGAGAAGTGAGCAGATGGTCAGGAAGGTCAGGTAAGCTCTCCGTGAGCGGACGAAGCGTGGAAGCCGAGGTCCAGCAGAAACTAGCTGTGAATGTTCCATATTACGCTCAACATTGACGTTTGACCGCGTCATTGGATGCGCACCTTGGATGCCCATGAGCTGACCGAGCTTCAGTGTTGCACTGCGCATCTGAGAGAGCTTGGGCACCAAGCAGGTTATGTTTGCTTAGTGATCATGACTGGTTGTGTATCTTCTGCATGGGAGGTGGTAGAGTGACGTAAGAGCTAGGAAGCAACACCGTACGAAAGCAATGCTGCAAGGCCTGTGATTCAACGTGAGCCAAGGGTGAAGCGAAAACATGGTTCATAAGAGGAAAGTAAGACGCACCGCCTATGATAGTGAAATAGTCGACCTAGTCAGGGATGAAGGAACCTTGGACGATTGGATATTGCGCGATATGATCGGAAGGGAGTCTATGGGTGCGGGTAGGGCGTTTTCTGTATGCTAAAGGATGACGACACGGTTAAAATGAGCGAGTAATAGACGGAAGTAAGAAGTGAACCGGCAGGGAGGACCTCTAAATTTAGGGATATATTTTCTGACAGCTAATCTTGATGTGACGGGGGCCAGTGTGATATCAGGCACAGGGCACATTCGATTAATGCAAGCGTATGCTACACACATCTGAATTACATTTAGACGGGCCCGCGTGAGCACGTGCACTATTCGCCGAGCCTGTGTTCAGAATCTTCTTTGAATAGAAGGGAATGGTCATCTGGTCCTGATTGAGGCTGAAAAGTAGAAGGGTCAGAATAAATCAATGGAACCCGACACAATCCCAGCTACAGGAAGTGGTAGCAGAGCGCAAAGAGAAATTTGAAGGCACCACGATGGTATGCGTCAGGATCATGATGGTGAATAGTCGCTGACCTCTGTTTCAGGAATTAGGATGGAAGTGACGAAGGTGATGGCAAAAATAATGACAATGACATCAATGGGAGGCTGAGATGTCTGTACCTCGTGCATGTAATTTGCTTGCGAGTAGATGAGAAGGGAAGGCCTTCGCTTCACGATGAAGCGCTGGAAGACATGCGAAAGCAAAAGAAAGGGGAGAACGGCTGTTGCAATAGATTTCGAGAGGTACTAGGTGGAACAACAGAGACGCACTCCAAGGGTCCCATCATGGGCAAGGGGATACCGGTTGACTGTTGCACTCATGGCCCATGACTCGGATGTTCTGGCAAATTAGCGGTGGTAAAATATTTTGTGCTGTGTCACACAGTGGCAGTGCTAGGAGAGCGAGCTGGCCTGGTGCATTCGACATGTTTGCAGAACAGCTCCGAGAAGTCTGAGTGTGCAAGACGCAACCGTTGTTTGAACCGTTAACATGATCATTACAGGACTGTTTGGGTGCCAAGCCGTCACCTTCTTGGGGATAAAATAGATAAATGAACACATCGGCGAGAAAGGGAGGCCACTGACCCGGTTCAGGCAAACTGCCTTCGTGATGCGGATAGGCCTCGAGAGCAAGAATCTGACACAGCCCGATCAAATTCGCACCAGCCACAATGCCCGCACGGGCTCCTTTCGTCCGCAACAGCGACAAACGAAGCATGAACTGTGAACGGTCGCGAATCGTAGTATTGCATGGTCAGGGCCTAGCACCCCACTAGTCCAATCCCTGTTGCTGAGAGGCTCGAACAGGGTCGCCACAGAAAGTATGACTGTACTCACTGCCGACCGACAGCGAGGGTTCGACCACAGCAGTAACGGCCTGGATATTCATAAAAAGAAAGACAATCCTATACCACGAGAGGGAGACGGCAGCATCACGTGTGTGAATATACATCAAGACAATAACGCAATACCGCCCTACTAAGTAGCGGGAACTTCACATAGTGTCATGTCATCAAAGATTCTGTCACTCGAAAACACTGCATCTCTACACCAGTACTGTTATGGACTACTTTCAAGCTCATAGCTAGTAAGTACTAGTACTACGTCTGAAATGTCGAAGCTGATCATCGGACTTAAATGATTAATGAACACAGGCCACGACACAACCGTGACACGTGTCCTGACGTTGTCGAGTACCTCGTGGTCGGTCCAACATCTGACTGTGGTCCGATCATACAGCTGACTACTTGCATTCCACATGCACCGCTGTCTTTGTCTGAGTGAGATCCTCGAAGTGATATTCCACTCTGTGTTCAATTCCGTAGAAGCAAAACCTGACCGATTCAGACTCTGCGGATTGCCAGGAGTCTTACCGTCACCACCGTACATTCCAGATCGACGCTCAGTCCTCCATCTCGCACTCACCTGCCATACATTTCGCGACCCGGCACTGAATGTCCTTTATTCTCACTTGACAGATAAACATCGTTTTATCAAGTCCCTGCCTACCGAACTGCTGGAACTGGTTCACTCAAGCAGACCTTCAGTAGCCGAACAATTCCGCCCATTTGTCCTCTGCGCTGCACGCGTTCAGATCCTCGACGATGAGATGCAGGTCATCTTCGATCCCTGTCACAACGATACAGCATATGCATTAATCCTTGCAAGCGCACCCAAAGTCGCCCCGGGCCTGCTCTTTCCCAAGCTGCACTCTCTTACATGGTACGACGAACGTCTCGCCTCCATCCCAGCCCTCACCCTCCTCCTACCCACTATTGAAACCCTCTCTATCTCCATCGCTGACACTCAATTTCGCGAGGCCATAATCCCTCGCCTCCATACCGCCGCGCCGCGCCTCAAAGCTCTTGAGTTGGAGTGCTTCTCTGCGATTACGGATTACTACCCCACGGAAATCGAGTCGCTCCTACTTAGCTACACCGACGGTCTCACAGAGTTTTCGTTCCAATGCTGCGAAATCTCAAGCACCCTGCTTCATATCATCGCTCTGTGGCCACGCCTCCGATGGCTCGGCTTCTCTCTAGGCTCCACAAGCATCCCCACTGTACCTCTCCATGTGTCACAGCCCTTTCAGACACTCGTTCACCTGCATATATCATGCCAGCATCTGGACCATTTCATGTCTTTCCTGCGCGCCCTCCAAATGCTCAGGATGGATTCTGATGGTTGTACGATTGATTGCCCCAACCTCAAAATCGATTCATATCAACGCATTCAAATGCAGCCCAGCCAGTAGCTGGTCCGAGCTCCTCAGCGTTCTCGCCCGCATAAAGCTACAGCACATCATTCTCACTGACAAGTGTCATGATCTGGGCGAGCAGTCCTGCCCCACATCCTTTGAATTTCGCCCCCTACTCGCGCACCCCACTGCCTTCGCCGATCTCAAGACCCTCATCCTCTTCCCCGACTTTCGCTCTTCGTCCATCGCACTCACTGACTCCGACATCCTCACCCTCGCTCGCACATGCCCAAACCTCAACGTCCTTGAATTGGGGTTGCGCAACACTCCTGTATCACTCTATACCTTAAGCATCCTCGCGGGGCGCTGTCGTGAGCTGCGCGAGGTCTCGCTCTGCGTGGACGCACGGCTCGATGCGCTCGGAGCAATACCTCTGATCAACGACAATGACAAACGTGAAGTGGATCTGCAACCCAACACACACCTAATTAAACTGGATATCGGGGAGTCGCCAATTGCGTGCGTGGGCCCCTTGCACCCTCCGACGGCGCCAGACCTGATGAGGTCGATTCCACGGTTCTTGCACGCGATGGCGCCACGGGTTGAGCGCATCTGGTGGACATTAGGTACGGGCCAGTTCCAAGAGATGTATGCGAAGAGATGGGAGATAGTGTCAGTCAATTTGTCGATGACTGGCGAAAGGTCAAGTTGAGGATGTGACTGATGTTTCTTTTGGTGGAGATGTTTTGGATGTTGTTTAAGCAGCAAGACTGCGTTAGCTCGGGGATGAGATGATTGTCCCGCTCGTTGTGTTTCAGGTTCAAGGACCGGTCTGTATGTAGTATTTCCGAATGTAGCGAAGACACATTTTTGTAACAGTAGGTTCTTGCTAGTCGGAGTCTGACTCAACTGACCATAAGTCGAAGGATATATTAGCAGATCAATTGTGTCTGCATTGCTATCGCACCCTAGATCCGATACAATTTCAAACAACTGCTGTCATTCGTTCCTGCGTTGTTCAATAGTCTCGGCGTCACAGCCGTCGTTGGCACCAATAGCAATTCCGATGGGCTGACATAACTTTCCAGCGAAGCGGACGTAATCTTATCCTGTGTAGGTTCTTAACCTCGAACTTCCGAGTCATTAAATTTCCGAGTCAAGACACGACTGATCGCCCGATAATATAGGCTAACGCCGATGACCTTCACACAGCCAGAGCAGTGCTCTTAGGACTGAAAAAGAGGCACGTCCAGAACTGGCTAGACTGCAAAATACTCACTAGCGCGAGCGTAGCGGCCGATGATTTGTGCGGTAGCTGTGACAGCGATTACTGCGGCAGACAAGATCATAGTGGTGAGTCCGATGAATTTCATAATTGCATTTCAGGAGAGGGCTAAGGCCTGACGGCGTTTTTACTATTGAGTCGAAAGCTGGCGCGGTCTTCGGTTTTATACACGGGTAGTGAGGAAAGATCATCCATTTTCCTGTGTATCCGCTCATATATCCGGATGCCCTGCAACGTTACAAATGCCCATACCTTGTAGCATGATCTCCAGAGCGTCAAAGTACAATCACAGTGTTCCAGGTTATGATACCTCTTGACGTGGACCTATAAGAACTCGGTGAAGTTGAGCTTGCATTCAAGTTGCCGAGCGCCTAAGTTTGAGATTACTCACCGGCATTCATGGTTGAAGCCAGCGCACACGGCTTGGCGCCGAGCGAATCGAAATGCGGGGATAGCTCATAACGGTGAACGTAAATTGCGCTGTTTATGCTATGGGGTCGTGTACGCAGACATTTCAGAATTGTGCAGTGCCAGCACATCTGGTGCCGTCCTATCAAACCGGATGAGTGTTTCCGACAGCTTTTGCGTACCAACTGTTCGGCGCCATTGAACTACGTCCGCTGCCGCGACACAAAGAGAGGCTGCAAGCCTGAGCTGCGCTGTTGTGGTTGTAGGTCAACTTTGCAATAATCTTCCTCGGTCAAATGAATATAGTAGACGAAACTGGACGCTCACAGATGTATCGACGTCTATTATGTAAGTCTGGCTCTGCTGCAGAGTCATTCATGAATTGGTAAAATATGAAAAATTACTACGCGACTATCTTGTCCAACAAGAACTTCAAGGCCGAGGTGACGCACCTCGCCATTTGCTTGGTTCGAGCAGTCTAAACTCAACACTGACACCTGATGAAGTGATTCCAGATCCCATTAACCAGTATTAATAGCTTCCGTCGCGTAAATGGCCAAGTATACCTATTAAAAGACCGTTGAATGGTTAAAGCAGGTCAAGAGAATATCAGAGATACTCACAGTTGTGAATGTATTCTTACTGGTAAGTACCTTGCGAACATACCTGCGGAGAGCCGAGCCTTGGGGTTGGTTCACAAATTCTTCGACGAGTTGGTCAGCCACTCCGCTCGAAGCACCCAACAATGTAAGTGTGCGTCTGAAAATAGCCCACAAGGCCATTCGTATATAGTCTTGTTCTAATGTATCCAAGAGACTGCCAGCCGAGGCAGCAGGAAAATTTGTACAGAAGTAAGCATATTATTGATCAACTCCACAACAAACTGCATATCGTGCGATAAACCACTGTACCAAAGCGAAAGCAGAAACGACTCACCGTCGCCATGTTCCGTCTTCCAAGCTCATCGGGAGGTGGTTAAGGCCAGCAGGACCATGCGATATTGTTGTGAGCAGGCGATTGGTATAAGGCGCAAAGGGTCAGTCATGTGGTTGAATCCCAGATGCAAAACGAACGACTCGCATCATTCACGACCTTTGAACGACATGCAAAACTTGGACAGCATGGCCCGCCGTACGGGTGGGAGGGCCCGCAAGGGATACTTTCACCCAGGCATGCACTGACAGACATTGATGTTGTCAAAGCAACAACAATAGCGAGGAGGGATGAGAAATGCATGGCTTGTGCTAGGTAATGATATGAGAGTGGGATCTCGGTAGGAACACAGCTTGCTTTTATGTCCCTCTCTCGAAGTACTTGGCAGTTCTATCAGGATGGATGGTTGAGCCTGGCGGATTTCAGACAGAGGGTACAGGGTCGGCGGATAAACAATCCAGAACACAAACATATTCTCTCGAAGTACGTGGCAGTTCTATCAAGATGGCCAGCTTACCTGGCGGAAATGTCCGGTAGAGGGTACAGGCAGGCCCGCAGAACGGTAACCTGTGACAGGGCCAGCGGATAAACAATACAGAACACGTGGACTGCAAACATATGAACTTGAACATCGTGCAGAAGGTAAAGGCGGAATCTGAGATCAAAAGTGCTACTGTGAGCTCTGGGTGGCTTTGTGCAGCGCCAAGTACTTGCTGCAAATACGCGCCAACATAAAACTTTGAACGAGAACTATATTTGGCAATGAGTTATTGTCAGTGATCCATCTCTTCAATGGATGACTTTCCGTGGGCAAAATAATGCAGAATAGAATATATTGGAGTTGGCTTTCTGAGCTAGCCGAGGCACGAGGCTAGCACAGAATATAGTCTTTGCACGAGTAAGCGAGGTGGCAGCAGAGCCTCTTGCTCCTGCCCACCTCGCAGCAAATCCTCAGATTCCTCGCACGCAGTTCTAATCTCTAAGCTCTCACTCTTTTGCATTATATATACATACTATGCTACTAGCCGATAATCCCAATGAAGCAGTAATACCCGATTTTGCTTTGGACGAGCACCAGGAAGCCTGGTTGCAACTTGCTAACAACGGAACTCAATAACGACCAAGCAATTCAGGCATTAGTAGCCTTATGGACAATTAACAACAATGCCTGCGAGACAGTGTTGGGCTAATAGATTAGAGCAGGCAGAAGCCAAACAGCAGGAGAAATGAAGAAGAGGAACTGCAGCGCCAACAAGAACTCCAAGAAGAGGAGGAGGCTGCTCGCAAAGAAGAACGGAAAAAAACACAAAAACAAATACTGGCAGCAGTCCATCGAGTCGAAGTACCATCAGACCCAGCTATCATTCCCTCACACTACGCAACGAGAAAACTGAAAGCAGGAGAGTTCTGTGATCTACATTACTTCACTAACAAAGGCATCAGCGACAGCGCAAAAAGGCCCGCTCATAGCAGAGATGGACACACTTGTTATGCTCCCTTCATCAGATGGAATTCACACTTGGGTCCCGGCCAGGCTCAGTAAGAGACCCCAAAGCAGCCGCGGTGATCAAAGATGAAAACCTCACCTGGGAAGAATTCAACGAAGCAGGCTCCCCACATGATTTCATCCATGAAAGACCATGACTGGCCTGAAGATCGCGTCGACATGCACATTCAGTTCTGGTCAGCCTTGCAGACCCACCGCTGGCGTCATGCAGCAGACCCGCTCAAGCAGCGTGCACTCCTCCTGTACCAAGCACAGCAGCGCCGCAGATGGCATCTAACTGCTGGTACAGTGCGAGGATGGAGCTTAGAAAAGATCAATCAAGACTTGCTCCTCGAAGCGAGAGAAGAACTATTCAATGAACAGCACGAGAAACTAACCATCATAGCAATACAGGTCAGTTCTCCAATCCCCTCTTTCCTTTCGAATGAAATGCATGCTCACCATTTTAAAACTCTACCCCATACACCCATCCTTCCAAAACTCCCATGCTACTATAACACCAACACCTTACCCATCAGCCAATCATGTGCTGACGCCCATCCATCTCACACCCATACAGGAACCTCATCCTGCAACAACAGTACACGCGGCCATCACGTGCCTACAGAAATACTTCCAATGTATTACCAAAAAACTGCGAAAACTCGCGTGTTCTTACACGAACCACTCTTTACACTGTGCGCCATACCCTCGGGCTGTCGTAGCAAGCAGCAGCCAACTACGTCACTCGCACGCCAGAGTTGCAACGGCCCCAGCAGCCGACCGCACCCCAAAAATGCCCGCTACCCCTGGCAGTGGAATCAGCAGGGAATAACAAGAAGGTACACACATCTAGTGCCAATACCTCTTCAGGCCCCCTCCCATGCTGCGCAGTTTGCCTCGGATGGCAACCACATCGCATCATTGAGTGTACCGCTACCTGTACCTGGGACGAGAAGCATGAGACCTATGCAGAGCGTATCACCAAGAAACTCTTCTCCAAAGATGGCAAAATGTTATGCACTGGGTGGCAACGAGAAGAAGGTTGCACCACTGCCCAAGCATGATGCACTCCATGCCTGCTCGGGCTGTGGAGCTACTACCCACAGAGCCCAGCAGTGCCCTTGCGCACAGAAAATTTTACCCGCTAACCCCATATAAGGCAGACACCTGGACCTATGAGCTCCAGGCGTGCGAACATCTCCCAATGATTCACTAAAGTCCCCGATGGTCTTTGTTTAGGTTTCATGATAGATTTCCCACCCATCTCTGATGTACAGACCCCACCCAATAAAGTTTCCATTAGCAAGTTCAAGGAAGAGTTTAAAACCATTGTTGATAAAGAACTCCAGAAAGGAAGATATATAGGACCCTTCACGGCTGATGTTCTAGAACTTCTGATAGGACCTTTCCAGTCCTCTCCGCTATCTATCATCCCCAAACCTGGAAAACCCGGTAAATTTAGGATCATCCAAAATTTCTTGTACCCAATCACACCGAACCTATCATGTCCCAATCTGTCAGTTAACTCCTTCATTGACGCTAATAAATTCCCCACTACTTGGGGAAAATTTTCTATGATATACTACTTAATATCGAAACTCCCGGCAGGATCAGAAGCAGCTACTCGGGACATAGCAGAAGCATACCGAACAGTCCTGCTGCACCCATCACAATGGCCCACAGGCGTGGTGCGGGTATCAAACACTCATTTCTGTGTAGACACATGTACAGCCTTTGGAGCCACGCCGTCAGCGAGGCGTTTATGGTCATGTCGCAGACGCGGGAGCAGAGATAGCTCAATATCATGGTATCGGACCCCTAGACAAATGGGTAGACAACCATATCTTCTTTTGAATCCGCCGCGAACATCTCACCGATTATAACGAGAGCAGAGCAAGCTGGAACAAACTATTCGCCAGTAGAGGCATGCAGCAAACGGGCAGCAGACTGTGGTTCGGAGATGCTAATCCAACCACAGGACACATCAAAGAGTCAAGCGAAGACTGCTCCCGTCCTCTAATAGACCACTCGAACGATTCCCCACGCTCAGCACACAACTGGCTCTTCACCTTTAACTTACAAGACATCGACGATCTATCCGTTAAATTAGGCACAATCTGGGAACTACTGAAAGACCAGCCATTTGGGTCCTCGACAATCTACATCGGTTTCCTATGGGATCTCAAACTAATGATAGTCACTCTAAGTCCCACAAAGGTAGACAAGTACCTCAATGCTATTCACAAATGGAGAAAAAGACAAGGCCACACCCTACATGATGTTCAAGAGTTGTATGGCAAACTACTGCACGCCTGCGCCTGCGGTACCTCAAGGACACGCTTACCTCACTAACCTGGAGAGCATGCTCTCAACATACGGCACACAACTGTTCACACCACACCGGGCTGAAAACCACGTTGCCGAAGACCTCGACTGGTGGTCACTCCTACTTCAATCAGGCAGAGTTACAAAACCCATCTACGCCCCCGACCCAATTGTTGACCCCCATGCATTCTCAGATGCAAGCCTCGGGCGTCTGCATTGGAATCGTCAGTTGGCAACCGCTGGCGTGCTTGGAGACTCATCCCAGGCTGGAAAACACACAATGGCAAACGCGACATTGGGTGGGCAGAGGTGATTGGGTTCGAGTTCCTCATCTACACTATCGCCTCTCTCCCTAGCCTTAGTGGTGACATCCTCGTTCATGGAGACAACACGGGCGTTGTTGAAGGGTGGTGGAAACACAAACACCGCAACAGAGCCGTCAATGGCGTTTTTCGACAGATCAACACTTTCCTCCACAATCTACTCCAGCATCTCAACATACAAATGTCCTACGTTGCAAGCGAATCCAATCCCGCAGATGGCCCATCCAGAGGCATCTACGGCCCAGCCCACCTTCTTCTCCCTCCAATCCCCATTCCCGATGACACTCGTGAATTCCTCATTGACACAACAGAACCATTGTCTCCCGCTGAGTTATGCCACCTGCATGACGGGAATTACACCCCTCCCGCAGCTAAGCTCATCAACCACCTACTCACCAGGCAACAAGCAGCAGAAAGGGCAAGAACCGCACGGTCAGAAGAAGATGAAGCCATCAATAATGCCCTGCTCAAGGACTGACTCCACGAACCACAACAGCAAATGTTTCAACGCACCTCTCCCAGAATCAACCAGCCTCATACCACCACCCCTCAGAAACTACCGCCCGCACCTAGTACCACTCCCATCCCAACTCCATCCTCACTGTCTCGCAAGAGACAGATTAAAGCTCTGGACACCGTCAGGAGGCAGCACAAGACAACCCGCTTCATCACCAGTACCACAAGAACTCACAATCACAGATGATCAACTGAACCACATACTTGAGGTCATAGGCACATGCTGGGCCCAATCAACAAAAGAGACATACGGCACAGGCCTATTAGTCTTTCACATCTACTGCGATGAATGAAACATAGCAGAGGACAAGTGCTGTCCTGTCGCCCCCAACCTCCTGTTAGCATTCCTATCAAGTTGTGCTGGCTCATATTCGGGGTCGTCGCTAGCCAACTATGCTGCGGGCCTTAGAGCGTGGCACACACTGCATGGCAGAGACTGGTTAATCCAACCAGAGGAACTCAAAGCGATTCTCGAAGGGGCTTCTGCCCTTGCCCCTCCATCATCTAAACATGCCCAAACGTCTCCTGTTCACCCCGCATCACATAGCATGCATATGCAATCACCTCGACCTAGACTCACCACAAGATGCAGCCATATTCGCTTGCCTAACAACCACCTTCTATTGCATCGCGAGACTTGGAGAATTCACCATCAACACCATCAAAGAGTTTGACCCTCAGAAACACATTTCCAGGGCTGGAGTGTTGAACGCAACAGACCGAAATGGCCTCCCAGTCACCAGATTCCGGCTACCAAAGACAAAATCATCGCCACTCATGGGAGAAGAAACTTACTGGGCCACCCAAGAAGGACCATCAGATCCTAGAGCCGCTCTTGACAATCACCTTTGTGTCAACCCAGTGGGCGAGAACGATCACCTCTTTGCCTGGAAGCATCCCAAAGGAATTTGCCCGCTGTCGAAGAAACATTTCCTCAAACGGATATCATCCGCAGTGTCCGCGGCAGGACTACCAGACCTCAAGGGCCACAGTCTATGAATTGGAGGCACGCTCGAATATCTCCTTCGCGGAGTCCCATTCGACATAGTAAAGTCCATGGGGAGATGGTCTAGTGAAGCATTCATGCTCTATCTGCATCAACACGCAATGGTACTTGCACCTTACATCCAGTCATCACTGGTCCTAGAACCATTCACCCACATCACCATGCCACCCATCCGTTAGAAACCGCAGTGAGTACACCTCCTACATAATGGGCATCAAGCTTCGCTACATGCGTCATTGCCCTCCTAATAATTGGGAACACAGCTCACCTTGATACTCAGGCTCGGATCCGTGCTTCTGGCTGGAAAAGCCCTGCGGGCTCTCACCCAAACCCACAAACCCTCTTAGCTCGTCGTAGTTCGAAACACATTATCACTAGCTTGAACTCGCTTGTAGTTTCATGATAGTAGCACACAGTAAATGTTACCCTGATTCTCAGTTAGCGCCACACAGCTATGAAGTGCATAGACTCAAAAACATTACCAATAACGAAGATATGTTAATCTATACTAGAATAATCCCCTGTACGCTCAGCCAATAGATTTAGTCCAGTTCTTGATGTGATGGACAATTTTGCAGACCAGTACCTGCTTCTTGACGAAGATGAGGCAGACCTTTTCAATGATGATGAAAGAGCTCAGGTCCTGGCTGCTGCTACATCAGGAAATTCTCACATTACTTATTTGGCACTTATCACTACTTTTTGTCACTTTTCAACAATGGATCTACTTTTTTCCCTTCAACTAGCCTTCACCTTCAACTTAAGTACACCAAAATGTTTCTTATACATTAGAAATCCATTTGACAACATGAGAATAAGTATTAGCTGTTGTGGTCCAGCAGAAACACCACAACAGTTGTTAAAAAGTTCTTGACATAAATGCGCTCTCTAGGCAGCTACACATAAGAAAACTGTATTCTATCACAATGAAATATGTATTTGACATATTATTAGCAGTTTGAGATACTTGATTTGCTGGTGGTGGCCAGTTTAAGAGAAAAAAGTAGATCCATTGCTGAAAAGTGACGAAAAGTAGTGATAAGCGCTGAAATAAGCAATGTGAGAACTTCCTGATGTATCAGATTGGGAAGGGGGAATATCAGACATTGGAGAGACTGGATGTTTGGGTACTGACCTTGTGGCTACTGATGCATGAACTTTATATGATACCAGTCTTTGTTGAGCCATTGACCACAAGGAGTGGGGATATTCATAGTAAAAAAAAAATTGAGGACCCTGGGCTGGTAACAGTGCAACACGAGCGTGCAAAGGCAAAATGGATGGACTATGAGTGTGCCAAGTCCATATTGAGGGATTATAAGAAAATTTTTGTTGACAGAGGGTGAGGATTGGTTGGAGATATATGCTAGCATGGATTGGGCAAGATTGGAGGCACCAGAGGCAGACTGGTCAGGTAGGAACTTCATTACCATGCATGGACAATTGAGTATGTTGTACTTAGCACTGGGTATCATCTAAATAGAGCTGGGAGAAAGAGACATTAGCATACTTGGTGAAAGGTTGAAAACGTAGCTTGGTATCACTGTGCAAGGTGCTGTGTTGGATGGCATGCATGTTAAGCAAGGTGGATTATGTTAGTGGATATTGCTGGTGTTAGTGGCCAAAAATGGAAGGAAGTCATTTATTTTAGTCTGCAAAATCTATTGGGGGGGGAGGGGGTACCCCAATAGATTAAGGTTTATTAGAGGGGGGTAGGTGACACATGTTTGCAAAATGAACAGCAGCACACCTGCCTAATATAGTCAAATTTATGATATGATATTCTAATCAGAATTTTTTGAGCCTATGGAAAGTCATCCAATAACAACTGAACAGGTTCTTGTAGAAAGCTGTCAGATGCTCACAGCTGTGAATGGTATGATGTAAAATTATCAGCCCATGATTCATTTAGAGATGTAGGTGCACTTGTTGTATCTACAAGTCCAGAATGTAGTGTGCACTTCCCTGAATATGGCAGGAGAGTATATTGACATCTGAGGTAAGGTAGACTTCAAACACTTTCTGTAAACGTCACGTGATAAACTGTGATACAGCGTGACAAACGAGTGCGAGCTCATAGGAAACCTATCTGAAGCATTTAGAGGAAAACGGAAACGGAGGCATGGTAGAGGACTGCTTTCTCTACAATGCCTTCGTCGTAGAATTGTCATAAATATCGTAGTAAACAAGTAGATGTCTATTTCCTATGTGTACTATACAGAAAGATGCCGAAAGTGCACCGCAAACGATATCCAAAGTCCGTCTGCGTGCCATGAGGTGCCGTGCAGTTAGCGCTAACCTCCCAAACACCCAGATGCCTAAACGCTCTCGACAGGTGCAAACGGCCCTCATGAACCTTGGGCGCTGGGCAAAGAAAACAAAGATTTCAGCTGAGAAGAAGGAGAATATTAGTGTGAGCAGTATTTCACTCACTCGTCGTGACAGTGTACAATGCTCATTGCCGTCTTTCAGATTCCTACAGTTGCTACAGTATCACCTGGCTCTGTAGCTTTAGTTCATGATTATCTTACCAATCATCATGCCCATTCTCCACTCTCGAACTTGGGTGCAGCTGCCATAAACCATGCCGAATGTGCTACAGCGGAGGAAGTCACTTGTCCAAGTCAATTGTCCACAGACATTGAATTGTCTGTGTTGCATGCTGACTTGAAGGAATCAGCAGACTTTGGGGTACTGGAGTCAGAAGAAACCTTGGATTCAGACTCGGAGACTCTTCCGAGTCATTTTGACTGGACATCAGACAGTGGGGAAGTGGATGATGAACCTGGTGGGATAGAGGGTTACGAGACCTTGGACGGCACACTCAAAGACGGTGCGGCACTTTCTAACTCGGAAATTACCTGTCAGCGCTCCGACTCTGCACCCCCCAATCTCCCCTCCTCAGCTTCTCAGGAATATGATGTTCCTTGGCATTCAATTGATGCCCGAACACCACCCGGTGTTGACAAAGCACGTCTTGCATTAAATGACCTGAAAAAGTTGCTTCACCCGACTCGCAATAGTGGGCATGGATATAAACCATCTGGACTCACCTCTCTTCTTGAGAAACAATTGACGTGGATGGAGTATTTCCTGTGCACATATGTAAGCGGCACGCCATGGTCGAGTGCAGCACTTCAGACGGTGAAATTTGTAGGGAAGGGGACTCACATGTCTCGGACAGTGCGGCAGTGGTCAAAAACCTATATTCTGGACCGTGGGAATTTACCGTTGTCAAAGTGCAGTGGAGACTGGACGAAATCTCGGATCAATGATGAAGATTTGAAGGAGGAACTGCTCACGCACCTTCAGTCGCTTGGCAAATATGTCACTGCCATTGCGGTCGTCAATTATCTTGCACGGCCAGATGTACAACAGCGATATCAGTTGTCGAAGACTATTTCATTGGTGACGGCTCAGCGCTGGATGGAGAACTGTGGCTTTTGATGGACCACGGCAAAAAATGGCCAATATATTGATGGCCATGAGCGCGAGGATGTCGTGAATTATCAGCAGAACAAATTTCTGCCAGCGTGGTATTCAGTTGACCCGAACACTCGAAAGTGGTCATCAGTAGATGTCAGCAAGCTTGAGGAGGGGCAGGCGACAACAGGAAGACGCACCGTGGTCTGGTTTCATGATGAATCCACATTCTATGCACATGACCGTCGTCAGAAAAGATGGGTGCACAAAGATGAAAAAAGCACACCGCTGCCGAAGGGGGAAGGACTATCTCTCATGGTGGCTGATTTTGTTTCTGCGGATTATGGCTGGCTACAATCGCATGATGGGAAGGAATCAGCGTGCATCCTTTTCCGTGCAGGTAAAGCACGGGATGGCTATTTTGCAAATGATGAAATCATTCGGCATGCCGAGAAAGCCATGTCAATACTGGAAAGAGATTACACTGGTGAAGACCATGTCTTTGTTTTCGATAATGCCACCACGCACCTTAAACGTGCTGACGACGCACTATCTGCTCGTCAGATGCCCAAGTCTTGCAAGGACTGGGGAGTAAATACTGCAGTCCGTGATGCACAAGGACGACCAATCCGTGGCACTGATGGGAAGGTTGTCATGCAGAAGATCCATGTCGCTGATGGATTCCATAATGGAGTACCACAGGCATTTTATTGGCCAGATGGGCATCAAAACGCCAGCATGTTCAAAGGGATGGCAACCATTTTGATGGAGCGCTGGTTTTGATGTCAGCAAATTAAAGGCCCAGTGTAGAAATTTCGAGTGCACAGCTGGGGAAACCAGCTGTTGTTGTCGACGTATCCTCTACTGTCAGCCGGATTTTGCGAACATCAAGTCTTGGTTGGAGACTACCTGTGAGGCCAGGCAGTTTCGGGTAATCTTTCTTCCAAAATTCCACTGTGAATTGAATTTCATTGAACAATGTTGGGGCTATGCAAAGCGGCTCTATCGAACCTATCCATTGTCATCAAAGGATAGTGATTTAGAACACAATGTGATCAAAGCACTTGATGCTGTCCCTCTCATCAGTATGCGCAAGTGAGTTAACTGCAATCAATGAGAATCCCCCCTGATTCCTTTTCTCAGATTTGCAATCCGATCTAGTCGTTTCATTGATGCTTATCACAAAGGCCTAAACGGGAGACAAGCAGCTTGGGCAGCAAAGAAGTACCGAGGACACCGTGTTCTTCCCTCCTTGATCCTTGATGAACTTGATGCAGCAAAGGTAATATAATTAAAGGCCTTATAGGTATTGACATATAATGCATATACTATACACAAATTACTTACTGTCATCATTCTAATCATACTAATACTTACTACTCCTGTTCCATGATATCGATGCATTTTTGGGGCCAAGTTGATACTCCGACTGGTAGTTTATGGTCAAATGTGGCCAGGTCACACCCCAGTCACAGCACGTGATGTTTACAGAAAGTGCTTGAAGTCTACCTTAGGTGTCTAGCGCCTTGATCAGCAACAAAGAAAAGAATAAACAATGATGAATGGATGTGCACCTTGGGTACTCATGAACTAACTGAGTTTCAGTGCATCACCACACATCTGTCATATACCAGATCCGACTGCTTTGCCAATATTGATATCTGCTCCACCCGGCTACATATCCTTCCCGCTTTTTCCTTACTCCTGCTCTGCTCATTCCCCACCCCAGTGCATCTGCTCCACCACTTTGTTGGTTACTTCCCATATCAGATCCATTCAACTGGAACCATTTCTCCATTATGTATGTACTTTCCCCTTTGGTACATAACTCTTACTTCCCGGATCACCAGTTATCCCTATAGACTGCTGTGGGGAATGTCCCCACTGTAGGCCTGTATCCCGTATAATTCCCATACCTTACCACCATCTTCCCGTGCATTCCGCTATCATCCCACTACCCATCCGCATCTTCCCGGAGCTGTCTGCTACATGGAACCAAGCGGAACTAGCGGAACCCAGCGGAACAATCGCGTACCACATGCATCATATCCTTTTAGCCTTTGGAATGTCCTCCTCTGTCCTGTCCCCGTCCTTCCATCCTCACTGGTGAGTACTAGCTACATTCCCCGTGTTACTAACATGTTCCTATCTCATTTCATATGTGTTACAATACTTATACAGATCCTTCCGCTACTCGGAACCGGTTCCTTATCTCACAGCCTCCCTGGTTGTAGCATAGCGCTTTCCGGAACCTCTTCCTATATAGGTAGCAATAGATGGGATCTTAGTTTTTTACCTTCTGATAGACTCGACTCCACTTCCACTTACAGAGTACTTCCCAGTACTCCACTCACTGTCTAAAATATCTTCCCGAATCTATTCCTGATCTCATTGCAACGTTCCCGCCCCCATGAGTTCCGCTCGAAACACCCAACATCGGATCTGACGACTTGGAACAAGTACCAGACACAAGCCTGGTCTGACTTTGCCCAATCATCCTCCTGCAGGTTCGTAGTTTCCTTTCCCTCCATTAGTTCCCCGTTTGTTCTGTTTGTTCCCCGTTTGTTCTGTTTGTTCCGTGTTAGTTCTGTTAGTTCTGCGTAGTTCTGCTCAGTTGCGCATTAGTTCCGCTCGTTGCGCACTGAGTTCCACTAGTCAGGTACCTTCCGCATCTTTGTGTTCCCAGCCCTAGTAAGGACCGGAACCCTTCAGGTCGCTAGACAGAGTCTAGTCTTTGCTTTCCTCACACTTATTTGAGGACCCGCTACCCAGTAGCAATCCCCTCAGGATGAGTATTAGTCTCGCACCCTTGTTAGACATCTGAATCACCCCAGAGTCTATTTTCCTCACCCACAACGCCCAATTACTGATCCATTATGTACATATTGATATCTGCTCCAACACGTATGTTTTCCTTGGTAAACTTACTTACATATTGTACACTCAGCACATAGCTTTCTGCTATGCATTACTGATCACTGCCTCCCTACTTAGAAGTATATAAACATATCCTGTACTTAGCTAGTTTCCTCAGTTTTAATATTACTTTTCTTCCCTCAGTTTCTACTGGTGGGAATTCTCCATAGGACTTTGCTCACTCTGGACACAAGTCTTACCTTGTTGTCACCTCCACTCCTCCATCCCAACTTAGAGCCGTGCTCTAAGTTATTACTCTTACTCCCCTCCATCCAATAAACTGATCCCCTCATTACCTTCCACTCTGACTCACTTCCCCTGCTCCATCTGCCCCACTCCTAGTCAGCCCGCCACTAGTAGCCTTTACCTCTTGACCCTCAAAGCGGACCTAAGCAGTCCACCTGTCCTATCATCAGATGACATTGGACCCACTCCAAATTTGGGGCACATACTAAACTAAGGGCACAGTGCGAGAGCTGAAGCCAAGCCCCGACCCCTCTGCTTCTCTGTCTGAGCACAGTACCTAACAGCATCTGAGAGAGCATAGACACCAGGTGGGTTATGTTTGCATGGGATGTGGTAGAGTGATGTAACAGCTCAGAAGCAGCATCATATGAAAGTGATGCTACAAGGCCTGTGATTCAGCATGAGTCAGGAGTGAACAAAAATATGGTTAAAAAGACAAGGGACCAAGGGGAAAGATAGACACACCACCATAGTGAAATCCTCGACCAAGTCTGGATGAAGGGACCTTGGACAATTGGAGGTTATGCAATATAAATGGTGGGGAGTCTATGGGTAGGGCTTTTTTCTATATGCTAAAGGATGGCAGCACGGTTGAAATGAGCAAGCAATAGATAAAAGTAAGAAGTGGACTGGCAGGACTAGAGACACATCTCTAAATCTAGATGTATAGAGCTTTCTATTTTGCAAACTTGAGCTTCATTCCCCATAGGTATACAAGGGGGAGCAGAATCAAGCACAACCTCAGAAGAAGACATGTTCCTGAAATGATAGACCACAAAGATGGGATAATTGGGTAGTGGAGATTCCAAGGCAGGTTCAGTGGAAAGGGAAACATGGGCAGCTGTCAAAAACTGCTCAAACCCAGTGTTTTCTTTAGGCTGAAACAGTGGCTGAAACTGCCTGCGCCACTTGCTGTTCCTCAAGATGAGATAGGTATTCTAGTGTTGACTGGAGGGTTAGTAGAAAACACATTATTTGTATGCAGTTTTGAAGGGTCATGTGTAGCTTCAGCATTATGATCACTTGGAAACTGTGCCATTAAACAGACTTTCTTGACTTTTTCACAGGTTCTTCCTCATCCTCTGTTTCCACTACCTCTTCCAGTGAACGACTTGTTCTGAATGATGTACATGTGGGGAGGTATCATTTGTAAAGATCCTAAGCTTGATGATGATGTACATGTGCCGAGTGCTCACTAGGGTTCTGGGAATTTGCACCAGGCAAATTTTCCTGGCAAATCTACCCTGCAAATTTACTGTGAATGACAGTGTCAATTTCACACCCTTGAAAACATAGTGTCAATTTGGGTGAATTTGTATCTACTGGACCCAGAACACCTGAAAAGCTTAAATATGATACACTGGACAATCCCAACAGCTCAGATGCTTGAAAGATTTGCATAGCTTATTGTGGCTCTAGTATCTACATAGTTAAAATAATGTTTATATTTGGTTGAACACCATTATGCCAATGACAACCAAAATATTGTGAAAACTAAGAACTTAAAGTCAATCCTTAATAATGCCAATAGCTTACATGCAGCCAAATCTCAAGGATCGACTGGCTGAACTGCAACAGTAGCTCAAGGTGCTACCATCCAACATTCCTGTTCCAAAGGAATCAAAGTATAATTTTTCCAACTTCAGCCTGGATGCTGATTGGACTGCAGAAATTGGAGAGGCTGCAGCTGTCAACCGAGAGCTAGAGGTCAGGTTTGGCAGTCGTGCTGGTGGCCTGAAAATTGTGGAGCGAGGGCCAGAGACAGAAGCTATTGTGAATGTTCTCGAAACTTGGATCAAAAATATCCAGGCAATATTCTCTTAGAGAAGTGGGTGTATGACACTCTTGAAGCTGCACGAGGT